ACTGTCTAGTTTGTAATTGTTTGGAGTAAGCATTGCAGGATTTTAATCAGCTGTAAGCAAAGAAACAATCAAGAGGCCAAAGTCTTGTAAGATTAATAATTACTTTGCATCAAGATTGATCAGAAACTGTTTAAGAAAAGAAACAATCTAGTGATCCAAGTCTTCTAATATTAATAATAATTAGATCATCACTAGTCGCGTCATATATGACAAATGCAACGATAGCCATATCCGCCTTCTCCATATGGTATATTCATTTGAACTCATTTGTTTTATTTCTTTTAGGCACTCAACATTGGCAAACAATTTGTTTTAATTTTGCATGACATTTTGCAGCCTAAATATTTGCATGGGACTTAATGATATCCATAGTCTTCCTAGTTGCTGCAAGGTATTGCCTTCGTTTCTGGAAACTCTGCCTCTTCTTTCTCTAATAGTAGAACCACTTATTGCGGTTAAAAAAAAAAAGTGTGTAGATATATATATATATATTGTATATATGTATTCCTTTAATGTTTTCATTTGTACAGTGTGCGCGTTGCAAATGAAATGGGAAGAGGAAATGCAGAAGCTGCAAGATTTTCGGTCAAAGTCATCTCAATTAATTCACTTTGCATTGGATTGTTCTTTGCAGTTTTATGTTTAATTTTTGGTCACAGTATTTCCAACTTGTTTACAAGTAACGAAGAGGTTGCAGAATCTGTGTCAAGCCTCTCTGTTCTACTTGCTTTCTCAATCTTGCTCAATAGTCTTCAGCCGGTATTCTCAGGCAAGAATTTTGTTTCTTATAGAAATGATTAAGTAATTTCAAAACTCGACCACATCTTTAAACTTTTTTATTTTTTTCAAGCAGGAGTGTCTGTAGGTGCTGGTTGCCAAAGTGTGGTTGCTTTCGTTACTATTGGTTGCTACTATATCATTGGAGTTCCACTAGGACTTTTGCTTGGTTATGTTGCTCATTTGCAAATTACGGTAAGAAGCACCGCACACACACAGTGACGAACCCAGAAAATTTGGTGATGGGGGGGGGGCCAATTTTTAATTTGTGGGTACAAAATTATACGATGGGTTCATTTTTGTAATTTTAATAGGGTTTTTCTTCATAAATTTTTAAAAAATTTATGTATAAAATGAAAAAAAAAATCAGTGGGACAAATTATAATTATAGTGGGGGCATCTTCATAAATTATCAAAATTTGAAGTATAAAATGCTAAAAAAAAGAATCCAGTGGGGGCGAATTGTAATTTTAGGGGGGCATTTTCATAAATTTTAAAAACATTAGTGTATAAAATGAAAATATTAAAAATTCAGGGGGGGCATCTGCCCCCCCTAGTCCCCTGCTGGGTCCGTCCCTGCACACACACACCTTACTTTGTATTCCATTGCAAATTTTTTTTTTTTTTTTTTTTTTTTTTTTTTTTTTGGTTAGTCGCAATGTAATGCTCTTTGTGTTTTGACGACTGAGGTGCTAGGAGAAGAAGATTTGAGACAAACCTAACCCCTTCAGCGTAACTTTTCAATCATATCTGCAAGACTTTAAAATACTTAATGTGCTAGGATGCTCGAATATAAGATAAATGATTTATCACGTTTTCATGAAAGATAAAACGCATTATCTATGGGATATGGACTTATTAGTGTGTCACATGCAAGAGGAGAAGATTAGAGGTGTGATTGCTCTAAGTTCCGAACTAGCATATTCACGCTTGTTAATCCAAGCTTTTACCGATACTTACCCTAGTTTTAGCATATTCTTGATGATATATATGATCATATGATTTTACGTTTTGCCTGAATTTCATGACAATTTTACGTGAGTATTGAAACTTTGACCATGGATCTGTATTCTGCATTTGATTCATTGTGTTAATTATATCTTTTGTTTCGTAGGGGATATGGACCGGAATAATATGTGGAGTGGCAATGCAAACACTTGTGCTATCCTACATTATCTGGAGAACTAATTGGGATAACCAGGTAAATAATGAAGAAAAAATATATATATTGTAAAGTTAATATTTTAATTTCTAAATCGGTTAACCAAGATCTTAGTTTTACGTGGTTTTGATAAAATGTGAATGCATTTCAGTTTTGTGATAATCTTTTTCTTACAGGTGGCAAATCATCTCAATAGGTGGTCATTGAAACCCTAAGAGGAAACCAATGAAAGCCCAACTCATGCTTGATGGGATGGGATCACTATCATATTATTATTTTTATTTATTTTTGACCTTGTCAGTGTATTCAATTTTTTTTGTTTGGATAATTTCATTGACACTTCTTGAGGTTTGGCCAAATATCAGTTTCAAACATGTTTCAAAAATAACTATCACTCACATTATAAACGTTTGCTCCGTTTTTCACTCACACTACAAAAATTAGTTGACAGGTGTGTCAGACCACTTTTTACATGTAAAAAGACATCTTACCATTTGACTTTGGTTTGTCCCACTAAATTGTTTCTTTAATAATTAAAATTACATGTTTACCCTCATTTGACTTTAGTTTGACTATTCAAATGACATGTTTACCCTTCCTTTTTCATATACAAGAATAAATAAAGTAGGTGATCAATATTATACAGTTTGGTATCGAGGGCTATTATACGCCATACAAGTGTTCGGTTCTATATTTTTTTAAGGAAATTAATGAAATTTTAAGTAATAAATTTTTTTTTTGTAAGGAAATTAATGAAATTTAAAAAGAGGAAAAGAAAAATAAGAAAAATTTTAAAAACTAAAATAGAAAAATAAAATATGAAAAATCACCCATTCATATATTTTTTTAAGTAAATTAATGAAATTTTAAGTAAGAAAATTTTATTTTTTTAAGGAAATTAATGAAATTTAAAAAGAGAGAGAGAAAAATAAGAAAAATTTTAAAAACTAAAATAGAAAAATAAAATAAGAAAAATCACCCATTAATATATTTTTTTAAGGAATTAATGAAATTTTAAGTAAGAAAATTTTCATTATAAGAACAAAATAAACAAATTTTCCTAATATTATTGTTTCTTTTACATATACAAGAATAAATAAAGTAGGTGATCAACATCATACAGTTTGGTATTGAGGGCTATTATATGTCATACAAGTGTTCGGTTCTATATTTTTTTAAGAAAATTAATGAAATTTTAAGTAAGAATTTTTTTTTTTTTTTAAGGAAATTAATAAAATTTAAAAAGAGGAAGAGAAAAATAAGAAAAATTTTAAAAACTAAAATAGAAAAATAAAATATGAAAAATCACCCATTTATATATTTTTTTAAGGAAATTAATGAAATTATAAGTAAGAAAATTTAATTTTTTTGAGGAAATTAATGAAATTTAAAAAGAGAGAGAGAAAAATAAGAAAAATTTTAAAAACTAAAATAGAAAAATAAAGTAAGAAAAATCACCCATTAATATATTTTTTTAAGGAAATTAAAGAAATTTTAAGTAGGAAAATTTTCATTATAAGAACAAAATAAACAAATTTTCCTAATATTATTGTTTCTTTTACATATTTAACTTGGGTGTTATTTTTAAATCGGAGTGTATAATTGAAAGGGTTTTCATTACTTATTCTTTTGATGCAGTGAATAAGATCCACTTATGGGCCTATTCACAACATCAAAAGAATAAAAATCTCATCAAAAGGCATGTTTAATTCCTTACATGCATATATAATTACTTATATAAATTCATTATATAACATTTTTTTATTTTTTTCACTGAACAGTGGTAACGAATGGAACGAACCAAAGGCAACTTGTGTGGGACAAACCCAACCACTAACTGGTTCAGTATATCCCGGTGGTTCAGTAACCGCGGCGGAGGTGGTGAAGAATGTGATGAGGAATATGGTGATGCCGGCCAAATTGCTGGACGTGACAACACTTTTGGAGCTACGAAAAGATGAGCCATTGGTGTATTGCTGGTGTCCCGGATACTTGGAATCAACTCTTATATGCAATGTTCATATATTAATGGTTCTGTACGCAAAGAAGATAAATTTAATTATCAGCTATAAATAAATAAATAAATAAATAAATTAATTAATTAATTTGTAGCATGTAAACTTTAATGGCTGAGAAAATACAAGTGTCACATTGGTAAAGGTGAAGCTATTGAGATTTATTAGTTGTTGACATTCTTAGCTCGAGATGTGGTAATTATTTGACTTTATTTTCTGTGTATATGGTTAATGGGGAAAATTTATGATATGTCATATATTTTTTTTTCATTATCAGTAGTACATCCCTTCGTATAGAGATAAGAGGAGAGAGAAATAGTGTGCAGGGGGATAGAAGTTATTTAAATTATTTAATATTTTGGAATAAATGTGATTAAAAAATATTTAATATTTTGGAATAAATGTGATTAAAAATTTAGGAAAAAGTGAAAATATCGAAAGATATTTAAAACTGATATTTGACCAAATTTTGAGGAATGTCAGTAAAATTATTTCCTTTTTTTTTTTTTTTTTTTTTTTTTTAAGTAAAGATTGTTAGTGAATTCGTTGAAACATATTGAATTCTATTTTGATCATCTATGCATGCTTTCAGGGACCAATACCATATCATTTTTTTCAAAAATAAAATTTATAGCAGTATCGATCACTTGGAGTTTAATTAATAGGTCATCGAGAGGCATGCGCTCAACACGTGTTCCTTCAGCCTATTTATTTTTCTACTTGCTGACCTCACTATTTATCATCCTTTTTGGCGCGAGCAATCCCTTGCAAAAATTGCATATCATTTTTGTGCGAGTAATAACACTTGTGTCACGCCCCGAATTCCACAACTCAGGTCGCGAATAAAAAAAAATAATAATAATAGATAATTAAATAAATAATTAATTAATTATATTCACTTGAGTAAATAAATAATTAATTAGAGAAAATCGGTGTCATTTACCACGTAAATAATAATAATAATAATAATAATAATAGTTTCATAAAATAAATAATAACATGATTAATTAACCATTTATATTTGACTATCCAAATGAACCCACATGTACACAACTTAAACAATAATTGTTCAATCCCACTATATAAGTCATGGCCACCATAGCCTCATTACAATCCGAGAAATAATGTTAAGGGGTTACATGAGTAAAGATATGAAAGGACATTTCATAAGAACTCTAAAAGATAGATGGGTGAGTTCCTACGTCATTTCTCTCCTCCAAAAAAATATTACAAACATGTTATCAAATATAATATCCAAAATACACCATGTGTCAAAATACAAGTCGAAAAGTAAGTTACACAATGGATGTCACAATTATCACAAGTAGCTCAAAAATGTTGTCAAGATCCCAATCAAGATAGGGATGAGGAATCTCCTCTTGGGCAATGCCCTTTCCTGAAAAATATAAGAATCAACGAGGTAAGTAACGAATTGCTCCGTAGGAATGTCTCATGAATATAAATTAGGTTTCTCAAAATTCTACAAATATTGCATGGTCATACAATACAAGGAACATACTCCCTAACGTCTAATCTTAAGGGGAACCTAAATAGGATCATCATAGTCTAGTATAAATAATATTAATTCATTCATCAAGACAAACATAAATAATATAGTGTAATGTACATAAATTTACAAGTTGCAATTACACATAAATGCCAACTTGAAAATAAAAGTTGAAATAAATTAATGAGATAACTCGGAACACACCCACACTCCCGGTCACATAACCATGTTATGCGCTTAAATAAAAATAGTCGTTTTTGGATTACTAGTCCGCCGGAATCTAACCGATTGGCCAATATAAAATGAGAAAACTCATGTTTCACCCGCGAGGGCCGAGCCCTCGCATTCTCAAAGTAATAACCCCCGAGTATCTCCCAAAATCAACAAACAAGTCTACAAAATAATCCATATTCCATGATATGCCCAAATTGCACTTCACATGGGCACATAAATTATACTAATCACACAATCCATGTCCTATGATCCAAATCACTATAATGGCATACTCTTTGATACAATGTCAACAAATTGGGTATTTTAAAGTCATTTAAATTTATGTTATCATTATATCAAATTTCAAGTGAGTAAAAGTTTAACATCATCATAGATATATACATCTCCAAAATTAACCTTCACAAAATAACAAATACATGATAATTTCATGAATAAACACAACATATAAGGCACTTTAATTACAAGAAATTGTACACATTAAGATTTAAGACTTTAATTAACATCCATAATATCAACAATGGAACAAATAACATATTACACATGAAAATTGATATAAAAACTCAATAAAACATTATGTACATGCAATTAAATCATTATATAAGGTCTCTAATTAAACCCACACACACAAGTGTATGCATAATTAAACCCACACACACAAGTGTATGCATAACTCACACAATGGTCATAAAATTCCAAGAACTCCTAGGTTATCAGCATAATACACCCCTACCTCAAGTTAGGAGCAAACCCTAGCTACTCCAAAAGAAAAATGTGCTCCAAATCCAAAATTGATTTAGGGGTTTTGTTCCTCTCGTAGTCCTCGTCAACTTCCCTTCTATGCAGGCTCAAAATCTCAAAGGTTGGAGGTGAAATGGTGGAGAAATGGAAGTAAAATGAAAAATAAAAGAATGGGAGAGAAAAGAGAGAGTGTCGGTGGAGTGAGAGAAATGAGAGGATTTTTGGTCTATCTTACACTTTATCTCTCTATACACACACATATACATGTCACACACATTCTCATCCACACATATTTCACCCACTAGTCAACCTAGGCAACATAACAAAATGCAATTAAAAAAAAATATAAAAAGAAAATAAAAATAAAAATAAACTTGGTCATCACAACTTGGGCCTATTAACCTAATTAATTGCTACCATCAAATATCTTAAACGTAAATCCTTGTGAGTGAGGAAGCTATATACCACCAGAAAAAGAAATTTGGTGAAAATTTTGTTTTCCTAGATGGACAAAATTCAAAATGCTATTGAAAAAGTGAATGAAAACCATCAATTACAAAGCTCAAAATGAACAATGAATAGTAAGTGTTCAAGGAATAAAACTTGAAACCTCACCGAGCATCATATTACAGTCAAATCAAAATAACAAAGAATGAAATATCGACAAATGAGAAGCTTAATTTGGCAGGACACTTTCAACCCAAAACTAGTTTTAAAGAAAATGTTTTAGCGACGAACAACATACCACTAATTGAGAATAAATCTGAATCAGAATTGGTTTGCCACTTGATTGCAAGTGCGAAATTGCGAGTATCAGGTTTACAGGTATTTGACAGCCATTTTAGGTCCTGGTTCAACTTACTTTTTAGGGCTCAAGCTTTATTATTACAGCAGCTATACGTAATTTTTATATAAAATAAATTTACAATGTGATATAGCAGATTGTTTTTTTTGGCAAGTAATGTGATATAGCATATGTTTTTTATTGTACAAATACAAAAAAGAAAATTAAATTTTGAGAGAAGCTGAAGCCATGTCATCTTTTCAACAGGTATGCTGGTAAATCTTTCACACTGAAAATATCTTCAAGTTCAAGTTCACGCTCTAACTGTTTTCTTGTAGACTTCAAAACGTCCTGAGAAACAACACAAAATTTTGATTTATAACCAACAAGATCAGTAACAAAGCTTCTTATAATTTCCAATTACTAATTTACGTAAAAAAAATCAATAAGACAAACATGGTCATTGGACATTTCTTACATTAAATTCCATATACGAAGCACGCTTCGCAAGCCATTGAGCATCCATCATTTGAAAGGCAACACAGAAAAGATTGTCGAGTGCCATTTCATCTTCACTCAGTAATTTTAAGAATTGGATTCCAGCTAAAGAAGTTGGCTTCCCCGCAAGAATAATATTACCCCATTATTTCAGTTGGACAATGCCGTTAAAACCAAAACAACAATCTCTCTCTCTCTCTCTCTCTCTCTATATATATATAATACGAATATTCTGAATGTCACTCTTTGATAATTTATCAGCTAAAAATACTTGCCATCATGGTTTAAACAATCAAATACAGGAGTCGCGAGTTAGCTGGCTATGAGGCATGTGAACTTCTGAAGAGGAGCTGTGCCTGTTGGGCATATTGTGGATGTGTAAAATTAAAATAAAAAATAAATAAATTCTTAGTTTTGGACACACACAATACTTCTGAGACACTTGTCAAAATGTGACTCATAAACCTAATACATTAGATAAGACTTTATTTTAGACTCTGTTTATTTCCACCTAATAATGTTTACCGGAAAATACTTCCCTATTTTCTAAGTTTTGATTGTATAAAATAAAGGGTAAATTTTTTCCACGTAAACCGTTTTACACCTTTTTAATAAAAATGACTTCCCGATTTAAAGTTAGTAAACCAATCGAATCTTAGGGCGATCACTCCTTTTTGCAAACTGAACTCTACAAAATCCTAGACGAACTTTGCAAACTTCACACTCCAAAACCCTAGACGCAACAAGTAGATTTAGGGGTTAAGCCAAACACCCAACAACAGATCCAAGGTTTAAGCCAAACACCAGAAAGAATAATTAGATCATTGCAATGTAAAGATCAAGTTGTTTGAGCTTAGAAGTGGGAAGAGATATGGTCTGTTTTAGATCCAGTATTGGTGATTGTTTTGACAGAGAATCATTGGCATTTGAAAATAAATTGAAGAGCGAGAGAAAGGGTAAAATTGGGTTGGGGGGACCATTCTTCAGCAACTGATGATAAAACTAAAGAAGAGAGAGGGTAATGGTTAGAGAGAGAATGGATTAATCAGGGGCGGAACTTCTGAAATATACAAATATACATAGGAGGGGTTGATGCATGTAGCGAGTTGGGGTGCAAGTTGGGCCGGGGTTCAGCACCCAACATTTTCTGGCTCTAGTTGGTTATTTCAATGTTCCAGTTTGGGCTAGGGTTGGCTTTTCTCAATCCGAGACCATTCTTCAGCAGCTGATGATAAAACTAAAGAAGAGCGGGTAATCGTTAGCGAGAGAGAGTGAATTTATGAGCGGCGTAACTTATCAAATATACATATGGCTACCATCAGCTCTCATATATCTATCTCTTTGCAAAGCCCCAAACGCTACCTTCGAAACGGAGCTTCGAGCAGGCAGGCCCGACACCGCCACACTCCTCACCATGGTCTACATCCTCGCCATCAACGCCATCATTCTCTCTGACTCAGTCTCTGGTAGATCGAGCATCAGTTCTAATTTGGGTCTTCATCGGAAAATAAAATACACATGTAAATTGAAGCAAAAATTTTCATAATATGTATGTAAAGACAATTAAGAGTGATTAAATTGATAGTTCTAATATCCAGATGAACATGATCCATCACATAACAATCTCAAGAAATCATCTGCTTGATGAGAAACTAGAGAAATTCAAGCTCTCGTTGTCAAACTGCGTCCTCGCAACTTTTATTCACCGTCAAGAGAGGCATAGCTCATATCCAATCCCTATGGAATGACATGGATTGGTTATTCAAGGTGAATGTGTATACACAGCAAGTGGTGGCAATGGTGATATGCATGTATGTATGTATGCATGTATATGAACTTGATGTAATACATATTATGTGAATATATATGATAATTTTGAAAATCATATGCATGTTTGTAAGTTTATAAATTTACAATTTACAAATTAATATGAAAAATTAAATTAACGGTTTAGAATTTCAAATGGGTAAATTCTAGATAACACCCTCATAGTTTTGCTTTTGTGCGCTTACACCCCTCTAGTTTATTTTGTACAAGTCCAAACTAGATTAAACAAGGGGTAAGTGCAGAAAATATCCTAGTATACTTTTCGTAGCACTTTTACTCCCTATTTGAAAAAGTGTATAATAAACACTCATAATCTTTTGATATTGTGCAAAATTACCATTCTGTTACAAATCTGACATAAATTCATGTTATAAAAGCCATTTTGCCCTTTTATTCTTCCCAAAATGCCCATGCAATAATCCTCTGCCAGTCTCCACCGCTGATCCAAACATGTGAGTGAATAATGTTAACTTATTCTTTATTATTGCTTCGATAAATCAAAATTCAAACAATATAAAGAATGTATCAATCCCACTACCGAGGTTCTTTCTCTTCTCTCACTCAACGTGAACGGCCGTTCCTCCTCCTTACGCTTTATAGAAATGGGTTTGGTTTGGGGGTCGTACATCAGCACTCCCGGATTGGTCCGATTGCAGACATGTTGGATGAGGACTGACCCTCTTGGTTTGAATCTTGCGTCTTCAATTCGTGCTTATTCAACATTGCGAGAGAAACCCATATATATTGAGAGAGTTTGGCCCTACTATTACTACCAGAACATGAATACTTGGGATGAGGAAGACTATCCCACACCTCCTATCTAATTAAAGATGAGTTATTTTTTGAAAAAACTTCCTCAGTTTCCCTAATCAGTGATTAGACTAGTCATCCATCTTTGATAGGAACCCTGGCATCATATAGTATGCAATTTACTTGATTTATGCATATGTCTGACCTTCAACCAGAGAGAGATAAGCAAGGGCAATCATTGCCGCTCGAACTATAGTACTTATCCTAGAGCAGCATCCTAAACCTATGCGCTTTAATGTGAATTAGATTATGAACTATTATTGCTTGTTCAGGTGACAATAAACCATGCTCCATCAGCCGAGGATGGTAGGGTTGTGGTGATTATTGACTAATTTTTGGGTTGTGGCATTAATTGATTCTAGTGTTGGATTGTGGAGAGAAGGTGGGGGTAGTTGTTGAAGATGAATTATAGAGACAAATGATAGAATCATTAAAAAAAACAAAAAATAAATTTCACAGTGGGTCTTTGTGGTTGGGTGAGGATGCTAATTAGTTGTGGCAGACTCCCACCCAAGTCAAAGACAAGAAGAAAGGCAAAGAAAAACCAGGTCTTGTGTGAGGGGAGCAGGAAGAGGAGGTGGAAGCAGAGTCGAAGAGATAAGAAAGGAAAAACAGTGTCCTTTCTAGTCTTTTTACAAAAAAAATTAATTTTTATATTTTATAATATTATTCAATAAGGGTAATTTGGTTAATTTAGATTTTAAATGTGTCAAGGCTTAATTGCACCAAATTGAAACTGGATGGGTGTTTTTTGCATGTGAGGAGTATGATATGCACTGTAAGCATACTTCAGGTATATTTTCTGCACTTGACCTATTAAACAATGTTGTAACTAACCTCCTCCGGTCAAACTTCTGGCAGAGAATGGCCATTAGTTGCACATGACTATTTTAAAATTTTAAATTCCAAAAATGCCCTTTTTATATTCCATAATTGCCATTCTCCAAATTATATATATATATATATATATATATATATATATATAGGTTATGCACTATTTTAAAACCTTATATTCCGTAATTGCCCCTAACAATATTCTCCATATATATATATACATATATTAATATATATGGATATACATGGCCCTGATCTATCTTTCATCCCAATATCGTCCCATTTTCGTATCTTTCTTCCTCTCTTTCTTATATACCTTCCTGATCTGGCTGTAGAGGACTTGTACATTGTTGAACTTATGTATGTATTTATTGGCGAGCAAAGTAGAATTCGTCTGTCTATTTTTATCAACTATAGGGCATTTATAATGTGGTTTCAACTTCCAAAACACGAATGTCTTGGTAACTTTATTAAGGGAAGCATGAATCCTCCAACCACTTTTATTAACACATACAACTGTCACCATTTTTCTTTCATTCTTTTTGAATCTAAAGTCATTCTTTAAGGCATCGTCCTTTAAAGTAACTCTAAGGTCATCTGCACAAGTGAACTTTATTACAACCATCAAGGGTTTAATATGCAAATCTCTAAACCTATTGCTTTGAACACAATCTTCATCAGATGAGCTGTGCAGACTCCACAACTTATCACTTGGTGCATAAACAGAACCCAGACTAGTCCTCTAAAGCACCCCAAGCATCAATACCTCTGTTGCCTTCAATATCACTGTCATTATCAGTATCTGCAAATTGAAATTCAGCAGTTACATCTCCAACTTCAAAATCAGAATCTTCAAAAACTATTGTCCATGTACTGCATAAACAAATGACACATTTATGATATTATTATATTCATTGATCTATCACTTCAGTTACACCACCATAAGATATGAATTAATTAAACTCCAGTTGTTAAACTAATGAATGACCAACAGGCTAGTGGCCTAGCGGTACCAAGCTCCTACTTCCTAAAGGAAGGTTAGGGGTTCCAGGTGCTCAAATCGGGGTTCGGACCCCTTTTTCCAAAGAACTCAGAAGAGAAGTTTAGCTTTAGTAGTTTAGGAAATGATACAACCCTTCCTTCATGAGACTAAAGAATTTACAGTGCTTCACTGAATAAGACGGGAAGTAATGGGTTCAACGCCTTGCTTGTATGCTGTAAGTTTCGTTATCAGTAGAAGCATGTGTGTGTGAGTACATTAGAGAGAGAGAGAGAAATAAAAATAAAAAATAAAAAATAAAAAATAAAACCTAATGAATGCACATTAATCATTAGACTAATGAATGCACAAAAAAAATAATAATAAAATAAAATTTACAATAATGAATAAAATATATTCTAGAAATACTAGTTACATTAATGAATGTACAAAAAAATTTTGAATAATGAATAAATTTTGAATCTCATTATTTATACTTTGCCTTAAAGAAAAAATATTTAAGACATTTAGAAATGAAAAAAACAGAGGCATTTTTTTTACTTATTGAAAGAAAACCCTGATTGTGTTAATATTTAGCACATAAATAACCAACAAAATTAAAGTTTTAAAAAACCATAATCATGTTAAAAAACAGTAAATCGAATATAAAACTTAATTAAAAACCACTTAATCTACATTAATCACAAAAACCAATTTATTGGGTTAAAACTGATTGTTTATAGGGTAAAATGAATTAAATCCCCCTAAACTATCAACAAAATGCACAAAACCCTCCTAAATTAAGTAATGCTCCTAAACTATGTAAAAGGTACAATTTAAAGACAAAATTAAAACTTCCAATTATTGGGATTGCCGAAAATGTTAGATTACCATATTGTCCTTTAATAAAATGACATTATTTGATTGTTTGAGTAAATGTTGTTGCTGATGTGTCAAGTGCAATCTCAACAGCCAATACCATTGCACCACCGCATCACCTTATCACAATTTCACCCAGCCTTTAGGGTAAACACCTCCTTATTTTAGCGCTGATCACCACCTCTGCTTCCTACCCCAAACAACTCAGATCACCACCTCCATCGGCCATGGCTACCACCTCCTCTCTTTTTTCTTTTAACTTGTTGAAACACTAGCCCTAGCTTATTCCATCGCTACATAGCAACTGTAAGGTCGAAATCTACTCCTCTAATCCTGACTCTCATCCACCTACAGTGCGAAGCGACTTGGGCTCTCTGGCAACATTTGCGTATAGGTGTGTGTGTGTATATACATATTTGGAGGTGAGAATATTATCCCCTGAACTCCATTAAATTCAGTGAGCAAACACCAAACACCACCCAAAAATCCGGCCACCAATCACCACTGTTGCTTGTTTAGCTAGTTTTCAGCCATTAAATCCGGCCAACAAACACACCCAAAAAAAAAAAAAAACATATATTTAAGAATCAAAATTAAAGCATGGAGACAAACCAAAAGAATATTTAATTGTGAGTACTTTAGTTGTCTGGGGAGAAGATTTTGGATGTCGAGTCCACAGAGGATATATACTGTTCTCTTCCCACCACCGTCTCTGCCGCCATCCCGCCCCACCACCACCATCTCTGCCGCCATCTCACCCTACCACCACCATCTTTAGCTTTGTTATAATTTGTAATGCGTTCCAATAACGACTCTGCCGGATTGCCAACTGGAGCAAGAGAGAGAAATAGACGATGACGATGGTTAGATTTCACGACCAAGAGAGAGAAGATTGGGTTCCAGAAACCGAATCGCATTAGTGGTTTTGTAACACATGGCTTTCTGTGTATGACTCAGATTTGTGATTGGGTTTGCAGAAGTCAGGTCTGTGATTGTTGACAGAGTTGCAAAGAATGAGATCAGAGAGATGCACTTTGGTAGAGATGAAAGCCAATGAGAGTTAGGGTTTGTTAATAAAATTGGGGTTTGATTGATTTAATTCTAAAATTTTAATAGGGGCAATATTGTCATTTTAAAATTATAGTGCATGTTTCACCGGAAAAAATCAATCTGAATAGTGACGAACAGTGACATAGTGTGTTTTTTTCCAAAAATAAAATAGTTTAGGGAGTTTATTGTAAAAAAAATAAAAATTCAGGAAGATTTTTTTGATAAAGAGTAAAGATGAGGGAGTTTATTGCACTTTACCCTTGTTTAAAGCAAAAGCCCAAATTTTTCATGGTGTTTCAAGGGTCCACAGAGCATAAATAAAAGAAGTTGTCCACTCCATTGTTAAAGAAACGAAACCGTTTATGAAAAACATGTTGTGGCAACAAGAATCTTGACTTTACAGGGCCACTAAAAAAAAATTACAGGTTATTTACAATAGCATAGGCACATGATTCAAGAATTGAAAGTTGCATGAATAGAAAATTGAAGAAACTGTTTGGATACGGTGTTTGTTTTTTTAAAAAAAAAAAATCCTCACCTATCAAACTAACCACAACGACATGGTTTTAGACTTTGAAAGGTCGTTACGTGCGTTCAGGTGGTCAACTCTCTCTCTTGTGTGTGTATATAGGTGGTCAATTCTCTCTCTTGTGTGTGTGTATATAGGTGGTCAACTCTCTCTCTTGTGTGTGTGTATAGGTGGTCAGATCTCTCTCTCATCATAGTGATCAAGTGCAGTTTCCTATATGTGTGTGTTTGTAGATATAAGTCCGCAGTAATTACACAACCCTTCAAGGCTCAATTTTTCTAAAAGGAACTCCAATGTCTATCAAGTAAGTTTCTCTCTCTCCTTCATGTTTATGGAGTCTTCAATGTTCCTGTTTTCTGATGGATTTGAACAGTATTTGTAAGCCCTAATTTAAAGTAGTTGCATTAATAATTTTAAATTGCACGTGCATTATTGATTTATAATCATTGCTTTGTTGATTTAAGCGCACAGAACGACACAAAACAAACTGATTCATTTCTTTTAGGTCTAAATTCTAGTACTTCATGCATAGCTAAAGTTTATATATAATCTTTAGTTGTTAGTCCAGTAGATAGAGTATGTGGTTTCATGTTAAACAGAGGAATCACATTTCAATTTTACTGGAATTTTGGATATATGGCCTCCACACATGCAGCTTCAAATGGTGGTCTAAAACCACTATTAACTTAATGTCAAAGAGCACTCTTGCTGTCATAATACTCATTTTTCATGCACAAGAAGGGTATGAATTTTGACCCTTAATTATACCACCAATGCTTAGTAAATATCTCTCTTTTACTGATACAAATAAAACTATTAGCAGTCACAACAGATTTGGCCTAGACTACGCAATTAACTCATACACTACAAATTTGGCCTATAGTATAGTTTTTTTTGCTTAATATATACCCCCTCCCTCCTATATTAATTGTACACCTTTTCATTTTTAACTGTCCCAATCGAAAAGCAATATAACCTTCTTGCATTGAACTTATAAAAACAACATTGTGAACCCACTATGTAATCCAATCACTGCCAATACAAAAAAAAAAAAAAAAAAAAAAAAAAAAAAAAAAAAAAAAAAAAAGAGGACTATCATAAAAAGTTTGTTTCTCAAAAAGGGACAATTAAAATGGGACGGAGGAAGTATAAAAGAACAATCCACGTATGCAGTTTTGTTCCAATAAACTTATTCCATGCATTGTAAATACATATCTATTGTTTCTACCATAACATTGCTTGGTCGAGTATAAGAACAACCACTTTATGCAAAATAATGCCATATCTTTGTTCTATCTCCATTTCCCCCCTCCCAGCATCCCATCCCACGACGGCAATACATGCACTCAATTAAAGCATTAATTTCCTTACAAAGATTTTCCCAATTTTTGTTCCAATAAAGATTTTCATAAATTTTGGTTAGCATCCATGAATGGGTAGTAGAAAAAGTCTGGCCAAATTCCTTTCTTTATCCTAATTTTCTTTTCTTATCTTCCTATCAGGGATTATGCATAACAGGATGGAAGAGGGGCTCTTGGTATCAGAAACCTTGAAAGTCAGAGTATGGGTGGAATCAAAGAAAATCTGGAGAGTTGCATTTCCTTCTATACTAACAAGAGTGAGCGCATATGGGATTTTGGTGGTGACACAGGCATTTATGGGACATATTGGTGAAACACAGCTTGCTGCATATGCGCTTATACAAATAATTGGAATCCGGTTTGCAAACGGAATATTGGTAAGCTCTTAATCATTTCTTTCCCATATGTAGCACATGTAAGTTATATGGTGAAAGGTCCGGTTATGCTCTAAATTGCGGCCTATATTCATCCCAGTATTATTACTACCTTTAAACTATATAATTGCCTTATAAGTCTCATGTTTGTAAGGGTGAATAACTTGGAATTATACAAGAGAAACAACACACAAGTAGTATGTGTTCTGTTATAGCTATTATCAAGACCTGTTTGAGGGGAAAACACATAATTTGTTCATATAATTACCTTGTTTAAAATTTTATTTGTTTGCTATAGTTTGGCATGTCAAGTGCAACAGAGACTTTGTGTGGGCAAGCATTTGGGGCAGGGCAATACCACATGCTGGGTATCTACCTGCAAAGGTCCTGGATTATTGATCTCACTGCAGCCACACTTTTGGTCCCCTTCTTTGTCTTTTCGGGGCCTATTTTCCGGCTTCTTGGCCAGGACGAAGATATAGCAGAAGACATAGAGAACATTTCTTTATGGTTCATTCCCATTCTCTACTACTTCGTGTTTAGCTTAACCATCCAAAAGTACTTACAAGGACAGCTCAAGAACAGGATTGTTGGGTGGCTTGGCGCTGCTTCATTCGTAATTCATGTCTTTCTGTCCTGGCTCTTTGTGATCAAATGGAACTGGGGTGTCCCTGGTGCAATGAGTGCCATGAACATATCATGTTGGTTAATGGTTGTTGGAGAGTTTGCATACGTTTTCGGAGGTTGGTGTTCGGAGACTTGGAGAGGATTCACTAAAGCTGCCTTTATAGACCTCTTACCTGTAATAAAGCTATCAATATCCTCTGGAGTGATGATTTGGTTAGTGAATTTCTCCTTGGTCAACAAAAGTTTGTGTTTATTTATTTGCTAAGCTGTAATATCTGGCATGTCTAACCCATTCTTTTTAGTTGGTGCATGTAGCGAATTAAATCAACCTCCCACTGGATTAAAATGTGTTTTGAATAGAAGAATGATGACTATAATTTTTTTCTCCTTCCTGGTGGCTTATAACTCACACACCCATTGTGCCTTTAAGGAACTTGAATCCTCAACCTTTCGCTTTGGAAGGTGAGGAGATACCCCTGGGCTACACGGTTGGTGGTAAGAGTAATGAATACTTGATAGGACTGTTTTGTATATTTGATAAGAGACTACTTGAATTCACCGTCTAGTTTCTAATTGTTTGGAGTAAGCATTGCAGGATTTTAATCAGCTGTAAGCAAAGAAACAATCAAGAGGCCAAAGTCTTGTAAGACTAATAATTACTTTGCATCAAGATTGATCAGAAACTGTTTAACAAATGAAACAATCTAGTGATCCAAGTCTTCTAATATTAATAATAATTACTTTCTATAAAGATTGATCAGAAAATATTTCCATGTCAAAACTTTTGTCTAGTGCACTGCTATAATTAGTTGGGAATATCCAGAGAACTCATCAGTTCAAAACCATTTTGATTCCTGCTGGAACTAATATAAATTCTCTCACTTTTAAAAGTTTTTTCAGTGACTCTATGATTCTTGTTATTTCCATTGGCAGCTTGGAGTTTTGGTACAACGGTGTTTTGATCTTAGTCGCGTCATATATGACAAATGCAACGATAGCCATATCCGCCTTCTCCATATGGTATATTCATTTGAACTCATTTGTTTTGTTTCTTTTAGGCACTCAACATTGCCAAACAATTTGTTTTAATTTTGCATGACATTTTGCAGCATAAATATTATTGCATGGGAATTAATGATATCCATAGGCTTCCTAGTTGCTGCAAGGTATTGCCTTCGTTTCTGGAAACTCTGCCTCTTCTTTCTCTAATAGTAGAACCACTTATTGCAATTTTAAATAAAATAAAATAAATAAAAAATGTGTATATATATATATATATATATATGTATTCCTTTAATGTTTTCATTTGTACAGTGTGCGGGTTGCAAATGAATTGGGAAGAGGAAATGCAGAAGCTGCAAGATTTTCTGTCAAAGTCATCTCAATTACTTCACTTTGCATTGGATTGTTCTTTGCAGTTTTATGTTTAATTTTTGGTCACAGTATGTCCTACTTGTTTACAAGTAACGAAGAAGTTGCAGAATCTGTGTCAAGCCTCTCTGTTCTACTAGCTTTGTCAATCTTGCTCAATAGTCTTCAGCCAGTATTCTCAGGCAAGAATTTTGTTTCTTATAGAAATGATTAAGTAATTTCAAAACTCGACCACATCTTTAAACTTTTTTATTTCTTTTTAAGCAGGAGTGGCTGTAGGTGCTGGTTGGCAAAGTGTGGTTGCTTTCATTACTATTGGTTGCTACTATATCATTGGAGTTCCACTAGGACTTTTGCTTGGTTATGTTGCTCATTTGCAAATTACGGTAAGAAGCCACACACACACACACACACACCTTACTTTGTATTCCATTGCAAATTTTTTTTTTTTTTTGGTTAGTCACAATGTAATGCTCTTTGTGTTTGACGACTGAGGTGCTAGGAGAAGAAGATTGGAGACAAACCTAACCCCTTTGGCGTAATTTTTCAATCATATCCGCAAGACTTTAAAATACTTAATGTGCTAGGATGGTCAAATATAAGATAAATGATTTATCACATATTCATGAAAGATAAAACGCATTATCTAGGGGATATGGACTTATTAGTGTGTCACATGCAAGAGGAAAAGATTAGAGATGTGATTGCTCTAAGTTCCGAACTTGCATATTCACATTTTTTTATCCAAGCTTTTACCGATGCTTACCCTAGTTTTAGCATATTCTTAATGATATCATCATATGATTTTACGTTTTGCGTGAATTTCATGACAATTTTACGTGAATACTGAAACTTTGACCATGGATCTGTATTCTGCATTCGATTCGTTGTGTAAATTATATCTTTTGTTTCGCAGGGGATATGGACCGGAATGATATGTGGAGTGGTAACGCAAACACTTGTGCTATCCTACATTATCTGGAGAACTAACTGGGATGATCAGGTAAATAATGAAGAAAAAGGATATATATTGTAAAGTTAATATTTTAATTTCTAAATTGGTTCACCAAGATCTTAGTTTTCTGTGGTTTTGATAAGATGTGAATGCATTTCAGTTTTGTTATAATCTTTTTCTTACAGGTGAATAATGCAGCAAATCATCTCAATAGGTGGTTATTGAAACCCTCAGAGGAAACCAATGAAAGCCCAACTCATGCTTGATGGGATGGGACCAAAATCGTATCATTTATTTATTATTTATTATTATTATTATTTATTTTTGACCTTGTTTGTGTGTTCTTTTTTTTCTTTTCTTTTTTTGGGTAAAGATTGTTAGTGAATTGTTGAAACATATTGAATTCTATTTTGACCTCGTTGGATTCATTGAAACAGAGTGAATTCTAACGAAGATCATCTATGCATGCTTTCAGGGACCAATACCATATCATTTTTCCAAAAATAAAATTTATAGCAGTTTCATTTGGTATTTAATTAATAGGTCATCGAGAGGCATGCGCTCAGCACGTGTTCCTTCAGCCTATTTATTTTTCTACTTGCTGACCTCATTATTTATCATCCTTTTTGGCTCAGGCAATCCCTTGCAAAAATTGCCTATCATTTTTGCGTGAGTAAAAATACTTGGGCCTATTTCTCAGGCTATTAACCTAAATAATTGCTACCATCAAATACTTATATCGTTGTGAGTGAGGCTGCTATATACTACAAGAAAAAGAAATTTGATGAAAATTTTGTTGTCCTAGGCGGACAAAATTCAAAATGCTATTGAAAAAGTGAGTGGAAACCATCAATTACAAATCTCAAAATGAACAATGAATAATAAGCGTTCAAGGAATAAAACTTGAAACCTCACTCAGCACCATATTACATTCAAATCAAAATAACAAAGAATGAAATATCGACGAATGAAAAGCTTTGGCAGGACACTTATAACCCAAAACTAGTTTTAAAGATAAGGTTTAAGCGGCGAACAACATACCACTAATTGAGAATAAATCTGAATCAGAATTGGTTTGCCACTTGGTTGCAAGTGCGAATATTAGGTTTACAGCCATTTTAGGTCCTGGTTCAGCTTACTTTTTAGGGCTCAAGCTTTATTATTACAGCAGCTATACGTAATTTTTATATAAAATAAATTTACAATGTGATTTAGCAGATTGTTTTTTTTGGCAAGTAATGTGATATAGCATATTTTTTTATTGTACAGATACAAAAAAGAAAATTAAATTTTGAGAGAAACTAAAGCCATGTTATCTTTTCAACATGTTGTATGCTGGTAAATCTTTCACATTGAAAGTATCTTCAAGTGCAAGTTCACGCTCTAACTGTGTTCTTGTAGACTTCAAAACGTCCTGAGAAACAACATAAAATTTTGATTTAAAACCAACAAGATCAGTAACAAAGCTTCTTATAATTTCCAATTACTAATTTACGTAAAAAAATCAATAAGACAAACATGATCATTGGACATTTCTTACATTAAATTCCATATACGAAGCACGCTTCGCAAGCCATTGAGCATCCATCATTTGAAAGGCAACACAGAAAAGATTGTCGAATGCCATTTCATCTTCACTCAGTAATTTTAAGAATTGGATTCCAGCTAAAGAAGTTGGCTTCCCTGCAAGTATAATATTACCCCATTATTTCAGCTGGACAATGCCGTTAAAACCAAAACAACGATCTCTCTCTCTCTCTCTCTCTCTCTCTCTCTCTCTCTCTATATATATATATATATATATATATATATAATATACGAATATTCTGAATCTCTTTGATAATTTATCAGCTAAAAATACTTGCCATCATGGTTTAAACTATCAAATACAGGAGTCGCGAGTTAGCTGGCTATGAGGCATGTAAACTTCTGAAGAGGAGCTGTGCCTGTTGGACACATTGTGGATGTGTAAAATTAAAATAAAAAATAAATAAATTCTTAGTTTTGGACACATACAAAATACTTCTTAGACACTCGCCAAAATGTGACTCACAAACCTAATACATTGGATAAGACTTTATTTTAGGCTACGTTTGTTTCGACCTAATAATGTTTACCGGAAAATACTTCCCTATTTTCTAAGTTTTGATTGTATAAAATAAAGGGCAAATTTTTTCCAAGTAAAACGTTTTACACCTTTTTAATAAAAATGACTTCCCGATTTAAAGTTAGTAAATCATTTTACACCCAATTTTTCACTCATGCAACTATGTAAACCAATCGAATCTTAGGGCTATCACTCCTTTTTGCAAACTGAACTCTACAAAATCCTAGACGAACTTTGCAAACTTCACACTCTCCAAAAACCTAGACGCAAAAAGTAGATTTAGGGGTTAAGCCAAACACCCAACAACAGATCCAAGGTTTAAGCCAAACACCAGAAAGAATAATTAGATCATTGCAATGAAAAGATCAAGTTGTTTGAGCTTAGAAGTGGGAAGAGATATGGTCTGTTTTAGATCCAGTATTGGTGATTGTTTTGACAGAGAATCAATGGCATTTGAGAATAAATTGAAGAGCAAGAGAAAGGGTAAAATTGGGTTGGGGGGGGAGGGGGAACAGCAACTGATGATAAAACTAAAGAAGAGAGAGGGTAATGGTTAGAGAGAGAATGGATTAATCAGGGGCGTAACTTCTGAAATATACATATAGGAGGGGTTGATGCATGTAGTGACTAGCTAGGGGTGCAAGTTGGGCAGGGATTTCAGCCCGACCTGATCCGAACCCACCCGACATTTTCAGGCTCAGGTTGGTTATTTCAATGTTCCAGTTTGGGCTAGGGTTGGCTTTTCTCAATCCGAGGCCATTCTTCAGCAGCTGATGATAAAACTAAAGAAGAGAGGGTAATCGTTAGAGAGAGAGAATGAATTTATGAGGGGCGTAACTTATGAAATATACATATAGGAGAGGTTGATGCATGTAGTGAGTAGGGGTGCAAGTTGGCCAGGGAGTTCAGCCCGACCCGATCTGTAATACCCCTAATTTTAAAAGGATAGTCTCGGTATTTATTTATTTGTTTTAATTGTATTTTTAATTATTTAATTGATTATTTGACTAATTGCTTATGTGTTTAATTGAATTAGGTATTACTTAATTATTTGATTATGTGTCTATATATTATTTGAATTTGTCTATGTGTTAATTGTTTAATTAGATTATGTGCTTAAATGGTATTTGATTAATTGTAAATTAAAAGTTTTCTTTTCTTTTATTATTTTATTTTATTTTTCTTTTATGATTATGGTTAGTAGTAATGGGCCAACCAATTGGGTCCCATGGACTACTTGGATAGGAGGTTGAATGCGTATGGATTATTACTTATGGATAGTTGTGTATGTTTATATATAGATATATATTATATACATATATAAAAAAGAAAGTAATTTATTAATTACTTTTATGGTAACTTAGGTAGTAATATTTAATCTGATGTATATGTTTTACATTTAAATAATAAAAATATACATAGATTTGATACGTGTTATGTTTTAAGTTACTTTATAATATTATGGTAACTCAAGTATTATTGGATAATCCATTAATAAATAATGGGATGTGTATAATTTATTTATTTAATAAAGATATACATAAATTATATACATTACATATTTTACTTACCTTTTTAATATTTTAATATTTATTTTTTTTAAGTTGACTCGGATTGGGAAAAGAGTTAGGGTTATTTTATTTAGCCTATAAATATATAGCTATAGATTGTAAAAGGGGGTTAGAAATATTCACGTGATATATTCTAGAGAGAGAGAGAGTTAGAGAGGGAAGGAGGAAAAAAAACCCTGTAGAGAGAAGATCAAGGAAGAAGAAGTTTAACTTTCGATCCGAAAGTTTAAGGCAAGTTCTTCTTCTATCTCTTTCCCTTTGATTCGTGTTTTTGTACATGCCTAGGAAATTTCAGGATTTATTAAACACATAAAATTAAATAATTATGCATGTTTAATTGGATTAGAACATAGGTTTTATGAATTTGGTTCATATCTGTTCTTGTGTTATGAATTGATAAATGCATGATTTTGATTTGATTTCCGGTGTGAATTTTTACAGATTTAAATTATGTATTTTTCATATCTGTCGAATGATGGAACGTAGAAACATGCCTAGGATTCCTGAACATTAAATAGGAACTAGGTTTGGGTTTAAATAAATTTAAATAGACTCAATCAGAATGATACTTGCTATTTGAATGTTTTAAACATACGAATGGATTTAATCTTTTAAAATGTTTTAGCAATTGAGATTAAATGTGTAGGATGAATTGGATACGGAGAATACTTATTTGACGATATAATAAAATATCATCATGTATAAGATTCAGTTTGTGTAGGACATATGATATAGGAAGCTTAAATAAATAATAAGTCATTCCTATTTTGTGACAACTTGATATCATATTATCATAGTTATTTCTGGATTGTTTGATGTATTTCCTTAATCGTTACATCAATTGTTAGATTGTGTGGTTTAATGCACCGGTATGGGACAGTAGCATTCTAGGGACGGATTAACTTATCAGTTAAGTCCTACCTATTTTATATAAGGGAATGGATTAACTAAAATGTTAAGTCCTACTTATATTCAAGTCAGGTCAGCTGAACAAGTTGAATGACTTATGGAGGATTAATTTATACTGGATAAGATGGTTACTAAATTTTATATATATAAGTATGGTGCCATGATATGAGCTTGAGTCTCAGGATCAGTGGTTAGGGCGCGTATATCGCCAGGGATGTGTAGCTAGATATAGTGTAGTTGTGTACCCTGGTAGGTATAGGTACTCATGCCCACTATACGTGCGTTTTGCATGTTGCCTACTATTCAGGTTGAGACAACCCTATAGTCTAGTGAGGTTCCTTTAGTGTGTATATATATATATACGGACTACTAGTTACTGTTGGATTGACTAGGATGTATACGTGTATCGGATCTCTGCTTGGACTGTAGTAGAGTAGAACTTGTTTGTGGGCCTGACCCACCATTATTTTTTAGGTGTTCGTCAGGAATAGAGATTATTCGTGCTGAGCAGGGATCAGTCTACTTCATTCTTCCGATGCTACATAGGAGTTCCTTTATGATTCAGTTTCCTGATTTAGACAGTTATTGTTGTCATTTGTTTAGTTTGAATTTTCTAGGGGTCTACACAGTATGGATTCCCGAGTTGTATTTTGGAGGATCAGTTGTATCAGAAGAGTTTATTAATTAATGAAAATATATTCTGAGGTTTATTACTAGATTATCATTTTAGTTTCTTGTCAGCATTTTATTTATTCTTCTTTATTCTTTTGTACTCTATGTTCGTTTATTGCCGATTTGTTTTTGATATCCTCGGGTATTCGGACGTGAGCCTAGCCAACTCGCATTCGGAAATCCAGGGGTATCACACGATCCAAACCCCACCCGACATTTTCGGGCTCAGGTTGGTTATTTCAATGTTTCTGTTTGGGCTAGGATTGGCTTTTCTAACCTGAGCCCGATTTATATTTATATATTATAAATATTTATTATTTTATTATATTAAAATATTCAATTCAATCTTAGCTATCTATTTTGATCCAATGGCTGGTATCACCCCTATACACTACTCTTCAAAAAAACAAAAATCCTACTAGTGCCATTCCAAGAGAGAGGAGAAGCCCTAGCCGCCGCCGCCGCCGCAATCGTCTTCATCTCTTTGTCATCGTCGTTCTCGAAGCAACAAGCATTGACTGGTACCTCCTAGAAGAAGATGATGAATAGGAAGAAGAGGTGGCCGAGGCCAAAGTTGTTGGAGTCAAATCCAAATCTGAATTTCTTTTGATCTCACTTTCAAACCAAAATCCGTATTTCTTCTGACCTTTTTTTTTTTTTTTTTTGGTTTATTTATAGAGAGAAAAAGTGTGAATCCCAACTGGGTTTGTAAAACATTGCTCTACTTCTATTGATCTCCCAACTTCCACTGCTATCCTCTCTCTCTGACCATCTTTTTCTTTGTAGATGAAGTCTTAGACACTATTTTTCTGAAACTTTGTACCTGTAAATTGATGGAGTAACGATGTAGAGAGAGAGAGTGTGTGTGTTTGTGTGGTTGTTTGGCTTTGATTGTTTTGTGGGTGGGTGCTGAAAAAAATTTGCGGGCCAACCCAATTGTTGCAAGCAATTTGATAAGATGTCCAATCAGGCAAAACATCACACGTGAGAGAGAGAGGGGGGGGGGGGGGGGGGGGGGGTGGTTGGAGGGTTAACCTGGAAGACACGAGTAACCCGCCCGACCTGGATATTTTCAGGCACAGGCTGGCCCAAAGTGACCCGAGGTCTGTTCAGTTTGGGCCTGCCCAACTTGCACCCCTTGTAGTGGGTGATTGTAATGCGTCGGGCCTGGGGTGTGACCCCTGGAAGTTGGATTCAGAAGTAATCAGATATAACAATTTTTTGCAGAAAAATATTTTGAATGGTTTATGTTGAAACAAAAGAACTTGACTTGGGAAAAGAAGAATAACTGTAAGAAAAAACAAACTAGAGGTTTTTATAAAAATTCAACTATATATTCAAAACCAAAAAATGTAAGAATATTACATCAAAGGGATAGACACGAGTACAAAGCATAAAGGAATCATCAAATTGTTTCTACATATACGCATACACAAACTTATCCATACAGGTATATATTGTGTTTTTTGTTACGACTCTTCATGACCCAGGTGATTGTGGTTATGGTTTCCAAGTTACAAAATTTATGTAGTCATAATATAATAGATTTACTTGTCACGAAGTCAAGTTTGTCATATTTATCTTATTCCTGTGTCCAAGGTTTTTGAGATTTGACATGTCGATACATCCATGTCTTTTTCTAGCTATTTATAATGCTTTTGACAAGTGTGCAGTACCTTGGAAATAAATTCCATAATTCCAAAACAGATGGGAGCACTTTCAGTGTAAGTGGACATACACTTGTGCAGGAAGAATTCTATCTTCCAAGCTGGATGCAAGTAGAATAATTGCATCTTTTCAGGTTCATATATGGTAGGAGCCTTGCAGAGTCACAATGCAAAAGCAAATGATAGAAGCTTGTAAGGTTTAGTATCCAGTAGTTGCAATAAGCATTTGTCAGATTAGTAGTACAACCGGTTCTTATTTTTGTCAGAGAAATATTAGGAATTTTGTTCTCATGTTGCATTTCTCAGCAAATGGTCAGTATTAACTACAGATAATTATAAAAAAATAATAATAATAATAAATAAATAAATAAAACCTCAATCCAGATTTTCTATTACCTGATTGAAGATCCAACATTTGTACCAACATGAAAGAAATATTGATGCCAGCTACAGCAAAGGGATACTCCCATTCTGCTCTGTTTCCATCTCTTTTGTGAAGTAAGTTCTGGAATGCATCCTGTCAAATGAACAAAAAATTATGAAAAAACTTTCCATTTCTAATTCTATTATTCCATGTTGAATGATAAATAACACCCACAAATGATTTAATAAGAGTCCTAATATATTAGCATACTCTTCTATGATTTTAGTAGCCTAAATATACGCAAGCAAAGAATTACAAACTTGAAAACACACAGCACCGGGAAGCTAACAATATTTTGCAACGGGACTGTGCTAAAGAATGACATGCAGAAACAACTACAAAGAATGGCACGAAATCCCAAAAGAGAAGTGAATGTTTGACAGCTTCGCTACAGTGTCAAGTAATCAGGTACCATTATAGTACTACGAGTTGGCATGCAATCAAAAATAGAATATTCAAATTATAGCTGAATTGAAGACAATCCACCAAACGTCCAAAAGAGCATCTAATTTACCCAAAGCCCCTATTTACGGAATCTGAGTGAGAAATTATGGAGTTTAAACAAAGCAGTATGCCAACGATTTTATCAAAATTACCAAAAAAATCTACAGGCATCTAATTTACCCAAAGCCCCCCATTTACGGAATCTGAGTGTGAATAATTATGGATTTTAAACAAAGCAGTATGCCAGCGATTTTATTATAATTACCAAAAAATCTACATCATCTTATTTTCGAAGTCGCTAACAATACTTTCAGTAAAAATGTTGTGTTCATTAAGAGAAAGAAATTGAACATTAACAAAGTGAGCTCCCAACATATGGAATATAATAAACACCAGTGAATTTCACTTGATACTCGGGTATGGGTGTCGGATATGGGTGCGTATCTAGAGGTCGGATTTGTCAATCTATCACATCATAGGATACAGGGACATGGCTAAAAAGTGTCCAATATTTAGACACAAGTACTTGGACACTTATAAAAAATATATATTGTACAATTGTTTTGAAATGAATATAAAATAAGTCAGTTGTACCTTTTGAAGGGAAAAAAATAAAAAATCATGCAACTTATATTATCGTATTATTTGATTTCTATTCTTATTTAATAAAATGAGAATTAGTTGCAATATCATATTACTTGATTACTATTCTTATTTAATAAAATGAGAATTAGTTAGAATATCATATTATTTTATTACTATTCTTATTTAATAAAATGAGAATTAGTTGCAATATCATAGTATTTTACATACGTGGTATCTAAGACTAATTAATGGTTTACCGCTGTAAACCATTTACTCTTCTCGAGAGGCTAGAAGTTTACATATTGGAAACGTGGCATCATCTTGACCATTAAAAACAGGGCATTAAAAACATATCGGTCAGTAGTCAAGCAGCTCGGCGAGGCATCTCAACCTTTTGCTATTTCAAACTAGACCACCATTTGAGCTTCCTAACACCGTGAATGGCAGCCGTGTCTGGTAGAGAAGATGACTAGTCTGACCCATATCCTGTGTCTGTGTCGTGTCATGGACACACTTGCCGGCACTGGAGAGTCCAAGTAACATAGCTTAATACTGCCACAGTAAGACAAATTAATTTTAAAAGGAAAAATAAAAAAATAAAACCTCTATTCAAAGTAAGTTCATCGATGGCGTTGGCAAGTATCCATGAATCCCCCACAAACTCCCTCCCAGCCTCCACCCACCCCACTTCTTTATTATTATTATTTTTTTTTTTGGTGAGTAAATCCACTTCAACCTCTTTGGCTCTTGTAATTAGTTTATCCATATTTTTCTCCAACTTTGAAGTAAGAGCATAGGATTTCTCATTGCTACCACTAAAAAATATAACCAATTCTACTCCCCATTACTCATCAAGGACCCACAGTTAAAGCTCAATTTCTAAATGTTTCCTAATTACACCAGATATAAACTCAATTTAACACAATAGAGACTTTTTCCCAACTACTTGGGGTCGACTAGAACCCTATTTTTCATTCCACTCTATTCAAGGCCATAGTCTCAAACAAACTACAATTTACCATATTTTCCCATACTAACTCTATCCACGTTAACTTCGATCTCCTTTCCTAACATTATCCTCAATGTGGACCATGTCACCCTTCCTAACTAGCGCATTTAGTGGCCTTCTTTGTGTGTGTCCAAACCATCTAAATCATGATTAACATCATCTTTTATTTCTTCTTCATTGTGAATAATTGAATCTAAATAAATAAAAAATGGTTAAAAAAATATATGGACTTAATGCTGACTCTTGATATAAGTTTATAGTAATTAGAAAGTCACTTGTTCCACTAACAGTCATTCTAACTATAATCACTTCCATCATATATGTCCTTTATTGTATAAATATATCCCTCAGTGATTCCTTTATTTTTTAAAATCCTCCATATTAGATCTCTGATACCCTACCTTAGGCTTTTAGATTTATTCATTAGACTGCAACTGAAAAAGATTCAAGTTCCAAGTCAACAATACAAGTTATCAGGGGTGCAAAAAAAGATGTCCAAAAAAAATTCAGATACTGTATTGAATGCATATAGATACTTCCATGCAATATACAAAATTAGATTACAATAAAAATTAAAATGTTTAATTTGTTCCTTGACACCCCAAAAAAGCATAAGATGGCGCATTTTATTCAATTAACTCCAATTGAATTTGGCCATTTTAGCATTTGATTTAAGGTGTTGTTGTAAGAGGAAGTGGGAATAAGATAGCCTTTATGTAAAAAAGTGAGACAAATTGAAGGCATGTTGGGCTTGGGTTAAGGAACCTAGGTTAAAAGGTTGGGTTAAGTTGGGCTTGAAATGAAGGTCTTGTTATACCTTTTAGGTTGAGCCCTCAACCTTCGAGTTGCGACTCCAATTGCATGTGATCATGGGGCAGATAAAATGTAAATGTACATATATGGAAAAATATTACTTTAAAAAAAATGGCAGATGATGGAAAGATTCGCAGAGTTCGAGTCAAATAATCCATTGTGCAGAAACAAATCCTTAAAAGGATCATACAATCCAATTAAAAATGTGCTTCAATGTACAATTTGAAATGAGAATGGGATTCATGTTGTAATACCATATAGTTGGTCCAAGGCACTAATGATTCATCAATAAGTTCAAACTGAGATAATTAAATGCAGTCCATGCAAATGAAAGAAATGGAAACAAACCGGGTACATCTTGGCAAAGAAGATAAGATTCTCCAATGATATATAACCTCCACCCCTAAAAATAGTATTCACAAAATTAAAAATAATGTCAGTTTACAGGAGAAATCTCAGAACAAACCAGCTTCCAGTCCACATACCTAAAGTCAGTTGAAGGATCAGATCCTTGCCAACCCATCTCCTTCCAAAGCTCCGTTTTGAGAGATGGGAGTTCCCTGTCAGGATAAGCTAACTGCCATAATAGTCTAAGTGAATCCTGATAACCAAAAAAATTCACTCCTTACCACAATTTGACAAGGAAAAAAAGTTCTGGTTTCCTGCTAGTTAGTCTACTCATACTTCACATTGAGCATTAGTAGCACACCATATATAAGCTATAGCTTCTGTCCATCAAAAACAAGAGACTAGGATAAGCGTCTGTCATGCCTCTAGCATAAGTGCATACTGATTTATTATTGACCATATGTATCATTATTTGGTATGAAGAATTACAAGTTTTTAGCTGATTAAGGATTTTATCATAGAGAGCTCACGATAACCAGCATTAGTTACAAACTTAAAACACGTAAAGTATGTAATGTGTCTCAAGGATGACCTTGAAAATTGATAATTGAGTAGCTTGTTGTAAATCATGTATCATTATTTGGTATGAAAATCATGTAAAATGTCTTAAGGATTGTTGCATACTGATTTATTATTGACCATATGTATCATTATTTGGTATGAAGAATGACAAGTTTTTAGATGATTAAGGATTTTATCATAGAGAGCTCTTACGATAACCAGCATTAGTTACAAACTTAAAACGTGTGAAGTATGTAAAGTGTCACAAGGATGACCTTGAAAATTGATAATTGAGTAGCCTGTTGTAAATCATGTTATAGATGTTCTGATTGTAGACATTTGTCAATTGGGATATCAATAAAGAAATTTGAAATTTAAAATTTCTCTTCAATTATCATCAGTGCTATTGTCATAATTGTTGAACTTCACATTCTCATCACAATCCAAATGCTCGGGGTTAGGGGTATTCCCAAATCTGGTCCTGCACAGCAGACTCCTAGGGAGTAGGGAGTGAAGACTCAAGATGGACCTAATATTCGATATTTCATAAGGTGGACGCTCTAAGGCTCGAACCTATACTAGCATCACCAATACTCGAGTATTTTACTGCTGAGCCAGACAATAGACCTATTCTTCCCACAAGTGAACACGATACTTTTTAATTATTCGTTGCAAAGCTGTCTTTCCTTTTTTACTTTTACATGAATTGCCATTTAATTTGTGGTGTTAGCATGTGTTTATTGTAAGTTGTTACTGTAACATTGCATTTTTAATCCAACAAAAGTTGTTATTAGGTCATATATATATTTTTGGCCAGGAAAGTTAATAGAATTGAGAATAGTTTTAGAAGACAAATGTAGGTTGGCAAGATTATGGAAGTTGATTTTTTTATTTTTTATTTTAAAAATAGAAGTTGATTGTTTTGTGGACTTCTAGAACAAAGTTCAGTTGTTAAAACTTTACGAACTCATGAAAATGGGACAAAAGTAATATTGTCCTTATTTTATGCCACTGGGAATTTTTTGTGAACCTTACTTGAGAAACTAAGTTATTAGTGAAAGGGAAACTACTTCAGGCTGTATTTTGCAGGGCAAGGCTTGCTGGATGTTACTGATCTCTTTCAGTGTGTTTTGCTGTAATTTGCTAAATTGTGCTTGCTGGAAAAGTGATTAACAAACTTAATAAGATTTTAAAGGCACGATAAAAGGAATGGAGCAGAAGCACTATAATATCAACTTGTAAAAGTAAGGGAGATATACAAACTGTAGCAACCATGGAGGAATAAAATTGTTGATGAACACTACAGAACTATTGCAAAGGATAATAAGTCAAAGAATAAGAAAAGACCCAATAGTGTAAGATAGCCAACTTGAACTTATGCCACGTTGATCCATTAACTGATACTAAGACAACTAATGGATACTCAGATAAGGCATATGATAAGAGTACGAAGACATAACTTGGTGGGCCCTACAATGAAAAGGAATTGCTGTAGTACATAACTGAAAAACACGATAACTTTTCATTGATGTAGCAGTGTGGCACATAATGAAAATTACAATGATGTTTACCAACTGAAAATTTTCTGAACCTTCTTGATGGTTGAAAATTACCTGCTCTGGTGTTGTAGATTATAGTAATTTTCTTTCATTTTAAAAAAGTTACTGACAACTACTATTCTAAAGCAACTTTTGAACTTAAATAAGTGAAAGAAATACAACAAGGGGATGTTCATAAAGTAAAAAGAACACTTGTCGTAAGATAAATAAAAAGCATATAGGATATAAAGGAATACTTGATGCTCCACGCAAGAACCATCAAAGGGAACTTGCAACCTTTGCTGGAGGTTTCTGAGTCTTGCTTCCTGAAAGCATACCAATTCACAGCATTAAGACAATATAAAGTAAAACTAATATGAATAACAGAAAGAATATAATTAGGCACATGTTTTAGGAAGAGAAAGCAAATGAAGGAAGCAAAGAAAACATTTCCACACTAGATTATAAAGCTCAAAATGTGTAACTGATCCCTACTTGCCACGTGCCAACATACCTGTAAAGGACTAAGCAAAGGGGGAAGAAAATTCTTGGTTTGTCCATTTTGAGTGGCAAAAGGAAAGGGCAAAAGCCGTCCAATAAGTGATCCAGATCCAAGGACAATATTTGCTACAGGGACCAAAATAAAATTACCAATTAACACATCTGCAAGGATTTTATAAATCTCCGCCATCTATAATAATAGTTAAATAAATAAATAAAAAGGAAAACAAGATCTGACATGTCATACAGCATGATTTTTTATCTTTTGGTAGTCGTTTAATGAAAGAGATCAATGATGACAAAGAACTGGATCTTTGTCTAGCGTCTAATCTAATGCTCTAGACATGCAATATAGTCTCTCTGATCATTAGAAACTCAACCATGATATGGTGGGGTTAGTCTGCCAACCCTTTATCGACAAACAAAAGTTAAAAATGGACTCTTCCTTAATTCTCCCACATCCAACAATTATCAAAGAGAATAATATCTTGTATAACACTACACAAGTAGCTTTGGTGCTGAGAACTCAACAGCGTCAAACTACACGTTAATATCTTTTCATAAAATAACATAGATATTATTCTTCATTGTACCATATAAATGTGTGTTTGTGTCAGAATATATTATAGAAAATGATAAAGTTGTCAATCAGGTTACCAAAAAGATGCATGGTGGCAAACTGGATCATTGATCTACTAATAAAACTCTACAAATGAAATTGACTACCTATCCATTGTGCTATGAAGGAAAAAAAAAAAACCTATCCATTGTGCCCACTGTGCTATTACGTGAGAAAAAAGAAGTGTCCAATGGATGTGTTCCTTCCTTCTTTCATCATCCCAAAGAGCTGCACGCACCTGTAATAGAAAGATATTGATCCAGTAATAAAAGAACAATTTTTATCTACTAAACTTCCATGAGCATTCAGCAAAAAGCATGTATACCTACAGAAGAAAAGATAGAGAGGAACAAAAACGAACCTCTGAGAGACTATCATCATATTCTTTGTTCCCAAGTAAGGGCTCACTCAGAACATCCAGCCCCGACGTCTCAAACTGTTCATGCCTTTTCCCATCAACATCACCATGGTGGAGTCGTCTCCTCAAAGTACGGGATGTCATGAATGAAGATTGTTAGGTTAGCCTGTAAAGTTAACAAATCATCCATAAAGAGCATCAATGTCGGGGGCATTAGAGATTTTATTGACTACAGCGGTGAGAAAATATATATATGTGAATCAGCTTTGAGTATCTTTCAACTATATATATATTTTTTATTTTTGATACATATATAAATATCAGCACTAAGGATGTGAACCCATTGACAGCAAAAGAATTCAAGATAAAGACAAAAAGGCTCCTTATAAACTCATGCTTAGCTGAACTCAACTCAACAAAGCCATTTTCCCAACTATTTGAGCTTGGTTACTTCAATCCTGTTTTGCCATTCCACTCTATCTAACGCCATAATCTCAATCAAACTGAATGTTATTACATTCTCCTTAGTATCTCAAGCCATTATAATTTTGGCACTTGCCCCCTCCCCCAAGGCATTACCCTCAAAGGGGACCACATCATTCTGCCTTATTAAAGCAATTATTGGTCTTCACTAACATGGCCAAACTATATTAATTGATTTTCTCTCATTTTCTAATTCAACCACCTCACTAAAATATTTATTCCTAATTTTATCATTTATTGTCTTGCCATAAGTTCATCTTAACACTCACATCTGGCCACATTCATGTCATGACTATATTGTTTCTTAACAGTTACAGTATTGTTTTATCATTTGTAATACCATACAATATTATTGCTCCAGTAACCAATTTTTGGTGCCCGTATTTAACTTTATGAAGAAAAAAAAATCACTTTTCCCTCCAATTTTGAAATTTGAGATCACCTCCAAATTAGGTAACCAGACAAAGAAAAAGACCTTAGAGTGCGTCTTCACAATCCAAACACACCTCCAATGGAATCTGCAATAACCTACCCTTTCCCCGCAGCACCATAAAGTTTGAACCAACTCCAAATTTCCCCTTCCTATCCACCTTCACCTCCCCTAGCCTCCATCCCAAAAAGAAATTCAAGAATCCATTCACCCCCTCTAACTCCCAATTCTCCACTCCCCTAGCAAAGTGTGGTTCCCAAAGCCAGAAAACTTAACATAATCAAGTATTATTGCCTCCATATTTTGGGCAATGCCAAAAAGAAATGGAATAAATTAGTAGTCGGAAACTATAAAATAAAAAAATTTACTCATCATAACTTCTAAACTAATATTATAAGTTAGTGGGCATACATATTAAATAGGGTAAAGTGCAATAAACCCCCTTCAACTATACCCCAAATGCAACTAACCCCCCTCAACTATGAAATTGCCTAAGTTTTAGGACAGAGAACCTTTTTCAGATCATCTCCCACTACCGGAAATTGGTAAAGTCTATTTTACCCCTTTCACAAAAGGGTGCCGCATCACAATGTTGAAAAGACTAGAGGACACGTGCCAACAGCCTATTGGCTGAATAGGCTGCCGACTTTAGTTTTTCTTTTTCTTTTTCTTCAACTGGGTATCTTCTCACTCTCCCCTCTCTCTCTCTAACCTCTCTTGCTGTCCAAGCCGCCAACGATGTACAATGGTGAGATCAGGTAGTGTAGGGACAACATGACGACAGTGAAGCAAGACCAACAAACAAACGACCAAGCCCCGACCAACAACCAACAACCAAAAAATCAAACGGCGATGCCCCGACTAGTCACTCGGTGAATGTGGTATACCGACAAGCACAACCATCCACCAACAGAATTGAAACAGTGACAGCGAAGCTTGCACACAGCCATCGCAAATGATTTGGTGTTAGGATTTCTTTCTCTGTGTTCTGCCAACGTGAAGCTGACAATTGGGTACAAAACCAGTTTAATCACCGCGCGCGCACACGCACACGCACACCAAGAGAACGCTACCTCTCTGCGCTCTTGTTCTCCAGCAGCCGACGATATCGCCGACTAATCAAACCTCTGGCTGGTGATAAAGGGGGAAAAGTAGTGAATTGCAGATGTGCGTGTGTGCAAGCGTGTGAGAAAGAGAGAGATTTGACTGTTGAGATGGTGTTACGTTGTTGCAGGTGGTGGTCATGGAGATTTGTATGTGTTCTTGCTTGATTGGGTTGAATTGCATGCACTAAAAATTGCAGGTGATAGTCATCAAAATTTTGTCCCAATTCGTGATTTTGGGTCTCAAGGTGTAAGTGGTGTTAGGGTTTCTCTTTGATTCGGCGTGGTGGTGGAGAGGAAATCGACGTCCTCATCAGATTGATGAGTGAAGATGGAGAATGAGTGATTTTACCATTGTTACAGATGATAGGGCTTGTTTGGTGGGTATTGGGTCCAACCATCAGCCAAGGGCATTATGGTCTTTTAAATTTCATAAGGGCTGTATGGTCCTTTACATAAATATTTCCTCTCACATGCAAGGCATGCGTTTAAAAATGATCAGCCGGTCGCCGGAATGGGTGTTGCAACCAAACACCTAAGTTTAAGGGGGTTTTTTGCTAATTGGGGTATAGTTGAAGGGGGTTGATTATACTTTACCCTGTTAAATATGCATTAGCAATGTTATAACATATATTCCCAAGTTTAGCACATTATGCAAATTGTTACTCTCCATTCATATCAACATATTAAAACACACCATCCACAGGTATAAAGCGCTATCATATAAGTTACCATATCAAAATATTTGTTAAATTATTTGAGTACAGAGAGTAATTAATTCAAAATCAGATCAATCCATAAGTAGTTACTATATCAATCTACTATATCAATCTACTAAAACTATTGATTTCTTATATATCTTTTTTTCACATTTTACCCTGAATATGACAAAGAGAAGCCATAACAATCAACTCATTTTCTTTTCCAATGAGGCTTTGAATATAGGTGTCGTCAAAAATGAAAAAATTAGGGAGCCAGATACGTGAAACTGTCTAAATTCAATATATAATATAAACAACATTCAAAATGAGTACATCTATTGACTAAATTTCATTAAGGGTGGGTCTTGGCACAATGGTAAGGTTGCCTCTGTATGGGCAGAGAGGTAAGACGAGATCGAATCAAAGAAACAGCCTCTCTATATGCAGATTCAAGACTGATTACATCTAACCGTTACCAGGCATCTGGTGAACTGGACTAACCCTTTTTTTACAGCTGTTAGCACCAAAAAATAAAGAAAAAAAAAATATACAAGCTACCATGTAAGAGAATCTAAATTACAGCACCGAAACCAAAATAATTCAAAACCATATGAACAAAAACATTTTGAGTTACAGGTGATCATTCAGGGCTGCTGACACACATTTTATCTTATATTCTTGAATATAACACCAAAATTAAGGAACGATGAACTCTATGATCTATATTCTATGTAAAAGAAAAAAAGATAATACATATACATATATGTGTGTGTGTGTGTATGAAGAGAGAGAAAGAGGATTCCGATCCTACCAGTATGAGGAAGAAAGAAGATGACCAGATCAAAGAGAAGATGAAAGAGTTTCTTTTGATATACGATTTCAGAGAGATAGAATAGGAAGATGACAGGAAATTTCAGGAGCGATAAACCCTACCTGCACGGCATTCTTCAATCTCTTTCCGTATGGCACCGACTACCGACACTCGCCAATCAAACGGTCCAAGCCTGTCCAGACCTAGGACAGGACTCCGTTCAAACCCAGCCCCAACCAACCTTTATATATATGGGTAGTTTTCCCAATATATTGTTTTATAATATATATTTCAAAAATAAAAATTATATATATTATTTGAATATGGGTGACAATAATATTAATCTGATTTTTTCACATTTTACTGGCTTGATGCCCCAGCATACCTATATAAAAGAAGGGACATTACACAATTTTGGTCCAGGCAAATATATATATATGGGTTATCATTTTTTTTTTTTTTTTAAAAAAAAAAAATTGAAAATGAAAAGTTATGAATTAAATATTGAATTTGCATTTTGCAATGTATTTTTAAAAATGTTTTGTGATGAAAATAGATATATTTTAAAGATTTCTTATAAAAATGTTTTTTATAATGTTTGATAAAATTGAAAATTAAACACGCAATTTTTTAAAGTTTAATTATAAGTGCTAACTATATTTTGAATATATATATATATGAATTTTAATTTTTAACAATATGCAAAGCCTCTTTCACTTAGAATTGTATACCATTTTAATTAAATTTTATATTATGTTACTACATCAAATACACTTAATTCAGTAAGTGTAAATTGACTTATTAAACATCATCTTAAAATATATATCTATTTTTAAAACTAGCATTAATTAGGAATTAGAAACTTTAAAATATACAAATTGAATCTTTTTTTTAATTATATAAATAACCTTATGTTAGAACATAGAAGTTGGTTTTTTCAAAAATTTAGTGGATTGGCCTATATATGAAGCATGACAACGAGGGAACAAAATTCTCTCGTGTGTGATCTTATTCCGTCCCGTTACAAAAAATATTGACGGGACGGAAACAAATAAAGGGACGAATGGCAGATTATTGTTTCTACGTCGCCTTCATGCATGATTTCTGTCTGGACTCTCTCTTTCAGTTTTAGCTGGCTTTGGCATTCTGTTCCTTTCGTGCTCTAATATATTTGATGGCACTGCCCTTTTTCCAAAGTAGAGATATATATATATATATATATATGTATCAATTCCTTATAAACGCATCGAGGAAACTCACTCTCTTGTCTAGATTCAGAAGATTCATATCCTAATGTGATTCCCGATTTCTTCATTTCTTGCCTGGTGAAGTGAGAAGAGGCAGCTCCAGATGATTTTCTCTTTCTGAAATCGATGATAGATTGAAGACTTGGGAAAAAGAGTAGCCGCACTACATGATAGAGAAGACAGAAGGATTAGACTTGGTCACTTCCCACGGGAGTCAAACAATTCCTGTATGGCACTTAACTTGCTTTGAAAGGCACGAGTCCAAGAAGCAAAACCGAAGATTCACCCCGAAATAGAGAAGAACACGGGAGAGGGATCTAAAGTGGCTTAAAGATACATATATATATTTGTACAGAGACTTATTTGTACATTTAACTCATGTATTATATATTATATACATATCTACTTATAATCTGTCATGGTATTTTTATTTATCTTTTTCACAAGCAAGAATCAAGGGAAAGGTACCAATTATATAATTCATGTGTGTTTCTTTTCACATTAAAAAAAAAAAATTTCCTAAAAAAATTTCCTAAAATCAGCTTCCAGAGGCCTACTTGAATCTATAAAAACATCCATTTGAAAGGCAAACATTCTAAAAAGGATATGACTTCAAATGAGAGAGTTCATATGAAAATGCAGCACTACAAGTACAACAGCTACCATTAAAGTCTCTAATTAAAATGAGTGAATATTCTAAACAGATTATTATCAAAAATCCTATGACGTTCACAAATATAATATAATCAGGCTACATCTGAAAAGGAGATACAAGTAGAGTTGTAACGTGCAACCAGGTTGTGAACAGAGACATGCATTAGGGTTCTTGTTGTCATAGTACACAGCTCGCTGTAGACACAGCTATTATATCTACAATTGATTCTTGTACATGTAAGTCAAGATTTAGTTGCCAAAGTACTTTGTTATCATTGTAAAGCACCTGGGAAGGGTATAGGAGGTGTCCCACACAAAGGACCGTGGATTGGATTAGAAAACAGAAGAATTCCTGCCTAAGCACAAGTACCACCTATTAATATACAAAATGACACAGGTCTATTTCAAGTACTTCCAAAGAGGACCTCACTGCCGGGGTAATGGCGGTGGTACTGGCTGATGGCTATGCCCATAAATTCTATTACTTGGAGCCTGATAAAACCCTCCATTGGTGGGAGGCTGCAGCTGCTGCGATGGCGGTTGTGGTTGCTGCAGTGGCTGATGGGCTAGTCTTGCTCCCATTGCATTATGTGAAGGTGGACCTAGAGGTAGCAGGCTGTTAGCACCATATCCATAAGGAAAAACCCCAACCATCAGACCAGCAGATTGGACGAATTGATTTGCTGCAGAATTTGGAGGCGGCATAGGTGGTAGAGGTGGTGGTGGTGGTGGTTGAGGTGGAAACGAAGCTTTTATCTGGTTGTCTTGAGAAACAGATTGCATATTTGTGGGTTGTGGAAGCGAAAGACCAGTCATTGGTTGCTGTTGTAGAGAATTAAAATATACTGTGTTACTCATTTCAGAATTATTAACATCAGAAACTGCCGATGTCTCCAGTTTGGGGCGTTTTTTTGGAGAGAACATGGGTAACCCAGACGCAAATCCAGCTGATTTTAAGCCGCCATTCAAGAAGGCAGCCTCTTCTGCAACGAGTGATGAGAGAACAGAAGTAAGCATCTGTGCAGAGGATGTAGAAGCAGCAAGCTTAGCAGCAACCGCAGCAGCTGCTGCTTTCTTGTTCTCTTCTTCGGCAGTTGTTGAAGATGCAAAAGATATCACAGGTTGGGCCAGTGGAGGCAGCAGAGGGGAGCTGGTCGGTTGAATTGAAGGCAGGTTTGGCTCCACTACCATTGCGGTTTCCATTGGTGGGTTAGTACTGGTTGACAGGGGCCCGGAAAGAGAGGGTGATGTAAGCTTATGCCTCATACTGTTAACTTGCTCAACCTGACCTCGAGCAACCTGCAGAGCCATTTGACAGACACTGTTTCATTCCAACAAAGAATAGTCGTTTCCAATGTATCAAATCAAACCACAATAAATAAAACACAAGCATATTAGGTATACTAATATATATTTATCTGTGATATAAGTGAAACAAAGTGTGACAAACTCCTAAAAGAGAAAAGGATAAATTAAAGAAAAACAATCAAATTCACAATTTGTCATGTCAAAGAACCACCTTCTTGTAATCATGCATATTGCTTGCACAACATTTCTAGTGGAACATCATGTGAGCATGCATGCATCTTTTATCAAAGGGAGTTGTCTTTAATAAAGAAGGCAAAATTTATCAATAGTAAAAAATCAACTATATTATCTGTCATTTATTGCCTCCTTGTCATAAATCACAACCTAGGAAGCATGGACACTCCAAAATGGGCAAGAATCCGTGTCCGACACGTGTTGGACACGGACAAGCGTCGGACACGCCCCGACACGTGTCGAACACGTCAAAAAACGTGTCTAGAATTTTTATTTTTTTTTGAATTTTCGGACACGGCACGGACACTCCGCGGACACTTCTGGAAATTTTTTTTTTTTTTTTTTTTGAATGCTGATATGTTCTTCTTCTTTTTTTGTTTTGTACTACCCTTTTGGTATTGTAAATGGTAAAAGTCCTAGGTCAAATGATGGATGGGAATAGATGATAGTACACTGACTTGTTTTTGTATCTTTTTTGGGGACTAGCCTTTAGGTTTTTGTGAATGTTAAGTGCTAACAGTAAAGTCCTGAATATTAAACAGTTATGAATGTTAATAGTCCATTCTGCCTATGCTTTTGTATTTGGAGTAAAGTTGCAATGATGATTAAATGATACTAGTTATTATTCTAATGTCTTGTTTTTTATTTGGTTTTATAACTCTGCAACATTGTTCTTTTATAGTTTATTAGTTATGAGTTATGATTTGTGTTTTTTTTTCATTGTGAGGTTGATTAAAAATAGCAACACTCAGTAATTTTTAAATTACTACATCTATATATATACTATTTGCCGTGTCCCCGCCGTGTCTGTGTCCTAATTTTTTTGGATTTGCCGTGTCGCCGTGTCGGTGTCGTGTCGTATCCATGTCCGTGCTTCTTAGATCACAACATAATGAATAGAGCCATAACCTAAACAGGTCAATTAAAGGAAGACATTGTATTCTTCTGCACATTTTAAGATTAACAAAGACTGACATTATCTTTAAGTAAATAGAATTATAAGTCAACATACGCAGGGATTAGGAGAGGGTGGGCCTTGACGCAACGGTAAGGTTGTTCCATCGTGACCTAGAGATCACGGGTGCACATGGTTCGGTTCCTTACGGTACCGGTCGGAACCGGAACCGGAACCGTTCACAACGGTTCCTAAAAAGCGGAACCGGAACCGTATAGATTAAAACCGAACCGTAGAATCGGTTCGGTTCCATGAGAACCGTTAACCATGAGTTGAGAGACAGCGGCTGAAGCTTGCGAACCAGAACTGGAACAACGGGCGATGGAAACTGAAAGATATGGGTTTTGATTTTTTGAACAATCTGAAATGATATGCCGAATTGCCGATATGGGTTTTGAACTTTAGATTCTTGCAGGCAGATTTGAAATATATGGGTTTTGAACTTCTGATTCTTGTAGATTTTGTAGTTTATAGTTGCAGAGAGAGAGAGGGCAAGTTCAGAGTCGAGAGGATAAAGATGGAGGCGATTGGGGAGGCTGAGCCGCTGAAAATTTCAGGAGACGAGGACTGAGAGAGAGAGAGATCTGAGAGGAGGCGAGGACTGAGAGAGTGAGAGATCTGAGATTTAGGGCAAAAAACTAAAAAAATAGGTTTTTCACGCTTTTTTTCACCTCTCTAAGGTCCAGCCGAGTTTACTCTTTAGTATAAAATTAAATATAATATATATATATATATATATATATATATATATATATATACGGTTCCGGTTCTTACCGGTTCCCACGAGCTGGAACAAGAACCGGAATCGTATGCACACGGTTCCTAAATTCGGAACCGGGACTGGAACCGGAACCGTGAGAACCGGAACCGAAGCTTCGGTTCTGGTTTGGTTCCACGGTTGTTTTGTGCACCACTAGATAAAATTACATACATGTGATTGACCCAAAAAAAAAAAAAAAAGTTACGTTCATCTGACCCTCCCCAAACCCCGCAGTGGAGGGAGCCGGGCTAGCCCTCTTTTTTTATACGCACGAATTAGGAGACAGCATATGATATGACACCACTAAAACAGTGAAGCTTCAAAATATCACTGATTAAAATAGTTGGACAACAGCAGTACTGTAGATGTTAATCAAGAGAGAATTTTCAACAGTCATTGTTGGATGTCGGAACAATAAAGCATTTCCCGGAAGTAGACCCAAGTGACTTACACGCAAGAGGTCAAAGAGTTGAAGCCACCATGCACTTTGTTAGGTAGGGCCAAGGTCATAAAATATCAGATGGCAGAGAAGATATAAGGAGACTTACCACGGGTGGGGCGGGGAAAGAAGAATGACAAAAACAGAGATACCATAAATTAAATAAATGAATGATTTTTTTTTTTCCACGCGTCAAGTAGATATTAATATTAGAAACTCCGTAAGCTTTATTCTTTATAGCCGCCTGTCAAGTCCATATTAATATTAGGAGGTTTGTAAGTTATAAAATTTCAGAGTGGCTTCTGGGAAAATCAGCAATGAGGTGGGCTATGGAGCTGGATGCTGTCACAGGGTTTAAGGTACGCTGCTTCTACAATTTATAGTGCCTTGACTCTTGAGAGGGGAAAACCATTCCGATTTCCCATGGGCCATGGCAGGTACTATTGTGTACCAAATCCCCTCCCACATCTCAACGTGGGTTTTTTTGGTGAGCAGAAGTGTTGTGCAAGTTCCTCACTCTTAATAACCTGTCTAAGATGCAAAATATAGTTATGAAGTATAAATAAATGAATATTTGTTTTTTCCACGCGTCAAGTAGATATTAATATTAGAAACTCCGTAAGCTTTATTCTTTATAGCTACCTGTCAAGTCCATATTAATATTAGGAGGTTTGTAAGTTGTAAAATTTCAGAGTGTAAAATCAGCAATGAGGTGGGCTATGGAGCTGGATGCTGTCACAGGGTTTAAGGTACACTCCTTCTACAGTTCATAGTGCCTTGAGAGGGGAAACCATTCCGATTTCCCATGGCAGGGACTATTGCGTACCAAAGCCCCTCCCACGTCTCAACGTGGGTTTTTTTGGTGAGCAGAAGTGGTGTGCAAGTTCCTCACTCTTAAAAACCTGTCTAAGAGGTAAAAGATAATTATGAAGTATAATTGCACGTGTAGGAGCACTGGAGAGTCGGTGAACCGCATGTTGATGCATTGGCCAGTGGCTACGGATATTTACTATTTAGTTCTCTCTCTTTTGGGGTGCAGGGTTATGCCTAAATTGTTGAGAATATGGTTAGCAATATAGTTAGAGCGGTCTGGCGGCAATTATCTGTGGCGGCAATTATTTGTTTGAGGGGGTTGAGATGCATATTTGGAAGTAGGGGGTCATAAAGAGGACCATGGCCTGATGGCCAGACTGATATATTAGTTTTTCCTAAATCAATGAGATCAGCTAAAATTTGCACAAATGATATATGCTTCTTACCAATGAATATGTCTCAAAATTAAAATAACTAAATGACCTAAAACTATCATGGACACTTTCACAGAAGCAGAACTTCTTAATCAGATTGGAGGCCAAAACATTAATTTCTAGATTCTAAAGAGGGTAGGACTTCTACAAGCAAGCAATTGCTATCTTATGAGCTTCCAATTTCCGCCAATCTTATAAATATGCACTCTAAGAAGTATCAATTGGTAAGAAGCAAAATCGGTTTCCTTGGTAAACCACTAATATTTGATTTCCTGTAGGCTATCAATTACTTTATATTAATAGATAGACGTGATGAAGGTGGTGATTATTGTATTGGTGCCCAAAGGAGGCTGATAGTTTGCTGACAATTAATGGAAATTGGGATGGTCCCAAAGATTGTGATGATGAATCCATGGAGGTATTGATTGTATTATGTTGTTCGGTTGTTACGGTTGTGGTAGTCGAATAACTGGGGGTGATGGGTGTTGGTTGTCGGATATAAGTTACATATTAAAATTGTAGGAGGTGGAGATGGGGGTGATCGTGGCAATCATACTCTTAGAAGTCATCTGATTTAACTGACTTCTAATACAACTGATTTTCAATTGGAACCTTAAACTTGGATATCCAACAACCAAATTTTCTTTTTTGACATGTTAATGTGACAAAAGAGTGACAATATGCCATATGGAGAGCAGATGATACGTGGGTGCGATGATATAAGTCAGTTATACAATAATTAGGAAATGACGCTTATCTTTGAACGGCGCATAAATATTGAGTATTTGAGTGTCTAAAATTCTCAGACATGTCCCATGGCTGGTCAGAGCGCAAGAGAAACAAAAAAAAAAACAAAAAAAAAGTATATATTTTGGGCACCAATAACATAATTAAACACCACCATAATTAAACAGCAATAACTTTTGAGGCATGAAAAATAAAAATTAAAGGCGGCCATTACGCAATGTTTGCCCCCGTTAATCAAGAGTCCTAGAAGGGACAGAATGAGTACAACCTATCTTTGGCATTACTCAAACAAAGTGGCTGCCATCAGACTTGAACCCACATTCTCATGGTTGCATCAAGTACTTTTACCACTGCACCAAGCAATGGCCACTATGTAGAAAAATAAAAAAAGAAACATAATCATTCGTACCTGCAACAGAGTGCGGATATGTTCCAGCTTTGGTACCTGAAAAACTATAGTTTAGTAAGCAGTCATCAAAGCTTAAAGGTGTTGAAAAATACAATTGCAGCAAAAGAACAGAGGATTGCAACAAAACCATACTTGATCCTGAAGTGCTTCTTTAAGCTGGGAAACCAAGACAATCCTAGTTGCTTCAGCACTTTCAAGTTGCCTAACACATTGCTGAAGTAAATTTTCCTGCTCCTGTATTTCATCCAAAAATGCAGATCCCTGCTGATTTCCTGATCAGCATAAGAAGAAACAAAGACAAAATAAACTATAAACAGCAAAAGACCATTTGATGTCTAAAAAGTAAAAACCAAGGGAAAGACAGTTTAGACTTCTCATAGGGGTTCAACACAGACAAGTAGCAAGGAAGGAAATGGTACTAGGGCAAGAAGAACACTTAAATTGACACAAGTTAAAAGTAATAAGGAAATATGTGCTAGCATATGACTTAGCTGAATAGCTTAGATGGAGTGAAATGGCTACAAAAAGATTCATATAGCCAACCCCAAATAGTTGGGGACTAGGCTTGGTTAAGTTGTGTTGTTCCCGTGACCTGCCAACTAGGTCCAGCCAAAATACAACACCAAAGGCTTTCATACTCATAACATGATGTCCGATGACATTTCAGAAGGGTTATTAATTATTATTCAAAGAACGACCAAGAGAATTGCTGTAACATGAACTTTTATACGATTTACAAAGAAAAGTTACATTGAAGATGATATATGAGTTCCATGACCACTTTTCTCACAGGGAGAAAACTCCAAACCTATCATTCACTCTAAACGTCTTCCAGCTACACAGTTCTAAAAAGTATTTTAAAGATCTTACCAACCTCAAGCAGTTGGAAAAGATTTAACTATAGATGGTGATACCTTTGACTATATAGTACTTGAAATGACATATTTAACAGTAAACTGTTTGGTCTAGATAAAAAATAGCAGAGCCTAGATGGTAGAATGGGCAAGACGGAGTTGGTCAGGCATCCTGGCATTATTTTAGTGCCTCCTAGGGTGGACTTTACGAAGTCATACCTGTGCATTTGGTGATAGAAGTTCTGAATTCAACGTAGGCAAGATGTATATGAGTTGCATCAGTGTAGAGTTACACCAAATAAACTAAGCAAGAAAAGCTGCCTCCAAACACCCATCATTGTTCTTCAGCAATGTATGCTCAAGAAGAGGCATACGTGCATTTCAGGGAAAGATAAGAAGAGAGAAGACATTACCCCTAAGATTTTGTTTAAAATGCATCATTATGAATTAGATGATATTTGAAAGACAATGAAGTCAATAAAACAGTAACCTAATCATTTCGCTCATTTGTAAGAAATGATGCACCAATGAAGCAGCCTCCTACAGGGAAGTGAATAGTCAAAGATGCAAACTTTAAGTTGGTGGCATTTGATAGTGAGTTAAAGCATTCTAAAGTTATGCCACCTGTAAAAAAAATTAAAGATGATTCATAGCTAACGGACAATGAAATATCCAGAATTTTGATAATTGTATTGTGTGATTTTTTGTTGGTGGATACTTTGTGTAAAGGCTAAATAGATTTCATAACTAACACCATTTTAGGACTAGGGATCAATTACATTAAACTCAAAAAATTTAACCACTAACAATCATTACTCTGGATCAAAAGAGGAATTATCCTCATTTGAAAGTGATTCCCTTCAATTAACAACAAAACTAAATCTTGCTCTAATACAAAAACAATGTTTTTTATTACTCTACTAGTGTTTCTAAAAAGAGTATCAGAAGATGAATAGATTTGGCATACTTTTTTCTTGGTACACGAAATTAGTTTAACCAGATATGTTGCACATGCATGATTCTAAACATAGAATATTTTTTTGCACAAGATGCTTCATGTAGCAATGGGCCAATAACTTCAATCAGCAAATCATTGGTATCTTTTACAAGCCAATAAGTTATCACAACAATGTTATCCTGTGTAAGAGGAAGCCAAGCAACATCCTATCTGTAAGACCCAACCCAACAGCCAACAACAACATCCCAACACCAGATGACAACTACACCAAGCTCCAGAAAACAACTACAGGCAAATACAACTGAAAAGAAAAAATTCAAATCACCAACTACAAGAAAGAAGCAAATAACAACATTCAAAATCAAACTCCCCTGATTTTCAGTTATTGATTATTTGGTGAAACCTAGTGAATTTTGGTATAACTATTTGGCAGATCTCTTGAACTTGATATTTGGCTTCTCAACAAACTTGACATATTTGTTGTTGATATTTTTGACTTAAATAACAGATTTGTTTATTTTATATTAAATTTTGAAAATGATGACGCCATAGATTTTATTTTGTTAAAGGTTTATATAACATGTATACGGAAGTTAGCATTTTTTCTACTGTGAGGTTGGACGCATTCTTGCTATAATTGTACTTTGGATTATATTGTGGAAGTCTAGTAAGGAATTTTATATTCAACCATTAAAATTAGTTTATTGTAACACTTGACAATAGATTTTTGCTGTGTTTGGTCATAATTATTATGTCATTACTTATCAAAAAATAAAAAATTATGTCAAAAGGAAAATTTGTTTTATTTTATAGTTCAAGAAACAAAGTTAGTAATTATTGTCATGGGCTGGGCCCTAGCTTCCCTCAGGTTTGGATCTTGGGACCTCAGTGTATCTGGGTTTGGGGTGTGACATACTCTTGGAATACAAAAAGTACAAAAAGCCAAAATTATTAATGATTACCACATATCAACAAAATCAGGACCATAGCAGGAGTTTTCAAGAAAAGGATAGAGAGCTTAAAAAAGTGTGTATAACATTTACACAAGTATTGGTACCACCGCTGCACCCTAAAAAAATCTTTGATTCCAAATCACATATACAGGTTATCACAGTGCAAGGAAAGATGTCCAATAAAAAGAAACAAAAAACTCAGATACTAAATTTAATGCATATTATACTTATTAAAATATACAAAATTGGAATTTTTTGAGAATAAAATCTAAATGGGAAACATGTATCAAATACCCCTTAGAACATGTATCCTTTATGCCTAAAAAATTGAGTTGTGGCCTTGTTTTAGGGTGTTGCTGTAAGAGGAAGGGGGAATAACATAGCCTTTCTCTAAAGAAGTGAGACAAACTGAAAGTAAATCATATCGAATCAGGTCTGGAGCCCCCCATCAACGAAAAATAACATTCAAATTTTTCATGTGATTTTCAATATTATAAATTAAAATCTTAGAATATTCACAGAGAAAAAATGAAAATTATTTTCACAGTATATACATACATACATATATATATGTACTTATTGTCGTGTCCTCACCATACCAATATCATATCTTTCAAATTTTGTAAATTAATGCATTTATAAAGTTTCATATCCACATCCCATACATATCCATACTGACATCAGCACACCAACAATTGTCCCTTATAGGGACTTGAACCCACAACCTTCCATTTGAAAAATAGAGAGACCATTAGGGCAAAACTCTTGTCTAGTATCAGGAAATTCTGGTTCAATATGCTCTAAGTTTTGGTAAATCCGGATTCAAACATGATGTTAAAATCATCAGCATAATTGAAAGACTGTCCTCCCCAAGTCACTGAACCTCGGCAATTCAAAAAAACTATGTCATATTGCACTCCTTTGAAATAATGAGCTTCAATTTGTGTTTCCCTGATAACTACGACAAAAACACTAGCATTCCAGTCAATATTTGTAACCTGGATATCCCCTTGGCACTTGGCAGTGAGAGGAAATACCACTCAAGCTAACAACTAAAAATAGATATATCACCTTCCGAGGGGGAATTAAAAAAAAAAAAAAAAAAAAAGTATATATATTGTTCATTTTTTAAAGACAAAAAGAAGGAAATAAATGAAAAACCACCACCTAACGATTTCCCACGAGAAAAAAAAAAAAAAAAAAAAAATGTAATTCGACTCTTGAGTGCCTATTTAAAATTTTGTCTCTTGAGTGCCTAATTAAAATTTTGTCAATCTCATATATATCACATCAATGTTAATCGATCCATGCCACTATAATCTTCATTCTGAAAGATTATAACTCTTACCTTGTGTGGAGATACTTTCAATGCTTTTCTCCATATTAACCACCTGATTGACAGCAGCTTTACACTTGCTTAAAGCAGCTTCTTCATTGATATTTTCATCGTCTACCGACTGAAATGCAGTTACTATTTTTTGTGGCATACCCCCGACAACCAATCTCTGAAGTCATGATGACCAAGAACAGATATAATCCAAGTTCACAGCACACAATATCTGAACCAAAATGCAATAAACCAAAGGCATGTAACCAAAATAAGCATTAATTAGAAAGTAGTAACTTACAATTTTTAATGAGTGAGCATCCTTCTTCATTATCTTTATAGGATTTGAACTCTTTCTGTTGCTGACTGACAAAGACGGAGGACCTTTACCAAGCATTTCATTTTTAAGATTCTCACCCCTTGATCCAAAAACCTTCCTCTCTACCCAAATGTCAACCTGATATATGATGCACCAATCCCACCCATCCCACAAAAAAAAAAAAAAATGAAGGTTAAAAATTCAAAATGCAAAATAATTGCCATTTTGCTAAACCATTAAAAGTCACGTCAAGAATGAATTAAATGCGCAAAAAATTGCTCATAGAACACCCTAGTAGAGTGAAAGATGCTGATTGAAAATTACTTCTGATGCTTCTCTCCATAAAATAGACCCGCTATCCTAGGATGGGATCATATTGTAGTTTGAGAGGCAGCAGAGAAAAAGGAGCTTCCAGCAAGTAATATGGTCTTAGGTTTGGGCCTTCATATGAAATTATCATCATGTACCCATGGAGAGATATAGAGAGAGTAATCCTGCTAGTAGTTAATAACTCCAAAAGCTCCAGCCAACCACCGTGTGCTAAATCATTTCTCACATATATTCTTTTTACCCCTATAGGTGGTAACCGCGCCTGAAAAAGAGAGCACTTGAGGATTCCTCAGAGAAACCAAATATTTATACATTCGACAGATGAGGAACTACAAGTAGTTGGCATTGGTCACAATTTTACACTTAAAAGGGCTGGTAGTTAAGTTGCTTACAGCAATCAAATCGGCACAACAGGAAATTGAAAAGAGAGAAGGTTACAATGAAGACAACCATTATTTGGAGTATCAATGGCGATTTAAAGTTGATGAGAAAAACAATTAATATAGGAGGAAATGAAGCGTAGTTGGTCATAAAATAATTAAGAAACTGTTTTATGGTATCTAAATGACCCATGACATCCAGACTAGACTGTAAGAGTCATTATTAATGGAAGGCTGATACTTATTAACAAAAAAAAATGATTCAAATTATTAAATTGGACACTGAGAAGGTCTGCGATCATGTTTATTGGGGCTTTCTTTTGTATATCTTGGAAGGATGAGCTTTAGGCCAAAGTGGAGGAGGAAGAAGAAGTGGATTCATATCAACTGAACTCCTGGCTTAGAGGGCTTAAACAGGTATATCTGATTTCCCCATTCCTGCTTATAATCGAGAAGGCCTTTATTTGTGTGATGGAGAGAGATGTGGGATGATAGTTCACTGAGAGGGTTCCAACTTCTGGTGGTGCAGGGGATCCTTTTGGTGATATATCATCTTTTTGTTGATGAGACAACAATATTCTGTGAGCCAAAGGAAGTATCTGAGGTGCATCCTTCTTGGGTTTCAAGGTTCAAAGATTAACTTGGTCTGATAGGTTGGAAGTCATTCAAGGGTGCAGGATGAAATTTATTCCAACTTCTTACATGGGCCTTAACTTGGGTGCGTCATTTAAGGAGATTATAGTTTAAATGATCCGATTGAGCAGCTTGAGAGGAGGTTGGTGAGGTGGAACCATGGAAGAGAAGATGAGATAAATTGAAAGAAATTTCTTGTTAGCTGGAACTAAGGATGAGTTAATAAATCACATTCTTGATCAAAAAACAGCTTCCTACACAGTGCAGAGAGGAGAATTGGGGATTAGTAACCACTGCTTGTTTAACCCAGACCTTTCAGAAAAATGGTTGTGTAGGTGGGTTAAGAGGAAAAGCTTGTCAAGAAAGTCATGGAAGGGAAGAATCCGAGTGAGCATTGTTCGATAGACAGGGAAGTTCAGATCTCTTATGGGGTGGGAGTATGGAAGAGAACTAGGAAGAAACATGATGAATTCACAAAGCAGACCTAGCAGATTGTTATGTGTGGGCAAAGAGTTAGATTTTGTCTTAATCACTGGTGCAGTGTTTGCCCCTCATAGGACCTTCATTAATCTATTCAAGATTGGGGTTAAAATGGTAGCAAACTGCCCGATATTTAGGAAGAATGGGATGGTGTGGGATATTCTATTTTACAGTACTGTGCAACATTGGAAGATGGATGATATGATGCCTTTTTATGGGATCCTGTATGACCAGGTGGTGATTTTGGTAGACGTTTTTTTTTTTTATTATTATTTTTTTTATATATGTAATTTTGGTAGAGGTTGAGTTTAGATGGAACAGTGGAATGGTTAAGGAGAGGGCATTTCAAGGTGCGGTCCTACTATAAGGTTCTCCAGGGATAGTTCATGAGGGCTTCCCAGGGAAGCTATTTAGGAAGCTAAATCCCCTCCCAAAAATAGCTGTCTTTGGAAGGACGGTAGTTTCTGAGAAAATTTTGACTATAAATAACTTATTAAAAAGAAAGTCATAGTTAACTGGTGCTACATGTAAAGAAATCTTATAGAAATTATGGATTTCTGGAGTTTTTTTTTTTGGATGATTGGATGATAGCTAGGGTGATGAGGGACGCTATTACTAGCTAGAAAAGGTGTACAGTGGAAAGGAAAGGTAGAGTAGTTCAGAAGGCGGGCCAATTAAATGGTAGAGCCTTTGGGGAGAGAGGAACTGGGTCCTTTGAACGGGTAAATCAACTATCCTAGCTCTTAATCATAGTCATTTGAGCTCCATTTCCTTTTGGATCACTACAAATACTTCTGTATTGATGGATACTTTTGCAGAATTTTTGGAAGAGAGGATTCATTAATTAACAGATCTTTTTTTATTTTTTTTCCATTTTAACTCATTTCAATAATTCTTCTAGTTGCTTTAATGGGTACAATTGTTGTAGCCCATCATTAATAAATCTTTAGAACAATGTATCCAAATCAAAATGGAAATTCATTTCTGGCCAAAAGCCACAGCAGTGGTGGGCCCCATAGCCCCATGTGTCTGGTTTGGGGATTCGGCTTTCGGCCAGAATATCAGTGCTCGATCACAATTTGTTCTAGGTTATGACATTCATTTTCCTTCAATTCTATTGGAGTTCGTGTATAAAATAAGTATGATTTTACTTTGATCTATTAACAAGTATAGAACAAACTGATTCTCTTTGTTCCTACGAACAGAGTTGTTCCATTATTACACCAACTAAATAGAACAAATACTAACCCTTGCTTTAAGATAATCCACTGAACAAGGGAGGTCCTTCACTAAAAGACTCCTAGAGAGGAATAAGGCTAACCTGAGCATAAAGGAATTTCCATGAGGTGGGAAACGAACACTAATAGCCCCACATGAGTTTTTTGAATATCTGATAATGACCAATATTCATCAGGAAAAATCAAGTTAAAGTGATTCTCGTTTTCGTTCTTGGTTTGCTGCATTTGTCGTAACAAAAAGTGATCATATATTTGAAGACATAAACTCCCTTTTTTCATCCAATAAATACAAATAAAAGAATCACCTTTAATCTAAGTTAAATGGACATACGTATGTGTTTTGGGTGTGAATATATGTTCAAGTGTCCAATTTATCAAATCCAAGGGCACGAGAACATGCGTCAATAAAATTATATTTTATAGGGTATTTTTTTGTAATTTAGAGTGTTCAACGCACTCGTTTAAAATAATAATAATACAAAAGGGATCATAATAAGAGAGTTTCATGTACAAGTATACACTAAGCTTGAATTATTGAATATGCCTGCTAGATATATGTCTAATCAGACATGTTAGACACGTAATCACATACCCAATACCCAAGTGTCGTGTCTGACATGGGTACAACACGTACTTGTAAGAGTCAACATAGCCTTTAATCCTACATAACTAGCTTCGTGTGGTGAGACAAAATCTTAACCTCAATTTTGGAGACTGAACCTGCTGGCTTGCAATAAGCAAAATGCCTCAAAATGGGGAGGGTGACGGAAAAGTGGGTCACTGCAAAACTAGACAAAGGATGACTACTGAAAAATTTTAATTGTCATTTTAGGACCAAGATTGTATGTAAATCTTTATGCATGTGCATATCCTATAGTTCACGTGTCTCCTTATGTATGCATGTATTTATGGAACTTCAGTTTTATAAAAATGTGGTGGAACGCAATATATGAATCTCTATATCAATAAATAAAGGAGTTACCAGTCTGGAGGCTGCTTTCTTTCCATGTTCATCACCATTTCCATAAACATGCTTAAGAGCTCCAGGAAGGACTTTCCAAAATTCATTCACAAACTCACTGCCCTTTCGCCTACTATTTTGCAAAATGTCATTAGCCAAATATAGGAAAGAAACACGCTGCTCTCTCTGTGCAGAATTGAACAATTTATCCCATGTTTCGATAATCTGCTTAGCTTTCTTCCGGTGAGAAATGCACCAACGTGATAACGCTGATAAAATGTTAAAAGAAATGTATCCCACAGTATTACTATTTCCAAAATCATAAATGAGAAACTCAGATAAACAAAAGAAAAGATAAAAGTAGAAGCATCCAGCTATGAGCTATATATTATTATCTAAACATGTTGTGAAGGATTTACACCCTACTCCAAAAAAGAAGGGTAAGAAAAATGTTTTGATGAGAGTATATTTCAAAACCACTAAGCATACCTCTCTCCATTGCCCTCTTGAGCAGCCTACTCAAAGCTTCCATCACAAAGACATTATAAACAAAGAAAGGGGGTCCCCTAGCCTAATTCCCATGTGGGGACTATCAAAGAAACCAGCCATGGAGCCATTTATGAAGATGAAAAAACTAAAAAAGGAACAAAGAATTCAATCCGTTCCATCCTACATGCTATCATTATTTCTAGTCAATAAGTCCATCCTCTCAAACAGAATACAGAAACTATCCCAGTGAATATGGTCATCATTGAGAAGACTCATCCCCTCTTTCATAGGCCTCAAGCTGGACTACTGAATGTTGACTATGGGATCTTAACAACTCCTTATACTATAGGCTGCTGCGTCCATGAATGACAACCTGTCATCGTCGTTAATGTAACCCAAGGTACAATTGAATATAACAGCTCGGGGCTTCTAATTCTGGAGTCTATGCACTCATTTGCCACCAAAATTGCATCCAAATTTTGATCCCTCCAACAAAGGCATTCCAAGAATCAGAAATAACTCCATCCACTACTCTCAAAAGACTCAATGGAAAAACTCGACCCCATCCAAACTAATAGACCTGAAATCCTTCAAACTCAATGTCATACCTTTCTTTGTAATCAAGGTGATAAATAAAGCTTTCAAGGTTCTTCGAACTCGCCAGAGTAATGGAAACATAGCAAGAACTTCCTCCCTTATCATTTCTTAGCACTTCAAGAAGAATGCCATTGTCATCTTGAGGCATGGTACCAAATCAACATTTAAACATCTTCGATCTTGCTAACCTTTAAACCGTTATTTTCATGACTTGTAAAATGCAATCATTAACGAGCTCCTATCTTTAACCTCCACCGCATCCATAATGACCTTGCCTATCTGATTACTTCTTCATATGAGAGTTTGATTCCTCATGTAAGAAATTAGTAATAGCCACCTTTCTTGAGCCAAAGAGCCCTCAACTTCTCTCCAACTAATCTACTTCACTAAAGGACTCTCCAAAGCTTTACCTTCCTTTCCTCCCTTCTAGCTACTCCTACACGCTCAAATCCCTCCCCCTTCCAAATCTTTCAATTCCTTAATATCAACCGTGAAATTATATTTATCTCAGATTTTTTTCCTATTTATCTTGAATTATGAATTACCAAAGACTTTCATATTCCTTATTGTAAACTCTTAATTATATTCTTTAACATATTGAGCTTTCAAGCCAACACATAAGCTGAAATCCTGAAACCAATATAAGACCTTGCCTTCCATTTTGATCCTAGGTGTACCCCTCTTAACCTTGCTTCCATCATCAACCTTTGTTTCTCCGTTTGCAACTTTTGGCACCCATAATAGGACCTTGACACGATTTCTTGCCATATAAAATAATGCTGTTTTGTTTTGTCCTCATCAACTGCAATGTAGCCCCCACAATGATCACACATAAATACTAGATACCTGATACCTACAAGTGCAATGGACAGCCAAATGATTCGTATCTAAATTAATTGAGAATAGACCACTGATTAAAAACACCCTGCAAAAGCAACCCACCATCTAGAAGTAAAGGATTCCTTCAAACCTCCTATCTCTTTGATTTGACACCTTATCTGGCTATTTACCTTTGCCTAAAATTGAGAGAGGTAAGAAGACTGTCATATATAACAAAAAAAAAAAACCCAATAACATCTCAGGAATCTCCTTGAAGGAACCCCCTTGGAGATCTCATTCAAGCAGTCACAGAACCAGCATAGCTCTGCTATATCAAACTTAAAAATACCACATATCCACTTACCCTCCTAGTCAACCAGACAGCTTCCCTCTCCCCATCATCATCCACCAAATCATATACTCTCCATCCTAGCTGAATAATCACCCTTCCATCTTGCAGAACACTTAGCTTGTTGACTTTTATGACTATGAGTCAAAACTAGGACGAGTCTTATATTTTCATCTGAATTTTATGTGTCATTTTTTGATAACCCTGACAGAATGAGGAATAACTAAATGAAAATGATCTACTATTACATTTTTCCCTTTATCTTTAAAGCTTGGAGAAGTGAGGTAGGATATCATAGCACATCAAGTGTACAAGCAATCAACCAGTTTGAGGTAGTCAAAGACTCAAAATGTAAAGGTAATTAAGAAGAAAGATATGTCATATCTTGACTAAAATAACTAAACAAACCATTCTCCAAATCGCAAGCAGTAGAAGGATACAGACAGAAGGAATAAATAAGTGCCTGTGTGCGTTTACGCGAATCATGTTCAAAAGTCAATATGATGCATGCATCCCACATATGCCAATTGTTACACATCAAGAAATATATATCCTAGTTCTAATTCCAAATCTGCAACTAAATGGAGGTCAAAATTCATAGCAGCTACAGATTTAGAAATTGAAAAAAGATTATTATTTCTCACATTATTTCAGAAATGTGAAAATTCATTGTAGTTGTACTCCTACAGTTTTAAAATGGCCATTCAAAGGAGCACTGAACCATCAGAACTTTACACTTATCAAATATGAGCTCTTATTTTCCTGCATGAAAAGGATACATTCTATACTTTGTTGCGAACTGTTGAGTTTAGACAACTTGTCAGCTAACATCTGTCTGTCAAAAACTTCGCCACTCATCTTGCTGTTTAAGAAGTTCTAATGTTTAAAGATCCCTGCAATCAGTAAAAACAAATCAGTATATCTTAATATCTACCATTCAGACATTTTTTGTTTAGTAACAAATATAGAAAGCAACAGAAGTAACCAAAGTCATCTTTATGCAATGCAATTTTAGTGATAGGAGTGACGAATCTTGAACACGGTTCTTATTGTAAATGATTGAGTGGTTGTGTTGATAAGGAGCAGGCTTATGGTCACAGCCATTGGAATTTAATTCCCTATATGTTGAAGGGAGTATGTGTAATGGGCCGGGCACTTGCCATTTGACCCAAAAGCTTAAGCAATTAGGTGATACTGCCTACCCGCCCTTATAAGCCCAAGACCCTCCCCAAGCTTAAGTCAATGTGGGATGGATCCCCTATTACATTCTCCCCCACCCAAACCCGCAACGCCCTCACCATGGTCAGGCCACCCCACCTTACCTGTCCACCCTACCGGCGGGGGACCCAGTAACAACTCGGCCACCTCCGCGGGGGCTCTTAGCAAATATATGTGTGTGTGTCTGTGTGTGTGTGTTTTTATATACAACTCAAAAATTATATATACAATCATGGGAAGCCCAATAAACAATGGGATACTCAAGGAAGCATACACTGTGATCAGCACCTTGGCCAATCAAAGGCTTACAGGGATGCAACTCGTACTGATTTGTCACCTAAAAAGCTATTTGAAGGCTGGTATACCACAACGTGCTGTCCTAAAGATTCTTTCAGATTGATTGGAGTTTTGAGACAGTGGGTCCTTTTTTTGCAAAATTTAGGGGAGGCTATGGTTGTATTTGTTTTAAACTATCTTTTCGCAAAACCAAATTTTTTTTTTTTTTTGGGGAGGGGGGACATGTCCCTGAATAGTTCGGCCCCTGAAAAGGCGCATGTCTGGGGATTTTAGAATAAGGTAGGATTGCACTTTGACAACTTTAGAGCTTTTCTAGGCCTAGGCATGCCCTTTACAACTATGGAAATATTTGGTGACTATCTGCAACTATGCCTCAGCAACCTATGGTTTCTAGTGAGGTTAAGGGTTCACTCATATGGAAGATGTCTAAACGTGAAATTTTCAATGTTTAATTGCTTTATGAGGCTGACTAAGGAATAAAGTCTAAATTTCCAATGGAAGAGTGTATGATGAATGGAGGCCCCTCTTACGGTGGCTATTTTTGCTTACTCAGCTATCCGGCATGCTATTCTTAACATAGACAATCCAAAGAATTTTGTTATTCAATTCATTAAACAGTCACTACAAACTACAAAGCTTTCTCATATAATAGCAAAGCTAACAAAAAATAAATAAAACAAACTAGAAACTCCTCCTAGTGAACAAACAATTCCTGAACCAATAGTCACCACCCAATTCCATAGAGTATAGGATTAAGTTATCTTAACAGCAACAATATTAAACCAAATTATGTACTTAAAAAGTTTCAATTGAAAATTTAAAGTCCATATATTTACAATTATCCATTTTTTAATACTAGTCCCAGTAAAAAAAGTATTACCAAAAGATACAATGATACGTACCATAATGCTATATATATCCAAAATACCCAAAAGATAAATCAAAGGACCCTCTCAAAACCCAGCTGAAATCTGTACTGGTCTAAGTGAACTAGGCATGAGAGTTGTCATCTGTACCAACCTAAATAACTGGAAGGTGATAAAAAGGTGAGCACAAATGCTGAGTAGGAAATAGTGAAATACAACTCTGACACACTTCCATATAGCTCATGTATTTTATAACACAAGTAATTGTCTCAAATAGTATTCAACCCATAAAGTTAAAAGCCATAATCAGAATTGTGAGACAGTTATACATATCTATAATAGCAGCCTCAGAATATGATAATATTAGCAACAAGCAAGATACAAGACAATGTAAAAATATCTGACAGCAGCCTCTGAAACATGATAACAAAGGTGATTCCATCAACTAAGCAATGTCAAAATTCATAGTTCAAGCATTAGAAGACCGTACAAGGAAACAGACAATGAATCATAAGATGTATGAACTCAACACTATTCCTCAACTCAACTCAAGTAGTCATGACACACTACATGGATCCACAATTGGTTCATAATAGCTGCTGACCATACAAGACCAGCGAGCATCGGTGTACGCATACAGGTCTACAAAAGGTCATCAAAATATGACGGGGTTACCCTCTTGGGACTCTCATTCAATGAAGTCACCAAACAAAATCAAAACCGGACCGTTCTGCAAAGTTTGTCTCTTGTAACTCTCCCATGATAGAGTCACCACACCAAATCAAAACCTTAAAATCCTCATGGGTTTACCTTTCTGGCACTCTCCCTAGACAGTGTCACCAACATTAAGTTATTCTCACCCCTAGCACCTAGTGCAAAGGATCTTCCTCAAACAGTGACCAAGATTATCTCTCCTTATTGACTGCAAGATCTGCCTCCCTAGTTACCCTGCATCACATACAAAAGATCTCCCATGGGTCACCGACAAAATCCTGGTACCAAACACGCAAGATCTTCCCAGAAAGTCACTCGTGACCAGTGTGCAAGATCTTCCTAGGAAGCAAATAACAAATTCCACAATCCCAACCAACACCATATGCAATACAATGTTAATTTCAAACTTGACCCATCTCAATTGCATATCCAGACTCACAATGTTATAATTACAAATCCAAATTTAAAACATCACAACTGAAATTCCAGACTAAAATGGCCACGGCCACGATCCATCCTCAGTCATCACATTCAAAACCATATCCATGAACCATTTCTGATAAATTTTCTAAGCAAAAATCGTTGTTTTAATTTGTCACCAATGTGTGCGTATATATGTACACCCTGTCCATTATCATATCATATCATATCCTATCATCCACCACAAGTTTATCCAAAATCAATAAATTTTTAAGTAAGCCATATACTTCCAAGAACACCCCAATAATACTCAAAGATCGTTTCTAAAATTCTAGTTAGTTCCACACAGGGGCGGAGCCAGTGTATGCCCAGGAAACACTTGCCCCCCTTGGCCTGGCCCCGCCCATTAAATATATATGGTAAAAAGAATATTTTACTCATAAAGATATGAAATTTTTAAGTTAACCCCCCCCCCCCCCCCCCCTTCCTCTCTTCCCTAAAATTTTTAATTTATAAAATTATTAGCAATTTTCTCTTTAAATTCCTTTAAAAAAGTTAAATTTTCCTTCTTAAAATAAACTCTAATTTTTTGCTTACTAAATTCTTTCATTTTTTCCCCTTCTACTTCTTTAAATTTTTCTCTTTTTCTGTTTTTTTTTTTTTTTTTTCTAATTTTTTTTCCCCTTAACATTGTGGCCCCCCTAAACCAAAATCCTGGCTCCGCCCCTATTCCACAATGCATACTATAACAAGATTTCCAAGTTAATTGATGTAATATTTACTTATTCTAACTTTCATAAAATGGTCCATTTCGTGTAAGGTTCATGCTAATCACTGTCCAAAATTTCAGGAAAAAAAAAAAAAACAAAAAAAAAAAACCTCCTTTTTTTTAATTTAATGGTCAAACTTAAATAGACAATCACCGTCCAATGTTTGAATGTTATAATTCAAATGAGACCATAGATTAAGTCTTTCTTTTAGTAGGCAGGGTCTTCAAACCTGGCATCCTTATTTTCTATTTTGCATAGAAAAAGTGACAGATTCCTAACAGAAACAACTAACCAATTCCTCAATCAACTTGATCATGATTTACAAAAATAAAAAATTATATAGTTCTTATTTAATTTGCCAAGTTATTGACCTAAGTATGCCCCATGATCCTTATCATAATCTGTGATAATCATTGATCAAGTACTGGCTTAGAACAACTCTTTAACCCTCCTCCATGTTACTAAATAATAGTAATGATCTTCACCAAAATGTCCCCTCAGTGAAGAGTCTCCGTCACTGACAATGCTACAGAGCATGCACAAAACATAACAATGTCCCTAAATTACAGTTAGGCTGCCCTCCATTCTTCCAAACAGTATTTACAAACTTATAGAGACTTAGCCCATTATTGGATAAACCATTTTGTACTACAGGGTATTGTAACAAAAGTCACACATGATTGATGATACCCCCATGGCCTTGTGGATATTGCAGGTGGCTCCAATAAACTAGCAAACCTTCATCTTCTTTGATTTGTTACAAATGATAGTTTCTTGAAATTTTAGCATAGTGTCTAGCATCATCCTTGTTTAAGGCCAATAATAGTATCTTTAATTGAAGCCTAGTTTCTCTTTAAAACTAAAAACCCATAAATATAAATTAAAAAAATAAAATCAAAATCAAGGCACTCTTAAAAAACCACCCTCCAAACAGAAACATACTTTAGGTAAAAGAACAACACTCTTTACTCAACAAGGGAAGAATAACATTAATTAGGGGGAAAATGAAAGAAAGGATACTGAAATTCTTCCTCTTGTTTATATAAGAGAGGAAAGAAAACTGATAGACCTTCCTCTTGTGCAGTAAATGTGGAGGGGGGCAAAAGAAAAAAAAAAGAAAGAAACTAAATCACAGACGGCCTTATACAACTATAGTTCTCAATTTGTTTGATCAATTACTTACGCAAGTAATATCAGTTATCAGAACACGAAAATATTATATATATATATATCGTTCTCACCAAGATGAAGTTCCGATCAATGACGATGGCAAACACTAGACATCAATCGATGTAATCCGATACGGTTCGGTGAATCCTGTGGACGAGCGCCAGCCGTATTGCAGAGAGAGGAGAGAAACCTGCGTTGGTCGAAGTGAAGAGTTCTTGTTTCTTGCAAAAAAAAAAAAAAAATTTCAAGAAATACACAGAGAGAGTGTGCGTGTGTTTTTTCTGCTACTTGGATTTTGCCTACTTTTGTGAAAGATAAGAGGCGTCTACTATTTACTACAAATTACAATTCGGTCGGCGGTGCATTAATTAGGAACAATTACTTCTCTACTAATTGTGCTGTTACAGAGTAAAAAAAAAAAAAAAAAAAAAAAAACAAAACAAAAGTGAAATGAAAAAATAATAATAAAATGGTGTTGCTTTTATTAATATTATTATTATTATTATTTTTATCTGTAAGAGTCTCTCACACAGATCACCTTTTACTTTGTGAAAACTTTGTAGGTGAGGGTTGCATCTGAGGTTACTTTTATATATAAAAAAAAAAACCAAAATATATATTCTTTTGGAATCCACTGTAAACGTAATTATACTAGTGAAATGCATGCCCTTTAAAATTGGTTGGAGAGAAAAACAACACTTGCATTAAAAAAAAATACTAAATAAATAAATAATAGGAGTGGCAATTCATGTTAGAAGGCCATAGTATCGTGTCGTGTCGATTTAAAAATATTATACTAAATAGATCAATATGAAAACGACCCCTTTAATAATTATGTCATAAACTCTCAATACTAATTCGACTTGTTTATTAAACGGGTTAGACGTGTAACCCGTGACCTATTTACAAAAATAAAATATTATATTATTTAAATTAGTAATAAACCTCAATCAAACAATTAATAATAGAGAAATATAGTTAAACGTGTATAAACAGGTTACACGAATTGAACCCCTCAACATAAACACGACACGATTAACTAAAAGAGTTTATCGTGTTAACCCATTTACGATCCCAAACCGATTAAGATTAACTCAAGCCCGCTTAACTCGTGATGTTTTTGAATCGTGTTGGCGGATCGTGTCAAATTTTGTCACTCCTAAAAAAAATTTAGAAAAAAAAAAAAAAAAAAGGATAAGCTTTGTTTGTCACTCAAAAAATAATTTTTAAAAACTCAAAAAATATGGGTCAGCTTGGTTTATAACATAAAACTAAAAATAAAAAATTGTACAAAAAATTTCAATTTTCTGAAAATTTATAAACTGTTTTTAGAGAATTATAAAATACAATTCCCAAAAAATAGGGGTCTATTTGGTTTGTCACTCAAAAAAAATTAGCTATTTTCACAGAATTGGAAATCAGAAAATTGTACACAAACTTTACCTAGGTTCAATTTTTCTTAAAACTATTTTTTTAAACTAAGTTATAAAAAAGCATATTTTAGATAATTGTTTTTAGGAAAATAATAAATATCATGAGTCTATTTTCATGATATTAATCTTGAATGACTGGCTTAAATTTTTATTTTTGATAAGTAAAATAGAAGTAACATGGCTTAATTTTAAAAGGACAGAGTTCTAATAACAATGAGTGTTAATGGGAATTCACGATTTGCAAAAGAAGAAAAAATTATAATCAAAATTAGGGTTTTCTTCATCTTTGCATCAATGAAGGTAAGACTGTAAAACACACAAAAGAATGAAAAATCAAAATTAGGGTTTTCTTCATTTTTACATCAATGAAGGTGAGACTGTAAAAAACACAATTGAAGAAAAAACTATAATCAAAATTAGGGTTTTATTTTCATCCTTGCATTGACGATTGTAAGACTTTAAACAAAAAATGATACCATAGTCACATACACTAATGGTGCCCATAACAAAAAAAATTCTAAAGCATTGATCCAGAATTTATCCACGAGGTAGATGATAATTTATTACAAAACTATCATAATCCCAACAAATTCTGAAAATGGTATCAAACAAAAAATCAAGAAAAATGAAATAAAGTCATATAAATAGTCACTGAAATTTCCAATTTTTGTTGGCAATTGTTGAGAGATAATTTAAACAAGACGGTTGGACTCTCGAGTAAGTTAGTAGTAACCCATGTATTTCCATCTTTGTTTGGTAACTCAAATTGCAAAGAAGGTAACAAAAAGGAAAAAGAAAAAGAAAAAAAGCAAGTTTAAAAGAGAAAATAAGTAGGTCAGGTAAAGCTTGAGAAATATGGAATCAAAATTAAGAGAAACGGTTACTCTTGCTTTTATAGTTTTTTGTTACCAATGCCCTCGTGCTATCGATCATGCACTACTTGAACTCGCAACACCCTTGTTACGGTTGGACTACCCTAACTATCCGCAACGGCAACTCGGATACACCCAAACGGAGCGTTTAGCACGACAACGGATTAAGAACGAAGTATGACTCTGATACCAATTGTAACAAGTGAACGTTTGTCCACTGACCTAAAAACTTAAATTATTAGGTAGTGCTACATGCCCACCTATTAATACTCACTTCACTTTCGATTCGGATCCGATATGGACACCTCTAACATATGCATCTACCTCATAAAATAGATTACGAGAGTTCGAGTTCTTAAAGAACAAAGTAAGTTTGTGAGTGACTTGTGTTTCTTGCCAAAATAATTGTTAAAAGCTATGTTCAAACATATTTAAGACAGTCCCATATTTAATATCTATGTTTTCAAAAAAGAAGTAACTTCTACATCCAAAAATATAATATTGTATGAAGGGGCCAGAATATCTATTTTTTTCCCGTCAGCCTCAAACAACCCACTCGCAGAAGGCATGAACTGAACAAGAAAATTCACACTTCAAGAAATCAAACCTAAACTCATTCTTGAAGGAGTCCAGTGTTCTCCATGTAACATAAACTAAACCAGCCTACCATTAGTTAAAACAACATTGGTAACCAAACTAGAAGACCAAAAAACCCACTATATTGGAGGAAAAGTCACACACAAGAAAATTCATCTACAAAAGCTTTCGCCTTTTTCTCTCTTTCTCGCGTTCCCATTCTCTATTTGGACAAGAACCGGAGCTCGATTTATGAGATTCCGCTTTCTTCCCTTCAGCATCAAACTTAAAGCTTCAGATGTTTGAACTCCATGGCCTGGCTTTTCAGCACTGCTTGTGCTAGTTTCTAGCACATCAGATTCTTTGATGCTTGATTCTATTTCATTGGGGGAACTCACTACATTTTTGCTGTCTCGTAGCTAGAACAGGAGGTCGATTTAGGGAGTGGTAGATATTTGATGAAACCCTGTTATTGGCCTCCTGAATTTCTGACACCTTCAAATCACTGGTAGTACTTACTTCCAGAGTAGTCTCCACCTGCAGATTAATGATGGTTAATATTTACTTACTTTAAAACAAAAATACAATAAATATCTTTAAATGAATGCCTAAAGTGTTCAATGTGATCATAACTAGACGAACCGAAACTTGCATTCCTAAGTGATCCTATCATGAATGTTAATTGATCAAACAATCAGAAATGTTCAATTAATAAAAGATACACTACCAAGTATGGTGAAGAAGACACTTGAGCCAATCTCAAAAACAAACATATTGAAAACAATTTTTCATCAATTTAAAGAGATAAAATAAGATAAACTACCCAATATATTGAGCAACACACATTGTTTGACAAGCTTATACACCACTGGAGTTTAGCATAAATACAATGAGAATTAAATATAAACATGATTAATAATTACTGAAACAGCCATTGTTTGACATAACTACGACATCTTGCCGTTTCAACTTGATACTGCACTCTTGATGATTTATCTGCTACTGAAACAGTTTTTGTATGAAACCATCAGTTCACTTCTAGACAAGGAAGTTCCATGGTATATTCTTCCCCAACCAGCCTCAAACAACCCACTCCCAGAAGACAAAACTAAACAAGAAAATTCACACTCCAATAAATCAAACCAAAACTCATTCTTGAAGGAGTCGTCCATGCAACAAAAACAAAACTGAACTACCATTAATTAAAACAACATTGATAACCAAACTAGAAGACCAAAAATCCCACTATCTTGTGGGGAAAAAAAAAAAAAAACAAAGAGGAAAAATCAACAGCAAAAGCCTTCGCCTTTTCTCTCTTTCTTGCATCCTCAATCTCTATTTGGAGCTAGAATTGTTTTAAATAATAATATCTATCTATACTACTATTAGATGTACGTATAATATCTAAACCTTTTTAATTATTAAAACAAGTTATTATTTAATTTAACCCAAAGATATATATTATTATATATATAATTATGCTGCATTTGACAGTAGTTTTGTCATTTTTTTTTTATAAATTTTCTTTAATTGGCTAAATGGTCAATTAACAAAGGTATTCGGAGTCAACCACACCTCAAGGGAGGTTGACCACCGTATTTTAAAAACTTTAAACTGGAGGAAATTAAGCCAAACCCAGGGGAGGCCAAGGTAATTTAATTTATATCTCAGATAAGATAACATCTTGAGGTTTACTTAATTGCAGGCAAATATTAGGGATAAATTACACTAACTTCCCTAAAAAAAGGCTAAATTACAGGGACCTCCCTTATGTTTTCACAAATAACATTGATAAGTAAAATCAAATTAAAGAGCTCAGAAGGAGAGCGGAACCCAAAGGAATACAAAAACCCACAAAGGGCAACTAAGTCTGCAAAGAGGCCAGGAAATCAAAAATCTCCTCTAAAGATCTATGATCTCTCCCTGAAACCCAACAAAAAAGAGTAGAAAGAACAGAAAACTTAAGCAAAGAAATCGACATCTCCTTTCCCTCAAAATATCTCTTATTCCTCTCAAGTCATAAACACCACCACACAGAGAGAGGTGTAGCCCTCCAAGCATCCCGAATATGGGCCCCCACTTGGCAACCTCTCCAAGCCTCAAGAAACCCTCCAACGGTTCCCGGCATAACCCATAGCATCCCAAACAGCCCAATCATTAAGTCCCAGCAATCACGAGCCATGGTACAATGAATAAGAAGGTGATCCACTGTTTCCTCATCACGAAGACACATATAGCAGCGATTGACCACCACCTGGTTCCTCCTTCTCAAGTTGTCCTGGGTTAAGATCCTTCACAGAACAGAGGTCCACGCAAAGAAAGCCACCTTGAGAGGAGCCTTAGAGTGCCAAACAGACTTCCAAGGAAAGCAAACTCTAGGATCATCTGAGAGACACCTAAAGAAAGATCTCACCTCAAACTGCCCCTGAGAGTTGGCAATCCAAGTCCAACTATCAGACTCCTCAACCACAATCTTCTAGCGATACAATAACTCCAAGAAACGAATGCTCCCACTTACATACTTTGATATGACCTAATCGACTCTCTCTCGTTCTATATTTGCCTAAAAATTTAAAAAATTTAAACGTACCCCCTAAATTTTTTTATTTCGTATATATAGAATTTTATAAATTCTAAAATTGTCTGTCCCATACTTCAATAATCATTAATGGTTCATCTGCTGGATATTTCCAACCCAAGAGAAGTTTGAGACAAGGTTGCCCTCTCTCTCCTTTATTGTTTAGTCTCATTACGGAGTACTTTTCTAATATGGTGCAGAAAGAGACTATTGAAGGTAGAATTAAACTGTTCAGCTGTGAAGAGGGTGGGGATGGATTTTTCTCCTTGCTTTTATGCTGATGATTTGATTCTTATCACCAAAGCCAGTTGTGGTGTTGATAGGAATATCCTTAAGGTCTGCAGAAGTTTAAAGATGCTTCTGGTTTGTGTGTGAATGTCAAGGGTTTCTATCTAAATCAATGAAAATAAGGAGAAGTATTATGAGAATTCTCAATATGAAGCATGGCAGCTTTCCAATTTCTAATTTGGGGTTGCCTATGACTGATAAAGGTTTAAAGAATAAAGACTGCAGACCTTCAACGAATAAGAATCATTGGTGTGGTGCTTTCAAGATCCCCTTGATGACAGCTGCTGAGATGGAGAAGAAGTTCAGAGCGTTTATTTGGGGCTGCAGGGAGAATTCCAGAATCTCCTTAAATGGAAGGTGTAGACTAGACCAAAATCAAAGGGAAGGTTTGGGATTAGAAAGGCTTTGGACATTGATAGAGCTGCTAAATGTAAGCTCTTCTGGGATCTTATTCAAGGAAAAAATAACATGTGGTGTAATTGGACTAGAGCTATTTACATTCAGTCTCCATCCGAGTGGGTTTGTAGGCCTGAAAATTATCACTCAGCTTTCTGGAAGCATTTGATTGAAGTTAGAGAAGTTTTGCTGAATAATGTCTATTTCAAAATTGGAAACGGGCTTTCTATTAAGTTGTTTTTAGACCATTCGTGGCATGGAACCTCTTTAATTCAAGCTTATGGGTAAAACACTGAGAGACAATTTGATTTACCAAAGGACTGCTCCTTTAATTATGTAATTCAAGATGGGAGGTGGATTTAACCTCTTTATCTGCTGATATATGGAATAGAATATCCTCAGTTTCTATTCAACAAGGGACTGATGAGATTATTTTTAAAGAGAGGGGCTCCAAATTTTAAAAGATTTTGGCAGCTATGTAGAGCACATTATCTCAAGAAAGATTGGTCAACATTTGTATGGAATGGGGGCAGACCAGCAGCCAGTTATACTGTTACTTTGATTTTGTTGAATAAAATCCCTTCCCTTGTTAATCGGCAGAAAAGAGGGATCGCTACTACTTCAATCTGTTAAAATTGCAGACAAGTATGTGATACTATTTAGCACTTGTTCTTCTTGTGTTCTTTTGCTCAACAGGCCTGGGGTTGGTTGGCTAATGTGCTGCAGTGGATTGGGCTTCAATTAACTCATTTGATCATTTAATTCACTCGCTCATATCCAACAGCAGGGGCAAAGGTATAAAGCTTGCTAAAATAGTTTTCACTCTTTGTATTTGGAGAATTTGGTGGAATAGGAATCAAGTTCTCCATTCTGAGGCAAGTTTGAGTTGTTCAAGTGGCTAAAAGTGCCTTGTTTGAAACCTTGGATATATTGAAGATTAATGTGTCTGATACTCAAAACTATGTGGGGGATTAATCAGTCTGGGCCTTTGTGTTCTCTGTTCTATCTGGCTTGGAATGGGATGCTGGTATGGTTTTGATAGGTGCTTGGAACTGTGGTCTGAGCTTTGTGAGGTTGGGATAGTAGATGTGGGCAGTAGTGTGCCGTTGGAGTGATTTCCCAGTGGCTTCTCTCCGTGGAACTGATTGTTGTCCTGTTTTTTTAGTCCTTCATGTTTGTGGTTTTTGGAAGTGGGTTTTTTTTTCAGTTGATGTTTGGTGTGAAAGCTGAGTTGTTTGCTTGAGATGTGGTTGTGCAGCCAGTCTTTGTTACTTGAGGGTTACTCCTCTTGTTTTGTTGCAGCTGCTGATTGATGAACAAAATTTTAATCTAGGAATTTTTTTTTTTTATATAAAAAAAGGTCCACGTAGCTTCACTAAAAATAAATAAATTACTTGACCACTTAAAAGACCATAGATATCAAATTTGCCAATAATAATATTAAATCATAATGCACCAAAAGACAAGAATTTTATGTTTTATCCGAAAGAAAATATAATGAGACTAAGGAACTAGTAGGAATAGTCAGGATACTAAAAATACAAAACTGCTAACAAAACCTCTACGTAGACAAAGACAAGAAGTAGACGGAGGAAACAAGTAGACAAAGACAGCAATCTTGTTAGAGAAACACTAACAAGCAGACACCTGACTTCACCCGGAATAGCACATGGCATGCAACAGCTCCCTATAAGGTGGCTTTCTTTGATTGGATTATAGCATTAGAGGCAATACTACTGGCAACCTAAAGCAAAGGAATTATCCAAGATGTAGAGACTAGACAATTTTCCATCTTCTAAAGCATCGCACATCATCATAAGGGAGTTCTGATTCATAAAGCCTTTGTGTTTTTCAGGATTGTTTGGATCATGCCTGGGATGGAGAGGATGCCGATTGAAGCATCGGGTGAGGAAGGCATGGAATGTGTACTCCCTCCGCCAAATGTGGTGTATTTGAGTCCTCTGCAGTATATTATTCTGTAATTTTTTCTCAAGCAACACGTGTTCCTTTTGACTTTTGGTGATTGTATAGTACATGGGTTGTGACATAGCTTTTGGCCCATACAGTGAGATTTGCTTATAGAAAAATCATAAAAAGTAAATGAAATAAAGCTAGATCATTACTTAACATATCAAAATCGCATCTCCAGTCAATATTTAAATAAACTGGAGAAAAAAAATGTAGAAGGAAGATGACCAGAGATAAATTGTTAAATGAAAAAAAAAAAAAAGAAGGGTGAGGGGGGTATCACAACCAATAGATTGACCAAAAGAATAAATACAAATACTGTGAAATATGATCATACCAAAATAACAAAGAGGCAAGTACATAAGAATAAATATAAGCCACAATCACTAGCAATAGATTTATTCGGGAAGAATATTTATATATTCTCCAACCATTGGTAAAATTACTTCTGACAAAACTTAATGCCAAAACCAACTACAGATTCCGGTTACACATGTCAGTCTCAGTCACACCCAAAAACAAAAACAGAGAGAGACAAAATAATGGCCAAAAGCATAGAAAAATAAATCAATCAGAAAGTTAAAGATCCAAAGACTTGTACCTATAGAGACGAGGCAATTCTTGCAATGGCCGCGGTAGCCATCGGCGTAATAAGGTGTCACAGACTTGAAATCAGCAACAAAATCAGGCTCTCCACAAGACAATGGGTCGTATCTCTGAACTGTGAATATAGTGCAAATGGCAGTCACGTGATCCATAGACCAGAACAAGCAAAGTTTACTGCCTCCTATATGAAACAAATAGGAAGGAAGAGGATATTCAAATTCCTGAGGCGGGAAACTATCCTTGCTGCTTTGAAATCCCTGACTGACTTGGTGAACCGTTTACGCTCTAACAACTCATACGCATAGACATTGGAGTGAACGCAGTAGTAAAGCACACCGTTCACGGCCACTGCCCTCTCAGACCAGTTATCAAAAAACCATTCGTCAAACACATCCCATGAGCCGGTGTCTATATTGTAAGAAAAGAAGGCCCTTGTATTACAGGGATGAATCAGAATGCGTCTGTTGTCACAACCATCAGAGAGAAGTGCGTGCACTGGTTCTACGATTTTTGGCAGGTAGTGCGGAGGTTCCGGCAACTCTTCCCATCTATTTAATGTGGGATTGAGAACCTCCGCGTACGGCAACTTATCAATGTCCATGCCCCCAAACACGTAAATCTTACCAAGGACCACGACAACTGAGGGCTCAGATTGGCCAGTGATCATTGAAGGTCCTTCCTTCCAACCCTGGTGAGGGTGAGCAGTATCAAAATAGAACACTTTAGCATGATAGATGGAACAACAGGAGCGGCCGCCAATGAGGTAGATTAGAGAGCCAAAGGCCACTGCAGTGAACAAATTGGGAACTCCAGGATGCATAATCTCGATAGCTGGAGACAAAGAGAAAGATGAAGAAGAAGAATTACATTTACCATGCTCCTCCTTGAAGTCCATGGTATACCATTTGAAGCCAAAAGATCTACTACTACTCTCATTTTCTCACACAAAAAAAAATAAAGACTTACTGATCTCATTTGATGATGAGGAATTCTCCCTCTGTGCCACCTCATCATCATCATCCAGGGGAATCCATGACCATCCAGACATTAAAGAAGACCGCAGCTTCTCTGCCTCTTCATCTAGCACATCCCCTCTCTTAGGTAAATGTCACCCAATAAACAAACACCTTTGTCTCCTCTTGCCATGTGCATCAATGTACCTCTGTCCACCAACGGGCAGATAAACAAACACCTTTGTCTCCTCTGCTTGCCCTAAAAATAATAACAATAATAAATATAAAAAAAGAACTGCAGCATTGGTATTTTGGATATACTAAAAAGAATAAAAATAAAATAAAAAAATCAACAAAAGAAACACTTACTCTCCTTATTTGCCTCTTCAGCATCTGACGCAGTTGCATAGATGACAGACATTTTTTCACTTCCCTGATAAACAAACGCCTTCGTCTCCTTTGTTTGCCCTAAACAAAGAGAAAAAAAAAAAGAAAAAAGAAAAAAGAAAAAAGCATTGGTATTTGAAATTTGCAGAACTACATATATGTGTTTCACGAATGTCTTCCTATTTTTCGGGGGAGAAAAAAAAGAAGCCCCAAATATGCTACAAATATATATATATATATAAAATCTCGGCGTTTAATTTTCCTAGGGTCCTATCATAGAAAGATAATCATGTATACAAGACAGAAGATGTTAATGGAAAAACGTAAGCATGTGTGTAAGTGAAAAAGCTCTTTCTGTCGGTATGTTTATTTGTATATATGTATGTATGCATCTGTAGAATCACCTCAACAAAAGTGACGGAGATGCTGAGATGTGAGATAGAAAATTTCCATTGAAAGTATAGGCTTGAAATGGAACTGGGACAATCATCACAAACTTAGACATTTAGCCCATAATTGGCAAAACCATTTTGTGCTACAGGGCATTGTGACGAATGTCACACATGATAATCCCTTGGCCTTGTGGATATTGCAGGTAGATCTAATAAACTATCAAACCTTAATCTTCTTGAATTTGTTACAAATGATAGTTTCTTGAAGTTTTACTAGCATCTTTAATTGAAGCCTAGGTTCTATGTAAAACTAAAAAAAACCATCCATAAAATATCAAGGCACTCTTAAAGGAACACCCTCCAAACAGAAACAAACTGTAGGTACAAAAACACAACTCTTCACTCAACTACGAAATAATAACATTAAATAGGGAAGAAAAGGAAAGAAAGGATAGTGAAATTCTTCCTCTTGTTTATATAACTATGCAAGAAAAAGAAAATTCAAGACTTCAGGATAAAACAAAGAAACAGACGGATAATCCATTTAGAATTCATCCACTTTAAGAATAATTGCAAAAATTGAACAAAATACAAATTAACAACAGCCTAAGATCATCATGCAAGCTTGCATCCCTTATCAAAGTTGTCAAGAAAATTGCAAAAAAATTTACTGCCATTTATTAGAAAACACCCAAGGCTTCAGGAAAATTATCTCGTTATTTTTCTCAGGAAACGAACAGGGGTTTAGTGAGCCTTAGAATCATGCATAAATGTAATGAAGACAATTTTGACTTACAATTTTCTCTCGATTCTTATGCTACAAACCCTAGAAGAAAACAGCGACTTCTGTTGATTGTTGATTTGTCGGTGATTGTCGTTGGAGATACATCGGCTTCCTCTACACCATTGGTGTGTATGGCACCTTGCAGGATGAGAGTGCGTGAGGAGGGAATGGAAAACAGACTGTGCCGTCTTTATATACTGTTTATGTTGAAAAATAAATAAATAATACTTGAAATTCTTTAATAAATTATTATTTTTATGGTGGGAAGAATTAGAAAAATGATAAATTTACATGTATTTAAGAAAGAGGTAGAGTGAATAGAGTAGAAAAAGTACATTTATATTATTAAAATTACATTTTAAATAAATAATTTTGTGTTGTAAAATAAATAAATTGTTTAGTAAAACTCTTTAATAAATCTAAAAAAATTATTATTATAATAAGAAAAGTTAGAAATATAATATAGTAATATACGGAGTAATTAGCTTTCCTAAATGTTTACTCCGTATTTAGGTAATAGTTAGAAATAGAACAGAAGGGTAAATTTATATTATTAAAAATACATGATAAAATGATATAATGTATTGAAACTCAATAATGTACTCTTTGTACTTTTAATAATAAAAGTTAGAATTAGAATAGAATTAAAGAAAATATAAGTTTATATTTACGAAAGAGTTAGAAAGAAAATAAAATAGAAAAGGTAATTTTATATTATTAAAAATATGTTATAAATAAATAATATATTGAGTTGAAAAATAAATAAATAATGTAGTGAAACTATTTAGGAAATAGTTAGAAAGAAAATAAAATAAAAAAGGTAAATTTAGATTATTAAAAAAGCATTACAAATAAATAATAAACTGAAGCTTTTGTACTTTATATATATATGTATATAGACAGAGATAAATTGTTTAGTTTATTTTTATTTAGGCAAGAGACTCTTACACAAGTGAGCTACTATGCAGATGCCTCAATTGACCAGTGGATTAGTGCCTTCAGTGAATTTTGGAGTGTTAGGTTTTGACTTTTTACATCTATTAATTCAACTTTTGACCTTTCTCGAATTGTAATATAATTTAATTAAAAAAAAAAAAAATAAGTAAGCTACATTTATTGTGCAACCTAGTTGTAAATGAATTCTCTCAAAATGGGATGGAAGACAATGTATATACTATGAATCCTCTATAAATGTAAGTGATACTAGTAAAATTCATGAAGAGAAAAATAAAAAATAAATGAAGTTTAAACATTACCATCAGATGACCATATTAGTAATGGAGAGAGATCTGAGATTGACAGTCGATTATTAGAAGTTATGTTCAAAAAGATTTAAGGCAGTCCCATATTTGAGATATATACTTGTTTTCAGAAAAGAGATTACTTCTACCTCAAAAAATATAATATACAATATGAAGGGGTAAAATCTTTTTTCCCCAATCAGCCTTAAACAACCCACTCTCAGAAGACAGTTCGACATGACAAATTCACACTTCAAGAAATCAAACCTAAACTCATTCTTGAAGGACTCCTCCATGCAACATAAACAAAACTGGCCTACCATTTTAGTTAAAACAACATTAGTAACCAAACTAGAAGACCAAAAATCCCACTATATTTGAGGAAAAATCTCACAGAGGAAAATTCAACAACAAAAGCTTTCGTCTTTTTCTCTCTTTCTTGCCTTCTCATTCTCTATTTGGAGCTAGAACCGGAGTTCGATTCATGAGATTCCGCTTTCTTCCCTTCAGCATTAGACAAACTTAAAGCTTCAAATGTTTGAACTCCATGGCCTGGCTTTTCAGCAGTGCTTGTGCTAGTTTCCACCGCATCAGATTCTTTGATGCTTGATTCAATCTCGTTGGAGGAACTCACTACATTTACCTCACTTTTTGCTGTTCCATCTTCAGAATTGGACCTCAGCAGCGTTTCCGGATTACCTCCCAAGGCTTGCTTGAGAGCCAAGGGATCTTCTAGAGAACTTGCTTTGACAACATGCCTGTCATCAACTACACTAGGAAGGACATGTTTCTCAACACTCATTCCTTCATGGGGCTGTTTAAAAGCCAAATCATTATCTTTGATTGATCTTGCTTCAGAACACCCAGGTTCAGATGCTTCTCGCATCAGCTCAGTATGGAGTGACGTGATAACAATGGGTTTTTTAGTTTCTTCTTCTCTGATTTGCTTAAAGGCTGAATTGATGTCCTCAAGAGATCGCGCTTCAAGAGCTAGCATTCCAGAATTTATCTCTACTTCAGTTTGACCCTGATAGGGTATCTCCAACTCTCCAAGCTCAACTTCAGTTTTCGTTGACACTGGTCCAATTTTTCTCAACATGGAATCAATCTCTTCAACTGACCGTGCTTCAAGAACAGGAATACCTGAATTGAACTCTTCTGCAATTGGATTTTGGTTTATCCTGGAATGTTCAAGCTCAACTTCACTATTTTTTTGCAGATCAGTCTCCTCCTCAGCCCTAGATGCCCCAAGGATCTCAGATGCCTCTTGATACGGATCAGTCTCCTCCTCAGCACTAGATGCCCCAAGTTTCTGTGTGCGAATACCTGCAACAGTTCCCACAGACTTGGTTTCAACAACAGGAACCAAGTGTTTTTCAATCTCATTCAAGTTTCTTCCAAATTCTTTGACACCAGAGTCACCAACTGTGTCCAATTCAAGCAATCCTTCGTCAATCTCTTTGATCTCATCCACCACTTCAGTGATATTTGGCACACTGACATGAGACCCACTTGCTTCCAACGGATGATTGAAGTGATCTAAGATCTGAATTTGTTTCTGATTTTTAATTCCATCAAAATTGTTGTCTTTTACTTCTGCTACACCTGTAGTTGATTTGGTTACAGAAACCTCAGGTGGAAAGGAGGCAGGGTCAGGAGTTATGGAGGAGTAGGTATTTGATGAAACCGTGTTATTGGCCTCCTGAATTTCTGACACCTTCAAATCACTGGTAGTACTTATTTCCTGAATAGTCTCCACCTGGGTAATCGATAACTCCTGCTTGATTATCAGATTAATGATGATTAATATTTAGTTACATTGATACAAAAATAAAATAAATATCTTTAAATGAATGCCTTAGAAGTTAGAAGTAATCTAATGTGATCATAACAGACCAACCAATACTTGCATTCTTGAATGATCCTATCATGAATGTTAATTGATGAAACAATCATAAATGTTCAATTAATAATGATACACTACCCAGTATAGTGAAAAAGACAACTGTGTCAATATATATATATATATATATATATATATATATATATTATAAAAACAGATAGTATATAATTTTTCATCAATTTTAAGAGATAACCCACATTGTTTGACAAGCTTATGCACCACGGGAGTTTAGCATAAATACAATGAGAATTAAATATACACATGATTAATTATTATTGAAAAAGTCATTGTTTGATATAACTATGATGTATTGCCTTTTCAACTTCATACTGCACTACTGATGGTTATTAGCTACTGAAACAGTTTTTGTACGAAGCCATCAGTTTACTTCTAGACAAGGAAAAGGGCGGAAGTTCCATGGTGTATTCTTGGCAAACCATAGGTATCTCTGAGTGACTCTCTCAAATTGAGGGACACCTATGTAACTTCTCCATCATTGCCTTTGTCCTGTATGAGCAGGATTGGCCACATGGATTCCCTTTTTCTATTCTTCTATCATAACTCATTTCTCCTATTAGATTTAACTTTTTAAAATCATTTCATATTACTCCACTTTATGCTAGTTTTGGTCGACCTCTTTGTCTCTTACTTTCTATAGAAACCAATCTACCTTTTCTCACCTGTGCATCTATAGGTCAATGTTGAATATGTTTATACCAACTAAGTTGACTTTCTCTTATTTTCTCACTAATAAGCATCACTCAAAATTTCTTCCTCACGTGTTGATTATTATCCTTATCTCTTCTCCTAGCATCCATCTCAGCATTTGACATTACAGAGACCATTTAAGCTATTTACCCACTATGTACTGTATGCATCAATGCAGACAGCTAACAGCAAATAGTGACAAATATTGGCAGAAATGAGGAAAAAATATTAGGGAAAGAAAAGGATGGACATAATGAATTTGAACATTTGAAAAATAAATCATTAGAGAAATAGATCAAGTTCTCAATTTTATGACTTACCTGCGGTTTTTCATGATTGTCAGAAGATATTTCGATCATAGATTTATTGGTCAAAGGCATCTGTTTCTCTAATTCCAGTGTGGACTTTTCGTCTGAAGGACAAGGATGTTGTGTAGAAATCAGATTCTCATCTGCCTCTTGGTGGGTGCCAGCATGGAAATTTGCATTGGAATTCGATGAGTGAACTTGATGGTCGTGCTCAAACTGAAGAGCTATTACCTTATCAACCGAGTGCTCCTGTATTGATTCTGTCCTAGAAGAATTATGATGAATATCCGAAACTTTTTCAACAACCAGGGAAGGTCTTTTCTCCTCAGGTGCAGTCAAATTTAAATCACCAGAAGATCTAGACTTGAAAGCCATAGAATCCACATTCTCACCAACATCTTGCTGGAACACAACATGTATATCTGCACCAAAGCTCGATGAGGGAACTTCATTTGAAGATGGTTCCGAATTAATTGAAGCACGCTCAACAACAGATTCAGGCACCATTGATGCATTTGCATTGTCAACACTTTGGTCAACTCGTGAAAACCCAACATCCAATACATCATGCTCATTTATCTCTGTAACTTCCCTCAATCCCAATACATTTTCATCTGCTGCATGTAACTGCGATGATCCTGCCAATATCTCTTCATTACTGGGAGTATCCTTTTCAATATCTGCAAAATAAATGGTTCTCTTAACCAATACTGGCAGCAAACCAGCTTCAGATATTCCTACTTGCATATCAGAAGAAATGGAGGAAGAAGAGAGGCTCTTACCAATTGCCGGTGGGCTTGAATCGTAAACAGGCTCCTTGTGTTGAATGTCATCCACCAACCCACTGGTAATGTGGATATCTGACTCTTCTTGCAAAGGTCGCATTGGAACGGCAGACTCCTCAATAAGATTGCCTTCTCTTAGCTCCAAATTTGATAATCTTTCAACTTCCTTTTCATAAAAGATCTTCTCATTTACTTCTATGAATGCTGTTGAGCTTGATTTACTACTGTTATCAACTGCTCCAGTATTCAGATAAACCTCACCTGTTTTATGTTCCAGAGGAGTAGCCACACCTCCTGCTTCTGATAAGCTTGATCCCATTTCATGATGATTTTCCAGATCCCCCAATTTAATGTCAACCTCATTGGGTTGTCTCTTCTCAGCTTGATCTAACTTCACAGAATTTGAAACTCCAGAGGATTGAGCACCATGTTCACCATGCTCAGAAGCATGTTTTGTGTTGGAGAGATTCAGAAAAACCTCACCTGTGTTATGTTCCAGAGTAGCGACACCTCCTGCTTCTGATACGCTTAATCCCATTTCATGATGATTTTCCGGATCCCCCAATTTAATTTCAACGTCATTGGGTTCAATTTCTCTCTTCTCAACTTGATCTAACTTCACAGAATCTAAAACTCCAGAGGATTGAGTACCATGTTCAACATGCTCAGAAGCACGCTTTGTGTTGGAGACCAGCACTTCTTGAGAAAGATCTTCATAAATGAGTTCCTCATCTTCATGATCACCAGCTTCACAAATTGATTCAGTTTCAAGAACAGAACTTGTCCTGGACTCACTAATTTCACTTAATTGTCTTTGGAAGGGAGTATATATTTGTCTTTGGAAAGGAGAATAGCTTGTTCCTTCTGAAGGCATCCGCTCTGGTATAAAATAAGGTCTAAACCTGATTTCTTGCTTCTCCTGCTTTGGGGACCGAACCCATGATGGTCCCATGTTAAAACTTTCATGCCTTCGGAAGATTGTGTCCTTGGGATGAAATGTCATGAACTCTTGTTGGAAACTGTTTCCCATGAGATCAGGTTTCTCTACGCTCGAGTAATAAGGAAGATCGAAAGGGTTCTGTCTTGGTACGAAAATAGATGGAGCGGACCCAGGAATTGGCGGTAACCCCATATTGTCATTGGAATCATCAGGAAGGTCGAATGGATTGCATCTTGTTGTAGAAATGGGTGCAATATTAAATGCAGGATCAGAACTTTCCAGGTCTATCAAGTTCTTCTCAGCCACCATCTTCGGGTCTTTCCTTGCCATTCTCCTTGCAATAAGAACCTCCAATCGCTGGTTCCTCTCCAGTTCAGAGGTCCCCAAATCCATGAGATTCTTTTGGTCATCCTCTGTCCATGTGATAGCAGATTTAGTTCTATCCATTTTGCCAAAGTGCATTTCTTCCTCCTCATCATCATCATTATCATCATCACCAAATTCTTCCTCTTGGTTTTCAGGATCCTCATCCGATTCATTAATGTCGTCACTGGATTTCAAAGACCGTTCAGAAGCGGCATCAGAGCCATCATGGGAAATATGAGCAGGTGGAGGAGCATCTATATCTAAAAGCGGGTGGAGCTCATCAAGCATTGGCAGGATGTCAGCTATGGAAGTGTCAGGAGAGAAACTCTCTGCTCGATCAGAACCAAAATATGAAGCCTCATCATCATCCTCGTATGCGTCCTCCGCCTCCTTGTCTACTTGTTTCCATGGTGAAACTGGAGAAGTCACCAAGTCATCTGCTATAGGGGAATGGAAAAATTCCACTGGTGACTTGTCATGTTCTGCATCAATATTTTCATCCGCTTCATTTGGAATCCGAGTGTACTTATGCTCGAGATCTATTCCAACACGCAGTTTCTCTTCATTCATTTCACCCTTCTTTCTAAATCTCAAATCATGTAATTTTCTCTCTGCAGCCCCATCCACCTGCTTCTCAAATTGAATCTCCCTGGAATTCCCCTTGATAGATGGTGCAATATCAACAAAACTACCATCACTATCACTGACATTACTCGCTGTGGAACTTGGTTTCTCAATGGACTTCTCTACTACATCCCTTCTCTTTCCGGGGTGCCTCTCTACAGAAAATTTGTCATCTCTCTCAACTACAATGGCATCTCTCGAAACTCCTGTTTTCAAAGACCGCAATTCGTAGGGTCTCTTTTCTTCCTTCCGGATTTCGGGTGCATTCAGCTGCCCCAAACTCAAAAGGGTTCCAAGCAAAGCAGCAGTACAAACAAAAACAGGGGAAGCAGATACCAAAAGGGAAAACAAAAAAGGAAATGATCTGTACAGAAAAATCAAGAATAACACCATACCCAAAAGGAATGGGTGATGGCAAACTGATCTGTAACATATTCTGGTCGTCACGATTACAACTCTCCTTGTTTTCACTCCAATCTCCATCAATTCAACACCCATTTCTCTCTCTCTCACCCTAAAAGTCCTTTTTTGATTCCAATATGTTTCGTATGAAAATTTGAAAAAAACCCAATGCCCATCACATCAATTCGAATCAACTCCCACAAAATACACAGATTAAATGAAATTGAAAAGCGAAAACGCACTTAAAAAAATAATTAAATGCCGATTAGAAGGATCATGTGATGCCGATCATGCCCAATTCAATATCTGAAGAGGATCAGGAGAGGAAAATTCAGATGAAGTGATGGGTTTGTTACACTTGAAATGTTCTAGCGAGAGAAAATGAACGTGAAACGAAAGAAGGAAAAAAGGGAGAGAAATGACTTACCAGCTTTGAGCAGAGATCAGCATTTTGGGAACCAAAAAGCACTTATTTTCTTCTGTAATCCAATCTTCTTTTTGCCTCAGCAACAGCTATATATACGCTTGTCTGTGTTTTCATATTGAATTGTAGAGAGAGAAAGAGAAATGGAAAGGAACATGCGAGAGATGGAAAGGAACATGCGAGAGGTAGGTCCCAAAAGATGAGAAAATAAGCATTGAGACAATTAAAAGCTGTTTCTCTGTCTACTTTTTTCCTGTTTGCGAAGGATGATTACCTGTCACACCCTCAAACTTATTTAATTTTGCACTCGGTAATAAAAATTTAGTATAATCAAATATTTAATTAACACAATAACAACTATATTGTTAAAATTTAAAATTCTCAAAAGAAATAAAGGGAAAAAAACAAAAAAGAAGCTAATATATAAAAATATATTTTATCAAGCTTTAGGGGTGTTATACCAATTCCGTCTCAATAAGGGCGAGACGGGCCGGGCTCCGAAGTGCATTTTCAGAGAAGATATTTAGTGCGCCAAGGATGTCATGTCATGTCATTGTTATACTCAGTCAATAAAAATGTATTTTTTTTTAATGAAATTGGTTCCATCTATTTTTGAAAAATTGCTCTCAACTATATTGATTTTCATTGACATGTCATACCAGTGGTGACATGATATGTCCGGTGCACTCAATATCTACTCCAACTTCAAGACTTGACATGTTTTAAACTATCTTTCTAAATTTGCCTCTAACCCTGGATGATGATCCTAACCCAATATAATAGGGGTGAGACGGATCAGGACCCTAACGAGACGGGTTAAAGTGACATGTCTCTAATATATATATAAATGGCATCCCTAATTATGTGTAGTTACCTAACATTTCATCAATAGTGTGAAAAATAGTGTGAAATTGGATCGTATGAATCATGTATGTGTTTTAAATTATCACAATTGTGAGGAATGTTTCATTTACTACATGCTTGTGCTATTATAGACTTTTAACTTTAGGTTTAATTGATTTTTTTTTTTTTGCTGGACTTTTATTTAATTAATTTTTAACCCAATTAGCTTGGGTTAAGGATCCATTGGTTTGATTGTAAAATATATATATTTTTATTTTTTTGGTGTTTGGCAACCTCAACTTAGCTGCATTACAAACTATTCTTCTTCATTAATGAGGTTAGTCAATAATAATAGTAATAAGTGTTCATAATTTAACTCTTATTTTAAGATGTTCAGCAGCAATTTGATTCTTCACCTGTGATCTAAGCATAATCACAAATTGATCTACTACTTTTAATAACAAACACGAGAGTAGTATCTTCATGGAAAAAATTGTGTTCAGCTAACAAGGTTAATAATTGTCATTCGTACAAAATTTGAAAATACAATAAAATAAAATGATTAACCAAGATCTATATATTCACAACTCATGCTGGTTCACCAATCTTCGTTTCTTTGGTGACAACACCCGCTACTTCTTTGCTTCCAGGGGGATGTTCTTCAGTCTTCTCATGAACACCCTCCAAGTTCGAAGCATTTTCGTCATTAGATGAAAATCCACCTTCCTCAGAAAGCTCAGAACCAAAGTCCGACATAATTGATGGTGAAGGAGACGGACATCCAGAAGTCGCTAGATTCTCAGACCTCATCTTGTCTGCTTCTATCATACGTTCCGCATAAGCTTTGTAGTCAAACCCGCTTGAGTTTTTCCCACCAAATGCAGATTCCAGCTTGTCCATATCAAAAAGATCTTCCATTAACTTTCGGCTTTGTGGGTCGTCGGAGTAGACAAACTTCACTTTTTTGTGTGTCTTGGGCTCAAGAAATGGTTTCACCATCTGCAAGAAACATTGCTCATAAAATTGGAAAAGAAGATGAACTGATATGATTTTTTCATATGGAACAAGTGGGCCTAATATGTTTAAGGAACAAAAGCAGGGAAGGTAAAGTTTTAGTATTTTACTTTTTCAAAGCTGTGCTACTGCTTTAAGCTACTAATGTGTTTTTCTTTCCTGCTCAGAACATTGCTGTGTTCCTTAATGAATAAAAAAAGGAGGAATTTAGAAAGAAAGTGATCCACAGTTTGAGCTCCTCGAGATGCGCAAATACAATATACTCCCTCCGTCCCATAAAAAGTGTCATGTTTGAGTCACGGAGGGACGGAGGGAGTATTTCTTTTTATGGAATTCAAATGACTATTTTGAATTTCATTTACAGTCATAAATTTCAACTCTGTGCAGTAGCTGAGATAATGGTATTCAGTATTCCCAGATTAATTAAAATTATGTCAGTATCAGAATAATATGTAGAGTACAACCCTTTAACCACTGTCATTTTATAGATGCATATGAAGCACTTAATCAATTGATTCATCGGGTATGGTAGATCTAAAAGCTCAAAACTATCCAGCATTAAATCTCAAGGTGAGAAAATCATAATAAATTGCGATATGATGACCTACCAACCAAAAGGACTCGAAGATTTTAGGTGGATTGTAGAGGATTCCAAGGCCCAGCCTCTCTGGGTAATGATCCTGCAACACATTAGCTGTTACTTTAGTCACCTTCACCGATATGCATGCCATGTTCCAACCTTGAAAATCAATTAGCCAGATCATCTGCTCTTGATCTGGATTTAAATCCATTATGGCATTCTCCATGCAATATACCAAGTATCTGATTTGTCCATCTATCGAGCTTGTATTCTGACAACACGCAGTAATGTCATAGCCAAAACAAAAATTAGACTAATAAGGTAGTAATGGTATTAATTGATGTAGTCTGAGATGTGCTTGTCATCCTATAACATATACGGCATATACCTTCTTTTTTTTTTTTGATAAGTAACATATACGGTATATACCTGGAAACCCGGTCTCATGATTAGAACAGGCCTTCCATGCTTGTCACAGTAGTTAGCTTTATAAATTTTTCCAGTCTCAGCTTCTTGAGCAATGTGTTCCTAGAACCAGGAAAAAAACTATAATCTAAGAAGCAGTAAATTATATGCATATGGAGCCCATTTCATAATCATCATTAGTAACCATGGTCATGGATACAAGGTCTTCACTGTAACGATCCAACACCAAATTAATTTTGTTAATTTACGTTGCTTGCATGGGAGAGACTTATTGACCAACAACTAAGGTGTGAAATTACAATATTTTACAAGCAACTGGGATTTGTCCAGGGGAGGATATGTTTTTTAAATATTTGTAGAAAACCTACAATATGGTCCCTGCAAATACTGTAAGAGTTCTATAAAAGAAAGGAATTACAAATACATATATTGGCATGCTAAAGGACAGATAAGATAAATCTGTAACCATGGTAAGAACAATTGTGTGATAAACGTGTGAGTTTCAAATTATTGTAGATTTACATCAAGGATCAACAGTAAGCTGATATTTTTTGGATTAATCAAAACACATTCAAGATGAGATCCCCTGGTGTGTGCTATATGTTGATGATATTGTTTTGATTGACGAGACTAAAAATAAGCGCTTAATAAGAAATTTGGATAGAAGCTCTAGAATCAAGAGGTTTTAAGATGAAAACGACTAAAACTGAATATATGGAATGTAACTTTAGTAAAACTAAAATAAAAGTAGAGAGGCAGGGAATGTCAAAAATACAATTATGATACAGGCTTGGAAATATATTTATGTGAACGTTTCAAGTATAACAATAACACAAACTACATTTACTATGTATTAAATATTAATATTTATAAACAATGTTGCCATAGAATTTATTTTCAGTAACATGTCTGATATAACATGCAGTAATTTTTCTGCTAGACTATCGAGCTCACTCTTCATTTTACTCATACTATATTTAAACTTAGGACATTGATGGAACTCTAATTGAAGACAATCATTACCTGGCACTAAGATTTGCAGTTTCAATTTATTTAAGGCTTTTATCCTAGATCTTCAATAATGTTATTTATCAGCTATAAGTATTGTATTTCAAATCATCATCTGATAAAATTTGTAAGGATTGTTGTATTGTATAATTAAGTCCTGCACGATTATAAGACGGCTATTTCTTGAGCTATATTTATTATGTCATGGAAAAGGTAGGTATTTTTTAATTAAATTAAGAGAATAATATTGATAATTGTCATCATACCCCAGTCCTATTCTTACCTCGGGATTTGAGTCTTGGTTTTGTGCCAGGCCTTAGGGCTTCTGGGTTTGAGGTGTGACATTTCCAAACTGAATAACTTCCTTCAGAAAAATGAAATATAAAATCTAATCCCAGCAGAACTAAAATAAAAGAAATAGGTCCAATGTTTAGCTACTTAATTACACTGTTCAAGCTCATGTATGAAATTGAACTTAATTTCATCCAGCAACTTTGTCTGACTGTATTGGGCTTCGTGTTGGGGGCAGTGGTAAATGCCCCATGTTTAGAGAGGCAGATGGCATTAGTGTGGACCATGGAGGACGTCGACGCCCACAGACCTTTGGAAGTGGTCGTGTTACTGTTCAGCTAATACCAATAGAATGGGAAAAGAGAGAAGCTATAGTTAAATTTCAGAGGCATTAACAATTATTAGTGTGCACAATAAATGCCAAAACTCTATAGCTCAATAGACTTTAAACACCTCTCAACAATGACCCCTCTTTGTCCATGTGGTGTTCAGGCTTGGTATATTTAAATCATGAATTTGATTACAAGAAAGAAAACCAATAAGCAATAAATGCATACCCATCTTATCTTCTCCGGCTTGTATTCCAGCCTCCATTTCAAGGTTTCTTTGAGCATCCTGCTTGCCTTCTTTGTGTTCCAGTTCCTTGCTCGGAGGTACCTTAATATTGATTCATCTGAACACAATATTGGAAACTTGTCGGCACGAGGACCGATCAGCTTTCTGATCTCGTTGATCTATACAGAAAGGCAACCCATCAATTCACCAATTATACATCCTCCCAAGCAAACATTTTATTTTGACGTTCCATAGGCCTCTAAATTACAATAAAGTTTCAAACGCACATAACAAATGAAAGAGAATCACTAACTGAATAAGATCATTTTTGTAACTAAGTGGCCTAATGAAGGATGTAATTAAGGTATTAAAAATCAATGTGGAATGCCATTGGACCAGAAAATTTTCCAGACACAATAGAGAACAGCACATACTTGTAAATGCATGAAAATGCTTGGATATATTTGTACAACAGATGCATACGCATGGCTGAGGCTACTAAATAATCACAAAAGAAAGAAAGACTTGTGTAAACCAAGAGTTCACATCTAGTGACATCTTAATATCTTGAAAAACAACTACAAAGAATAATTTAAGGAATACAAGTAAGGCATAATGATAACATATACCATTGTCACAAATGTGTAGCACCATAAACATGGTATACCACATAGCATAAGAATACCTGATCAGGCAACTTGCAAGTTATTGCAAGCTGATCTAGACATATAGATCAGTGCATTTGACTGTAAGCCTATATATTTGCAACATTTGCCTATATATTTGTAAGTTGCAACATACTATTGAATCTAGAAGCGTAATCAAAGAAGATATACAATTCAAAGATGAGGAGTGGTGCTTTTCTTTCAGTAACTAATAACTATAAATTTGAATCAGGCCAGTAGCCCTACATGTACGTGATTTAATTTGTAAAATTGGTAAATGACACAAAATCTATTAACTTGAAAATGTGATTAATATTTCAATATGTTTCTCAGTAAATTACACCGAAACAAAGCTGTTTAAAACATGTTTCCGTCGAATCTAGTGGAAATGATCGATAACATTGAGAGTCATGCATCCAGTTTCCAATTAAAGTTTGTCAGTTGAAATTAAAACCGAAAACCCTCACGCTTGTAGGTGACACATTTTTGTGCCTTAAATAGTTGGCCCTTGCATTAGTTACTATTGCACATGTAATAACTGTTTTTCCAGTACGCATGTGTAATATTGTCATCATTTCAAGGCTCATTTTTTTTTTTTTCTTTTTTTTTTTAAGCCATAAAATTATTACATGTGCATTCAGGGGGAAAAAACTATTAGATTTGCATTAATAATTAAGGGACGTGTAATAATTTTATGGGTTGAATATATATATTTATTTCCTTTATGAAGTTTATGATGATGTAATGAAGAAAAAACCAATACTAATAATACTTTAAGATATTGTTAAATACCTTAGCTTGCTGTTCCTCAAATGGCAGAGACTTCTCTGAACCACTACCATGCAATTTTTTGGAAGACATTCTTTCAAAATTTGATGAAGATAGGATAGGTCGAATTGGTTTTACAGAATCAATCACCAAGAAAAAACTGCACATTTTCAGACGTAAGATAAGGCATTTAACAGACTACCAAATTCCAAAACTATTCTATAATAGCAAAAGACAAGAAGAAATAAATCTGTAATTATGTTGGTTGGGTTAGAATTTGTTTGAATAGGCTCTAGGAAATTTAATGCTTTGTTTGGTTGGAGGGATGGAAAAATGGATGGAAGAGATAGGCGGAGGGATGGATGAAGAATCCCTAGGGAAGGGACTGTGTTTCCCCCATTTTTTGTTTGGTAGAATGGAATGGATAGTAGAAATGATGGATGGGGTGATACTTTTTTTTTTTTGGTTGGAAGGAAGGGAAAGAGAGTTTTTATATATATTTTTACCAATATACCCTCCCTGTATAAAATAATAAAAGGTAGATATCCATTTGATTTATTTTTTAAAGGTTAAAATTGAAAATTGTATATGCGTAGGTAGTTATTCATTTTCTCTATCCTCTCTTCCCCCCAAAATTGGGGGAATAGAAAAACAAGAAGAAAGGAGGGATGCTTCATGCCTCCTTGCTTCCTCCCTCTCTTCCCTTCCCTCCAACCAAACACGAAAAGCTTCATCCATCCCTCCTCTCATCCATCGATTCCATCCCTCCTCAATCCTTCCCTCCAACCAATCATAGCATAAAAGTTAAGCCTTCCTACAATGTTGTTTGGATGCCTTTTATGGTTTTGGGTAATATCAATGACATACTAATTTGCATTGCTAGTCCAAGGAAACCAGAATCGTTTTTGGAGATATCTATTTAGGGATGCCTATTGAATTCTAAATCATTTCATATGAAGAGTCCAACCATATTGGACATATAAAGTTGGTAGTGTAGTGCTTCGCATGATCCTTATCTGCTGCATAGATAGGTCACCTATAATAATTGGAGGTGCCAACAAGCTGAAGTAGACATCATTACACACATGCAATTTCTCTATATTTCTTTTCTTTCTTTTTCCCTCTTCTGCTGACTTATCCATCAAAGTGCCTTCATTGGCGCCACTGCAGATGGAAGGTTCTCACACTTGCAAGAACACCACTCTCTGCAGAAGGGAATGAATATTATGACAAGTGGGTAAGACTTTTACCACCACAGTAAGCAAGCTGTGTTAATTTTATTGGATACCAAATCCTAAGGGGTTGTTGTACTATAAATATTTCTCAGGAATAGAAAGTGTTTCCAATCTCCATACAAGAAAAGATATTAAAGCATAACAAGCAACAATCAATATAGAAAAAAAGATTAAAAAAAAAAAAAAAAGAAAAAGAAGAAGAAGAAGAAGAAGATGAGAAAGAACCCAAAAAAAAGAGGGTCAATTACCCTAACCTTCCCTGAGGTTTATTCTTTGCACCCACAGATTAAACTTTGGTAAAAAAATTGGTCAGAGAGTTGGCCAAAAATAAAATTAGCCCCTATTCATTAATTGTCCGTTAAGGCTGTCAAAGAATTTTTTTGTTTAATATGAAAGTTGCCCATTGTTGGAATAAAATTACACAATTACCTCTACTAATTATTTTAAATGTCAATTTTATATCTATGTGATATAACAAAAATACCACTTTCTTTCTAACTTCTATATGACTCTCACCCTAAAATTACCTCTTCCCTCTTTCCGCAACTCCTGCCATCATAAACCACTGTGTGTGTGTGGGGTGGGGGGGTACCCATTTGTTCATTTTTGCATATTCTCCCTGCTTCTTCAATATTCATTAAAATCCTCTGGCCCTTCAATATCTTGTCTGATGGAAACAGGGAAGAGACTGTGAGTTCTTCTTAGAGGGGTTTTTTGAGAGGGAAGAAGGCTCAAAAAGTTCACTGAATCAAATTCATCAATTTGAAACCACAATTTAATTCAACCAAATTTTGCGCCCTAAATTTAATTTTGGGAAAACAATATTTTGTGCCCTAAATTTGAAATTGAAATCCATTGTCGCTGAAAGTGGGTCAAATATTGGTGTACGGCCATGGAGGAATCAATGTTGGCATTGAATGGATTTCCACATCTGTATATGTATGGATCTCTATACATATAACCTTTTTATATGGATTTAGAAGTCTTTTTAATCCTATGTTAGTCTGTCTCTAATCTTTTCCTCCCAGCATCTAAATTTAGACAGGAGTAATATTGAATAGCCTTTACACTTTTACTCTGTATTAACGAAACCCTAAACAATAATTAACAGCTCAGACATCTACAAAAGCACTTTATTCTTTGTGTAATTATCATAGTTAGAGACCACAAAGTAGCAATTTAGCCTCCTTTCAAACAAACCAAATAGCTAAATTAAATTATTTAAAAATAAATAAAAATGAAGAGAACAGTTTACTAGTTTACGCATGTTTCTGAATCAGCAAATGAGATGATATGAAATTCGAAATCATAAGAGTTCCAAAAATTCAAGCTCCAATGAGGTTGCATGTGGCCAGCCACCAGTGTAGCCAAGAACTTTACCCTTTTTCCTTTCTTTCCAAACAAAAAGATGGTTACTGGTTCAAAAAAGATGGTTATCCATCCAACATTCTTGACATAACAAGCAACAGACACACTGATTATTATTTTAAATTTTTATTTTTTCTATTTTAGACACGCTGATTATTCTCAATTGACAAATTTTTTTAAAAAAATACTCAATAATAGAGGGAGTTGGTTCAAATCTGAATCGATTTATGATCACAATTAATACTTATCAAAAAAATTTATGATTACAACTAACATAAAACAGATGGAGAATTAAACAGAAACAATAATAACTAAGCATTGCCGATCATACAATAAATATAATAAAAAATTCTAAAATCAACCAGTTTGGTCGAACCAAAGTTAGAACAAATCAAATGATGAGATGAACGAAAGAAAGAAACATATATAAAAGATCGATTCATGCAAAAGGAGAGAGAGATGATGAACATACCTTGTGTAGAGAAGCGTGTGGAGAGCCCCATGTAAGAGAATGTCCGTGAACAATAAAAATGATGAGAGAATATACGGATAATACTTATATGAATATTCAGCGATATAACCGAAAGAAATCAATGGGGGTATTGACCGTATTGTGGATATATATGTGACTGTGTGTATGTATATGGTGTGGTTTTAATTATTTCCAGAAGAATTGTAGTCTGGCCAGTTGTTGGGCGGAAGATTGTCAGTTGGAGTGACCCATTATAAATGAGTCCTGCTATTCGGGTGGATTCGGCCCAGATAGAAGTGGGACCCATCAGGCGGAACTGCCTACGACACTGCTGGTTTTTTTTTTTTTTTTCCCCGACACTGCTGGTTAAAATGGTTAAAAATCTCCTTTTTGGTTTTTAAAAGAGTATTGGTGAAATGTTAGTTTTTTTTTTTTTCTTCTTCTTCTTCTTCATTTTTTATTTATTTATTTATTTTACTTTTTGCAACTTGAATGATGAGGAGAAATTTTTAGAAAGTCGGATGGTTCGGATCAATCATCTAATTTGTATCGTAAATTTATAAATTTTAGAGTGAATTGCAGAAAAACTCTCTTGACTTTTCATCATTTACAATAAACTTACCTTTCAAATATTTGCAAGCACAAAACACCCTCAACCAATCCGAGGGGGTGATAGTCTATCTTTTGAGACTAAAATGTCCTTACCTATGCAAAGTATCAATACTAGATTCAAAGGCAGTATAAATACTGTTATTATATTGCAGGTATAATAACATTACGTATGATCATGGTGAACCTAAAAAATCTGCATATCAATAGTGCAATTAAGTCTTGATAAATTCGATCTCATATGACAATAGCAAAGCCTTTTTCCTGCTAAGTGAACTTTTATGCAGTGTGTCGCAAAAGTTGTCCAAATTATTATTATTATTATTATTATTATTATTATTATTATTATTTATTTTATAGGAGAGAATAAGCTGGTAATAAACATTTCTATTACTTGATCACCGATTCACCGGGTTAAGGGGGGTTTAAAAGAGTTGTTTTTGTTTTTAATTTTTTTATTTTGGCAACACATCCCTTACCTGTTTATTGCCAATTAAATTATATACCAATGACAATAGCTATTCCTATTGCCAATTGCCAGTTGACTCTGTGTTGGCTCAAGGCTCAAGCCACCCTTTGCTACGCAGTACACGCTAAGAGAGCTTGCTGACCAATTTTTTTTGCATATACATCAGTCCTATGTGAATGTATATATAAATGCATATATCAAGTTCACGACTGGATATAAAATTATATGAGTAAAAAGAAATAGAAAAAATTGCTTGCTGCTTTGCATAATGAAACACTAAATATGTAAAGGGCGTTTTTGTCTTAAAATATAGTCTGTTACCCCATTCAATTAGTTGAGGGTGGGTTTTGTGCTAAAAAAACATTTAAAAGGGGGTTTATTGTTGGTGAAAAGTCAAGAAGGTTTTTTTGCAATTCACCCGAAGTTTTATGAAGTTATTTAAAGTATCTAATGGTCTGAGACCATCTCAAAATTTCTCAACTTCCAACAACAATTCAAGTCTTTCTCTCGATTCCCGATATCAGTTATCCTTTCAAGTCATATAATCTTTAACTTAATTGTGCCTGTTTGAGCTCTCTTTTCATACGAGTTTCTCCACTTGTTTGAGGTGTTGTTTGGGAGTTTTTTTGCTCCGTGCCACTTGTTTGTTTGGTCCAATCTTGTCCCTCCCTCTTTTATTTCATTGTTCTTAGATTGAGCTTTTTTCATCCACCGGTTTCGTTTAGGTATTAATTTGAGATCGTTTTAAGGTGGGTTTGTGGAGTCTAGTGCTCTGGTGGGTCGTGTGGGTTGTTTGGTCCGATCTCCTTTCATAGGAGTTTTCTCCACTTGTTGGAGGTGCTGTTTGGGAGTTTTTTGCTCCATGTCACTAGTTTGTTTAGTCCGATCTTGTCCCTCCCTCTTTTCTTTCATTGTTCTTAGATTGAGCTTTTTTTATCCACCGGTTTCGTTTAGGTGTTAATTTGAGATCGTTTTAAGGTGGGTTTGTGGAGTCTAGTGTTCTGGTGGGTAGTGTGGGCTATTGAGGGGGTATGGCATGGTGGATCTTTGGTGATGATCTGGTCTTTTGGGAATTCGATGGTCCTGATGTCGGTGGGCTATTTAATAGCGACATACATCTAGATCTCTTTTTGGGCATTTTTCTAGATCTCATTTTCAATTGCGTTTTTTCATTTTCGGTATGTCTCCTTTTGGTCGTTTTTCTAGATTTCAAATAGTTCTTGATACAGTAATTATCATTTGGGTATTTTGGTGGTGTAAGCTCCCCTTACTTCTTTTTTCTACCTCTGTCCTATTATGTTTCTTGTTCTATATTTTTGGTGGTGGTGGTATGGTTCAGCTTTGGATTTTGGAGGTACTTTATCATGATCTATGGAGTGAACTTTGTTGGAGCTGTGCTGGGATGTGGTTAGTCTTCTGCTTTCGGTGGATCCTGTCTTATCATCTATTATTGTGGGGTATGCACTGGGTGCAGAGGTGGACTTGTTGGTCCTTTAGGTGCTTCCACTGTTTCAGTTGGATTGATCGCCGGTGGGGTACATGGATTGCCGATTTTTTCCGTCGGATTGATGCTGGTGTGGGATTTTTGGATTGTCGGTCTATGAGGTCAGCGTTGGTGTTGTCGGTTAGACTGGAGTCGACGTCATGGGTAAGGTCAGGGAAGCTTCTAGTGGAAACCTTAGGATGGATGGTGGTACAACATAAGCACATGCTTATTTCAAAATATCTTTTGACGTCGCTGCCTCCTATTATGATGGGTATGTTTACTTTTCCTTTTTTGAGTAGTGTTCAGAATATGTGTGTGGATGGGATATATTACCTTCTGTTGTACGTTTCACTCTTTGATCTTAGGATGTGTTTGGATAGACAGGGGAGAAAAGAAAAAAAATGATAGTATTAGTTATGAGAGAAAAGAAAAGAAAAGAAAGGATAGTAATAATTTCTATTTGTGTTTGGATAGATAGGGGAGAAAAGAAAAGAAATGATAGTTATTCTTGTTTGGATAAGATAGAGGAGAGAAAAGAAAAGAAAGGATAGTAGATAAATTACTTTTTTACCCTTTCATAACCATGGGACTTGAATGGAATAATAAATCTGTATATTGATTTGTGGAGGCTAATTTTGGTATTATCAAAATACCACTTAAAATCACTATGCTTTCTCTCCCTATCTTTTCAAAATTGAAGAGAAAGCAAATAAGAGATAAAGAGGGATAGCTATCCCTCCCTATCTCTCCCTATCCCTCCCTATTCCTCCACTTAACTTGCCCAAACACAAACTTACACTATCCTCTAGTTTATTTTCTCTCCCTATCCCTCCAAATCAACCCTACCAAACACACCCTTAAAGTCTTTATCCGTCTTCGAGCTGTGCATGGTTGTTTTTTCCACCTGTGTCAGTTGTACTTAACTGACGTTGGGGCTATGGTGCTGATTCTCTTTTCTTGTGAAATGCGCTCTTCTATGGTTTTATATCATATGCTATTTCAATTCTCTCTATTTGCTTTTTATACACTTCTGTTCTTTTCTGAATCCGTGGTATTGTGTAATTGTGTTAATCCTTTTTCTGTTTCTGGGTACTTCGCCTGAGGGAGTGATGAAGCAAGGCGTTCTTGATCAGTTCAGGGGTTTGACGCTGTCTTCGGCCGAGAATGAATCCATTCATTCAACTGAGACCCCACTATTGAAGGGGTTCAGTTGTGGCTGAAGGCCAAGTATCAGCACCTCATCCATAATGACTTCAAGTGTTTAAAGTGGTGGCGAACTTATTCCAATTAATTGTTCCGGATGCTTGTGTTTGTCACCAAGTTCTTCATGGTTGTCCTCGGTTGATTGATGGTGACTTAGTGGTTTTAAAGGCGTGGGAGGAGGGGCTATCCTTGGTTGTTTGATGGTTGTTTATTGCTCCAGAAACTGTTTAAGCTTAGGTTATCATGACCAGTGTCATGTATTTGCTTAGCATTAGGTTTTTATGGAGTGGTTTTGCTTTAGATGTTATGTGGTTCTACGAGATTTATGATGCTTTCTTGTATTGGGCTATTCGTTTACCAGAGTAGTAAGATAAAATAAAAATAAAAAGGTCTTTCTCTCAAGGAGGGTTACCTTATGACTTATTGTCAAAAATACCCCTGCCAAGTCAGTTTTTATTTTTTTAATTCTTTTTTGTTTTATATAATTCACTCTAATGGGGCTAAAAGATTTTTTTTTATTGCATAATAATATTTAATCTTATATTTTTTTTGCTACATTTATCATTATACTTTTAATTTTTTAAAAAAACATAAAATGAAGGAAAAAAAATTTTCATAGGGAAAATTGCATGAAATCCCCCTTCAATTGGTGGGCGTAATTTAATAAAAGTAATAAGATTTTTTGAACAAAAAATAAATTTCAAAGGAGGGTTTATTACTAAGGATTCGGCTCCTCTCAGTTAAAAGCCCCCTCTGAGCATCTGTGAGTATTAGATCAACGGTAGGAAGACCTGCCACATCATCATCCTAAAACAATACCCAAAACACTATCGTTTTATTTAATTAACGATAACGCCATCTTCAAACGGAGGAGCCGAATCCTTGTTGCAGCTAAAGCCCATCCACCAAACAGAGGGGACAGACCACCACCACTATCGCCACCGATTTAAGAAGTCATTGCTAGAACGCCTCATCCGGGACTTGGAGCCCCGCACCCTTCCTCCAAAAGAAAATCCGACTACGATTATCACCTTGACCACCACCACACCCACCATCGTTCAGACTCTTTACTATCTAAACCTCCCTTGACACCCATAGATCCACCGCCTAGAACCGCCACCGCGGGTCCGCGCCCAAGGGACAACTCTTTTCCCCTGTTCTTTCTCCCTCCCTTTTCGAGGGAAATATATGTCAATCAATTCTGCTTCCACGGGTGAAGGCTTGGGGATGAGTTGAGCAAGGATGTTCAAGGAATCTTACAGTTCAAATTGTTCCCTCCATTTGATTCATTTGATTACCGTTTGTGCCCATGTGTAGTTGGAGGAAGATTGGTGCTAAATTACAATGTATTTTGGCATGTAATTAATAATTTTTGAACGTTAATGATGCTTTTAAAAGCTTTTTGTTCATATTTTTGGTATTAGATTCATGTAATTTTTTAATGTAAATGGTTGAGTGTTCTGATTGTTACATAGCCTACAAAAAAAACCCTTTTCAGTGCTTAGAATTTGGTTATGGGATCCCTTGGAGTTGGGGTTGTAAAGTGGAGTGATTGGCATTTACAGAATAGGAAAGGAGACTTGGCATCTGATATTGCATTCAACTCTACAACATTGACAGATACAATAACAAATTGAAAACCACACTTCACAATATCTAATACACATTTAGAAGCTGTCAAATTCATAAACAACGAAACAAAGTGATTCAGAAAAATTTATGTAACTACATGGTTGTCTCTAGTACATTGAAAACATTAAAATCTTCTACAACATTGCAAGATTGCAATTTAAACAATGGAAAAAATTTGTCCAGACCAACAGCCAAAAGCTAAGAACAGCAACTTTAAGACTTTTGTTGCATCAATGAAACATTGTTGCTACAGCAACCAAGATCTAGATAACAAATCAGCAACTTCAAACACTTTAGACCATCAATAATTTCCAAAAGCAAAAGAGGAGCAGCTTTACTACAAAAACACACGAGAAGAACAAAAAATCAGAAAAAGAAAAACTAAATAGCAATAACATTACATAATTACAATATTGGATTACCTTATCTTTCAACATGAATGTAACTGCCATCACAATTCACATTTTAGTTGATGGTCTACTCAAGCAAGGAAAAAACATAGTTAATTTGTTACTTTACCAGCCTAAACACATTGGTATATTTACACCTAAAATGCAAAAAAAAATTAATAATAATAATAATGAAATATTAAGACTCACCCCACCATCACCATATGATGTTGTTCTAGTAAAACCATTGTTAGTTATAACTCCAGTAAGTCCTGTATGATTCATCTATACAATATTCCAAATTTTCTCATTAGATCATTCACGAGTCTTTCCTTTAATATAAATTCACTATTACCTGAGGACACAGTAGACTGTTTGAAGCTTGGGAGTATTGATTACTGTTTGAAGCTTGGGAGTATTGATTTAATATTTGTGGTTGTGAATATTTAACATTCATCGATGCATAAGCATTAGGTAACTCCCAATCCTAAAAAATTAAGTACGTAAGTTAGTATATAATAACAAAAATTTCTTATAACAAAACTGAAAATGCACTTACATTAAACTTATAGCACATAACTGATGAGTTGCTAGTATTTTCATTCAAAGATGTTGATTTAGTAGGTATCTCAGCACCCTAAAAAGATTAAGCAATACATTTACATACGATTTACATTTTATAATGGATTAATAAGAAGTATATCACATGAAAATAGATAAAAATACCTAAGATGGTCGAGTGAGAGAATTCCTTTTTTTTTCGTAGAGCCTTTTCAATTGGTGATTGGAACCTTCGCCGTCCCCTAGAGGCCTCTCTTCCCTTCAAACCCTTCACATGTATACCGTTTGACACATTTAAGAGATAACCATCTTCATTTGCACCGCAAACAATGAAAGAGGAGTTTGGATCAATATTTTCTTTTTGTTTACCACTGAAATTTAGCTTCTGAATGTCATGAACTACCTTGCATAAATTGTGTGTATGTTAGAGAGTCACTTTGTATGATTCATCAGTTTCAGCTACCAAAGATGATATCTTAGTAAACATATAACATAAGTTCTTATATCGAGATGCCATTCCACTCTTGTATCTCTTATCCACCATTCAAAATATATGCACTCGGTATTTCTTTAATATGCATGATTTTCCTAAGAATCTTTGTTATGTGACTACACAACACACCCATCATCTCAAATTGTCCACAATTGCATGGTAGAAAATTATTAGGGAACCTTTTGACTTGACACTCTCTACCTTGGTTATTGTCAACTGTATACATATAAATTTCACCATCCTCCTTGCAACCCTTTATATCAGCCTCCATTGAAATTTCATATTGCCTCTGAAACTCCTCAAATATGGCATTAGTGCATATAGTACTAGCATGCACTAGCATCTTCAAGTGCATCTTTATTTTAGGCAATTTGTAACATAACCCATACTCAGCTTCTAACTCTTTGTAACGCTTATCATGAAGTATTCTCTCAAAATGCTTAAAAACTTCTGGCAAATCATGGTCAGATTTTAAGTAGTCCTTTATACTAGCATTTAGGCTTTCACTTAGTTGTATGCTCCTCATGCCCGCAGACCATTCCCTTTTCAGGTATGCCTTTGCCCATTTAGTTATTAATTCAAACAATTTATGCAACCAAGTATTCTCACAGACATTATACTTGGATAGCATGTTGTCCCATGTATTAGTAAACTCATTTTCTTTCTCGTAGTCATCCATTAACTTTGTCAACACAGCTTTAATTCCATTTGAAGTTTTAAAAAGGATACTTAAATCCTTCACAGCATTTTGCATGATATGCCATGTACAAAGTTGATGGCATGTTTCTGGCATCACAAATGTTAAAGCCTTTGCCATTGCTGCATCTTGATCTATAAAAATAGTTTTCGGCTTCTTGTTAGACATTGCCTCCAAGAATGTTTCGAACAACCAAATAAACGAGTCAATGGTCTCATCATGCATTAGTGCTGCTCCAAATATAATAGTTTCACGATGATGATTAAGCCCGACAAATGGTGCAAATGGTTGGTTGGCTTGATTTAGTTTATATGTCGTATCAAAACTCACGACATCTCCAAACTAACCATAATCAATAATCATTATCCCATCCGCCCAAAATATATTCGTTATTTGCTCATCTTTATTTAATTGCACCGCATAAAAGAATGAGGGATGTTCTAAACATTGTTTCTGGAAGTACTTTAACAAGCTTCCTGCTTCTCCATATGCCAAATCTCGTTGTCGTTTAGATCGTATATAGTTCTTTTGATCTCGTTTAGTGTACCCAAGACATTCCCTTCCACCAGCATGCCTTCCCAATAACTCATATGTAGATTGCAAAGGAATACCAGACTCATTTGCCAAGTCCACTTCAATTGTTTGAGTTGTAGAAAGTTTGCGTTGTGATGGCATCATATGAGCACATGCTTCCATACCCAATGAATGATTATGTTGTTCCACAAATTTATTAACCCAAAATTTTCCCTTACTTCTGTTTAGTTTAATGTTCATCAAAGCACCATAACCCATCCTAGTCTCGGCTCTAGGATTCTTTGTCAAATAGTCTCGTTTGTCTTTCCTTCGAAAACCTTCCTTACAACAAACATACAATCGCGACGTAACTTCTCCTATGACAGGACTTTTGTTGGCATGATCTTTTCTCACGCTGAATCCAACTCTACGCCCGTACTCGTTATAAAATTCAAAAGCCTTTTCTTCATAATCGAACTCCATTCCATACTTAGGTTTCCAATCAACTTCACTCTTATCCATTATGGTAGTATCAAATATGCAACTAAACTGTATAAAAAAAATTTGGAATAATTCTAAATGTGCAAGTATAATTTTTTTTTTTTTTTTTCTCTCGTACAAGTATAATATTAGACTTTTATTAAATTAACATGCTTGATATTAGACAATCAGAAAGGTTAGTAGGAAGGCAGTGTCTTCCATTACTTAAAATCTCAACTGAAGTTTTTTCTTTCTTTTTTTTTTTTTTTTTTTTTTTTTTTTTTTTAAGATCTCCTCTTTATTCAGTTACTTCAAACTATGATACAAAACATAGTTATATGATTTATTTACACATAGCATAATGTAACAAGAAATTGTTAAAATAATTTATCTCAGAAACATTAGGAGCAATGTAAAATTTAATCTATAAATCATAAAAAGAAAGGCTGAAACACATAAAATATTTTAGATTAAATTAGTGTAATTTCACATAAAACCCTAAAAATTAAATTTGCGTAATTTCACATAAAATATTTTAGATTTAAAATACTGAAACACAACCTCCATTATTTCACTCCTCCAAAAAAAAAAAAAAAAAATCATCTAAAATTTGGAAATAAATCTGAATTCCTTGTCCCATTTAAGAGTAAAGGGTTTTGAAAGAGAAAAATAAACATACCTTCAAAATAACAATGCTTTAGTGGAACTTTTGGGCTAATTCGCTCTCAACAAAGGTCAAACAATTGATCCACTACACAGAGAAAGGGCAAAGAGGTTCTAGATCTATGATAGGTATGAAATTCTCTGAAAGCTTGAGGAGGGTTTTGGAGACAAATATTAAGATCTTTGGACAGATAGAGATCGTGAGTTGGGGAGGAAATTCAAATGGAGGGAACAATTTGAGAGTACCGTAAGGAGGGAAAATTTGAAAGGAAAAAAAGAAGAGGAGGGAAAATTTGAAAGGAAAAAAAGAAGAGGAGGGAAATCGAGGGGAAATTGTGAATAACGTTTGAAGATGACGTTATCGTTAATTAAATAGAACGATGGCGTTTTGGGTATTGCTTCAGGATGATGATGTGGCAGCTTTTCCTATCGTTGGATCTAATACTCACAGATGCCCAGAGAGGGCTTTTAACTGAAAGGAGCCGACTCCTATTACTAAACGCTACAAGTCAATGAAGTTTTATGAAATTCACCCACAAATTATCATTACTAACTTTTTCAATAGTAGAGTATGATAAAAATATATATTAATATTAAAGAAAAATATTAGTAGGCGGGGTGGAGCAGTTTGAGCTCATTACCTTAAAGATCACAAGTTCAAATCCTATCCCGCGACAATTACTTGGAGCAAAATGTACTGTCTTAAAAACATGTATCTCTATAAAAATTAATTTAATTAATTATTTGTTTGTTTCATTTCCAACAAATCGGTTAGAATAATGCAAGTGTGCATTTTCTAATTGCAGGAAAAATACTCTTGCACACTTTTACCCACAGCCGAACTTCAACTCCTCCCCTCCCCTTCTATTTGAGGATGAAAAAATTATAAAATTTTTGGAGTAACCAATTTGAGGAATCTCATAAATGAGAGGGCATCTTACCTCTCTTCTACATGAAAATCCACACAAAAAAGTTTGTCGCAACAACTTGATTTCCATGAAAATTAATTGAAAGGGTTTGCTTGGTTCAATTTTTAGAGAACAATTTAATATAACTGAAAATAAAAAAATTGTACGAGAAACTTATTTGGTTGCAAGTAGTTTTCAAAAATTCAGTTAAAAAAATTATTTGTTTATAGATAACTATTTTTTTATTAGTTTATATATAATTATCTGAAAATTATTCTCTAAATTACACAGTTTTTAGAAAATAAAGCAAACTGACCCTTAATTTTAACTCTCACCTTTACCTCAATGCTAAATAGGATAATTTTTAGGACAATTGAAATGCTTGCACGTGGAGGATATTCAACACGATAAGAAATCATACACAAAGATTCAACACAATTTAACCTAATCAACAAATGATAAAATTATTAGTTTCCACTATAATTGTATATTTTTACCCCTCCATTCACAATTGCATGTGTTCATGGGAAAACAGTGCAAAAACAACATATTAATTACGAAAAACTTTCTAAATGACATAATTAAATGCATTCAATTGATGTTTGTTAAATTGAGAAAGTTTTCAGTGCATGTGTGATAATCATGTTATTTGATATCATCAATTAATTATGTGTTATCATACAAATAAAACACACTTAATTTACGTAGTCATTTGATATCTTCAACTAAGTAGTATATGTTATCATACAAAGGAAACACATCTATTTACGTATTAAATATGATATATGATTATAAAATGTTTGATCAATTGACAAGCACAATATTCAAAGTTCATTGACAAAGTCAGTTTAGCTAATGAAAAATTAAATAAAACTTAATGACACCCTGTTTATATATTCATATCGATCTATGTACATACTACCTAGTGTCATAAAAAAATTTCATGATGAGTAGAAGAACTAGTCTTGATGTTTTCTTTCTAGTTCTTACTTTAACAAATCATTGATTCAGCGTATCAGCCACATCCTAAATTCCTGTGAAGTCATCCACTTGATCAATTAATTACAAGCAAATACACGTTTGCAACCCTTTAAAGAAACCACAATCTTCCACTTACATCACAAGAATCAAACATATAAATTTATTTTAGTACTCTAGATTACTTAGATAGTTTAGCATATATTGTAGGTAAGTAATGGTTCTTGTATTAATTTGTTGCAGTGAATTACTTAATCGAGTATTTTTTATTGGTTATTTATGTATGATACAAGTAAATGGAGGTCCCACTTTCTTATTTACTGCATAGATGGACCAATTAAAAAAAGTAGGTTTGTCAATTCACTGCAACAAATCGATGCAAATATCATTTTCCATTATAGGCAGGCTACATACATGGACTGATCTAGACAATTATGTGGAGGTGAGGGGGAGAACAATAATAGTAAGGTTGGTTTATTTATTTATTTATTTTTATTTTTATTATTATTTTTTTTTAATGAGGGCAATATTAAAATTTTATAGATATATAATTTAAAAAAAAAAATTAAAATCACTATTATATGGTACTAAAAAAGAATTTAGAGGCAATTGCCCGAAAAGTTCATGCCTGGCATGCTGTCAATTTGAAGAGTTTATATGTATAATATTAATAATGATTCTTAGACCTAATAGTCTAATCGAAGAGTTTAATTAGCCGGGAGAGTCTTAGGCCAAAACAAACAATGAATAAGACTCTTGACTATACTCGTCGATTAGAGTACTATTAAGTTTGAATAGTATTGTTTATATATGTGCACATATATGCAGGTGTTACATGATGTTACATGCATGGACATTTTCTGTGCTGAAAATCTCAAGAACCTTATCATCGACGAGGGTATCGTAAGCTTGGGTGGGATAGTAGCCATGGACGCTTTCATTATAACCATGGTTGTAGTAGTTATAGGTGGTGGAGAATGTAGATTCATCCAAATACTGGGATGCATATGGATAGTACTCACTATCATATGGAAATGGCCAAAACTCTGCCCTCCTTCCTGTTCTTCTCACAACCTTTAGAACCCTTCTCTGATCCACATATCCAGTCACAGTTACCTTTTGCTTATCCATGTCTATTTCCAAGCTATCAACACCTGCATATATGTGCATCCTTTAATTAATATTTACACCGACTCTCCTCAGGTTTCGTTAATAGACAAACAACCTCACCTGTCAAAGTTGTGGGATGGACAATGTTATCATTTCGTGTGCAATTATGTTTTGGTCCTTGTAAATATTGCACTTCGGTACAATAAATTAACATATCTTCAAAGGGCAGAACTGGAATTTGAAAGTTACAAATTTGTTAACATCAATATTTTTTGTCATTGACTGTTAATGGAGGGAACGTATGTGTTATTCATATATAAATCTCAAGGAAGCTATAATAAGTATAATTTGGCAAATAATGAGGGCGATCAGTGTATTTTGATAAAATTTCAAGTGGGTCAATGTAATTTATCCTAAAATCAATTATACACATTTGTTTTTGCGTGTGTATTTCTATGCATAAAGCAAAAATCGAGTACAAGCACAATCTGGAAGGGAAAAAAAAAAAAAAATCTTGTCAATTTTTAATCTCCAGATCAATTGGAAAGTTGAGAATTCCTAGGACAAATTTTAAAAAATGATTGATTTCTTTCTTTCTTTCTTTTTTTATTTTTATTTTTATATTTGTGACAGATGTTTTGAACTAGCTTAAACAAGGTTCCAATCTTATTGAGAGTTTCACTCAAAATCAGAAATTGTTGAAAAAATAACAAAATTATTTATTTCAAAATCGTTACCCTACCAAAATTTCGGTGAAAAAACTGTCATGATTACTAAAAACTTCAAATTTTAATGGGACTCAAAATAGCTTTCAATCTCTCCCTTGGAGAGGAGGATCATATTATCTAGACGGACCAGGCTTACCTGCCATATTGTGTTAATATCATTGGTCCCTACAATGTTATGGTAGAAAATAAGTTAAAACATAAAAAGAGAAATTAGGCTATGTTCGAATTGGAGTCCTAAAATTAAAATTGGTGGAATTAAAAAACAACAATTTACAAAATTAAATTAATTTTTCTTTTTTTTAATTCTATCAATTTCAAAATTCCAATTACATATAACTAAACGCATCCTAATGATCGAAATTCAACAGATGAAACACTTGCCTTGTAATTTAGAAATGGCTCTTCGTACTCTTTTCTCGCATCCATCACAATCCATATGAACCAGAAGCTCCACAATCTATCTTACAAATTAAGAGAAATACAAAGATAAAAAGAAAAAATAAATAAAAGATCGAGAAGGATATCGAACTAGTTCATTAATTTGCAGAACTGATGTGTACCAAAGAATCAATATAGCTATATATATATAGCTTAATTGGAATTAAAAACTCCTAATAACACAGATTACTTACGGACATGGCATTGGATAGTCGTGTCGTCGTCTGCCCAAAACACCAACCGAACATGATGATGAATTATTGCTTAGATAGCTATTGCTGGTTTAGAGAGGCTGAATGCGATCATATACTTAGATATATATAACTTGTAATATCATATTAGCAGAGAATTGAGATGAAGTAGGATGAAAAGAATCAGCAAAAGTTGATCAACTTATATATGACTTTTGATCTCTTCATCCTCTTGCTCTATTATCTCCTGCAACTTTATAATAAAGCAACTTGGTTTCTTGACAGGGGGAGATATATACTTTTATATATGTTTGTGTGTGTGTATATGTAGATGTATATTTATATGTATAGAGTGTGCAACAAGCTTAAGGTTGCAAGCTAATGTCTCACTGTAACTTAATTGGATGCATGGTTTTTAATTCCAAGTATATTTTCTGTCAATTTTTTATTTTTTTTATATTGATCAGATTTTTGCACATAATTTAGATTACCTGTTGATTTTCAACCTTGATTTCAATATTGTATTCTCTGTTTAATCCAATTTCATGAAATACCCGTACGCAATCTTAATTTTTGACTTAATATACCTACTCAATTTTCATGGTATAAAAGAGTATATATATATAACTAAGATGAAATTTCAAAAGAAAAATGAAGTACCGTTCAAATCATTTCAATCCAAAAGTTACGGGGGTCATCATCATCATACTTATTTATTTATTTATATATATATTATAATATTTTTTTTCAAAATTATATTATATATTGTTGTTGTTGGAGGAACTGATCTTTTATTAATTCTCCATTTTATTTTCCATTTTTCATTAATTTTGACATTTTGTATACCATGCATTTGCCCTCATTTGTTATCTGATATTTGTATGTTGCAAGTTGAAGGGCCAAGTTTAGATGGGGAATAGGGGTTGAAAGCAACATTAGCATTTTATTTTGGCATAAAATTTGTGTGGTTTGTGTCATGATCATATGCTCAAATGTCACGTGTAGTGTAGCTTTCATCCTTCACAACCGTCACTCTCCGGTCTCCACCCGATCCATGCACCCTCTATCTAAATATATATTCATCTATATATATACGTATGTGTGTGTATATATATATATATTTAGTTTAGTCTCTGTCTCTCTATATATAAATAAATATACAAGTATATATATATATATATATATATATATATGCTTCTAGTGGTCAACTAGTGTCAATACCATAGCACCACATCTTTAAACTGTTGGTCTCGCACTCAAGAGAGAATCTACTTCAAGTTGGAACAGAGTTCCAATTAAACCCTGTAACAGCAATATGAAATTACAATTTTACACCTTCTCTTTTGGTGACAGAAGAGCTTCATTAACGAACAAACAAATATACATATCGTTATATATATATATATATATATATATATATATATATATATATATATATGCAACTACCTAGCAAAGTTTATTGACCTTGGGCCATGAAATCAGGGGCGGAGCCAATTAACGCCCAAAGAGGGCACGTTGTCACGCCCCGCCTATGGAGGTTGTGCCACGCAGGTGACACGCAGACGCTGAGGAGGACGCTGCATGGCAACTACATGGCAAGTGGAGTTTCTAGAGTCTTCCGGAGTAGTCTAGAGTTGTGTGGAAGATTCTAGATATGTGTAGTATATTCTAGAAGTGTGTGGAAGGTTCTAGAATTCTCCAGAATTGTGTAGAGTAGTATGGAGGGTTCTAGAATGTTGTAGATATGTATGGAGATGTGTAGAAGATGGAAGAAGATTCTAGAGAATCAATCTCCACCGTTGGTTAGAATGCATCCTAGCCATCCATTAGGGATGGGGATGCCTATAAATAGGAGTAGGACTTCATTTTGCAACCAACAAGTCCTAGAGTGAGTCTTGAAAGCCTTGTAGAGAGCTTGAGTGTTAGCCTTGTACAAAGCATTCTTTGAAGTAATAGAAGTGTTCTTTCCTTGCCAACTTAAGTGTCTTAGTGTGTGTGAGTGTGTAAGTCAAGTGAGGAGAGGGCGAGGGCAACTACAACACTAGTAAGCGCACGAGGGGAGTGTGTTGGCTAAGGTGTGCACGGGAGTTAGGCTGACCAAGTACTTGCGAGAGTGGAAGCAACGTCTTGGTGCCGCACGGGAGCAGCTAGAGTGGTGCTGAAACTCTAAGCCCGTGACAGTTGGTATCAGAGCCAGGTTCGTCAAGGGAGCTTTGTTGGAGTAGACATGGCTAGCGGAGGAGACCACCAAGTTCACATCTTGGAGCAGAGCTTGGAGGAGAAGCTTGCCACACACTTGGTCTACACGGAGACCAAGTTTAACAAGCTCGAGAGAAGGAAAGGGACTTGTATGATCAAGTAGACGACTTGCGCGTGGAGATTGCCAAGTGCAAGAAGGAGTTCTCCTAGGCGCGCGAGGTCGTGGTGAAGCCAAAGAAGAAGAAAGCGCCAGAGCCCAAGGAGTACGATGGGGCAAGGAATGCGCGCCAGATTGATAACTTCTTCTGGCACATGGAGCGGTACTTCGAGTGCATGGAGATCAAGGATGATGAGGAGAAGGTGCAGACAGGCACCATGTACCTTACGGACACTGCCGCTCTATGGTGGAGGCAGTGCTTCACCGGTAGAGGCGCAAGAGCAGTTGACACATGGGAGGTGTTCAAGAGGTAGCTCAAGAGGCAGTTCTATCCCGAGTGCGTTGAAGACCTCGCCATGATCAACCTAAGGCGCCTGAAGCAGAAGGGCAGCATAAGAGAGTATGTGAAGGAGTACTCCAACTTGATGCTGGAGATCCCAGAGATGCAGGAGCGGCAACGCGTGTGCTTGTTCATTGATGGGTTGCAGTCTTGGGTAGCCATAGAGCTGAGAAGGAGGGAGCCTAGAGACTTGGCATCCGCAATGGCTATAGCGGAGCGCCTTGAAGACTTTAGGCGCGATGATAAGAGGGCCACCTCTCCCAAGAGGGACCACGGCAAAGGTGGGGGAGACCATCGTTTCAAGAAAAGGGGCTCGCCCAAGTCAAGTGATGATGAGCACAGCGATGAGGAGAGACGCCCACGCCATGATAAGGGCAAGGACCATGGAGAGAGGTCTAAGGCTAGTGGCAAAGGGGAGCGCCGCGATAAGGGAAAGTGGGAGCCGAAGTGCTACTTGTGCGAAGGGCCGCACATATTGCGACACTACCCCAACAAGAAGACCATGAGCGCCCTTGTGAAGGATAAGGGCAAGGGCAAGGTGGACGATACGGGCAGCGATGAAGATAGGTGCATGGAGGCTATGCAGATGCTGAATAGCATAGCGCATGACACCAAGAAGAAGGGCAAGGCAAAGAAAGTAGCTGGGGTGCGCTATGTGGATGCGCAGGTTGGTGGCAAAGCCGTGCAAGCGTTGGTGGACACGGGCGCCACACACAACTTCATTACCCCAGAGGAGGCGCAACGACTTGGCTTGGAGATACGTAAGACAGAGGGATGGATCAAGGCCGTCAACTCCGAGGAGGCACGCGTGAGTAGAGTGTGCAAAGAGGTGAAGCTATGCATGCAAGGATAAAAGGGCAAGGCCGACTTCCAAGTTGCGGAGATGGACGACCATGACATGGTGCTGGGGCTGGAGTTCATGGACAGGAACAACGCCGCGCCACTACCATGCCTTGGTGCGTTGATGATACTTGGAGGTGAAGAAGGCAAGGCCGCATGCATGGTGCCGCTCGTGGGCAGGAAGGAGAGTCCAGAGGTGGCAGTCAACACGATGGAGCTCGTGAGGACCTCACATCTCCCGAAGGGCGCTTGTACGTTTGGGCCAAGGACATATGCGCAAGTGCTGATGACCTGCGAGAGGCTGGGTCAGCTGAAGAAACCGTGACGAGGGCGTCACGGAAATGGGTGGGGGAGAATGTCACGCCCCGCCTATGGAGGTTGTGCCACGCAGGCAACACGCAGACGCTGAGGAGGACGCTGCATGGCAACTACATAGCAAGTGGAGTTTCTAGAGTCTTCCGGAGTAGTCTAGAGTTGTGTGGAAGATTCTAGATATGTGTAATATATTCTAGAAGTGTGTGGAAGGTTCTAGAATTCTCCAGAATTGTGTGGAGTAGTATGGAAGGTTCTAGAATGTTGTAGATATGTATGGAGATGTGTAGAAGATGGAAGAAGATTCTAGAGAATCAATCTCCACCGTTGGTTAGAATGCATCCTAACTATCCATTAGGGATGGGGATGCCTATAAATAGGAGTAGGACTTCATTTTGCAACCAATAAGTCCTAGAGTGAGTCTTGAGAGCCTTGTAGAGAGCTTGAGTGTTAGCCTTGTACAAAGCATTCTTTGAAGTAATAGAAGTGTTCTTTCCTTGCCAACTTAAGTGTCTTAGTGTGTGTGAGTGTGCAAGCCAAATGAGGAGAGGGCGAGGGCAACTACAACACTAGTAAGCGCACGAGGGGAGTGTGTTGGCTAAGGTGTGCACGGGAGTTAGGCTGACCAAGTACTTGCGAGAGTGGAAGCAACGTCTTGGTGCCGCACGGGAGCAGCTAGAGTGGTGCTGAAACTCTAAGCCCGTGACAACGTGCCCCCCTCACTTTGCTCCAACCTACTATATATAGGTATATATTTTTGGTATATATATATACTTACATGGGTAATTTTAAATAGTGTCCCCCTCAAAATTTTAAATTCTTTTAATTTTCTTTTTTCTTTTTTTATAAAAAAATTACATATATCTCTTCTTCAAATATACAATATATTTTTCCTTTTCTAATTTTTGTTTCATTTTTCAAAAAATTTCTTTTTTCACTTTTGTATAATTATGTATTTTTCTATTTTTTAAAATTATTTCTTTTTATGGATGACATTTGTGATTGTATTTAATTAAAATATTATTAAATTATATTTTGATTCTTATATTTGTAACTATATTTTTTTTACGGTATTTATTTAGCATATTATTTTACAACTATTTTTTTTTTATTTGCCTCTTTGATTTAAAAAAATTATACTGTCATATTTATTATTATTATTATTTTTTTAACAAGTGCATTGTGCCCTCTCAGAAATTGTGTCCCTCTAAAGTAAAATCCTAGCTCTGCCCCTGCATGAAATTAAGCTTTAGTAGTGTCTGGATGTGTAAATTTCTAGACACCTTTGAAGTCAATAATAATATAATGAGAACAAGGTTTCTTACATCAGACAGCAATTTGAGATTCTGAATTTATTCCAAGTTGATGTTTGTTCATCCTCGTGATTTTGATGGCAGCAGGAATAATTTAGCATATCTTGTCACAAAAATCAATTAATATAACTCATACGCGGTGCCACTCAAGCAATATACATATCATAGATTATATTAGGAAAAATTCAAAATTTTGTGACATCCGACTACGAGTGCCTCAGAGAGATACTGACTGGCAGCCTCACCTGCTATGGCGGGAGGTCCATCACTATGTGAGATACCCACAATTAGTCGAGTCTTACAATATCTATAATTAATTCTCTATATTATAACATAGATAGTGATTTAAAAAAATAGCATTATAAATTTCCAATTCATAATATAACACAAAATCCATAATTAGAAGATGAAAATACCATAAATTGTCCAAATCAGCACAATACCTGACCAGCTGGACTCAACTCAACTGGACTTGTTGAGTAAATTCATAAATAGTTAAGTGAAATTAATCACACATATTGAATATTAATTGGAAGTTCCAATCCCCTTTAAACCACATTAAAAATATATATTAATTCATAATGCATATGAAACAAAGAAACTATATACATCCGATGATGTACTATGAGATGCGCGAATACGACAGTCATTTCTTCTCCTAGCTCGATCTTATACATGTTCTTTTTAGTGATAAATAAATGTAAATTGAGAATTTCTCTAATCTTTACTCGACTTTCAAGTTCATTTATTGAGTGAGAAAATGAGATCTATGTCCTTTAAAATTTAATTCTATTTTAAGTGAAATTTATTCTTTAAACTGATACATAATTAGTGTTACCAAACGTATTTAATATAATCAAAATTAAACATCAAAATGGGGTCTTCTTAGACTTAGACAGTAGGCCATCTTAATCTTGCATCAAAAAAAATCAGGGCTAAGCTTATTGACCTAAGCGGAGCCGAACATCAAGCGGTATGGCCCAATCCGAGACTTTTGTTGATCGGGCCCAAACAATCAGGGCTAAGGTTTGTGTTTTTACCTAACAGGGCTAAGGTTTGTGTTTTTACCTAACAGGCCTAAGGTTTGTGTTCCCACTTCGCTATTCGGCTAGTAACCCAACGGTTACATTCCGTGTGAATTATAAATTAATTTTTCAGATCTGTTAGTTCTCTTTCATTTGATTGAAAAGTCTTTCGGACGCTAGTGCTCATATACAAACACATATGTATATATATATATACATACATACATACTAGAGAGAGAGTGTGATTTAGAGAGAGAGAGGGGGAGGGGGAGCAGTTCATGCAGTGATTGCTTACTCAGTCCATCTTCTTCTTGTTCACCATTGTCTCATGTACAATGAATTTGTTTCAATTTTCTCGTGAATTGAGTCGTCATTGAAATTGTCTGATTGATCGATCTTTCTATATATCTGAAGAATCAATTTTCTCTATCTGACGGAAAAAGAAAGAGAGGAGAGAGAAATCATAGAGGAGAGCTGGAGTCCGTACAGGATACGCAGTCCTTGAAGGCTCCCCCAGCCGCCGCCGGAAACGGCCGGATCCGGTACAGATCTCCGTCGGCCGCCGAACTCCTGGAGGGACAGCAGTCGAGTTCTTCTTCTCTACCGATCGGAGATCAAGAAAATCATCAATTGGACAAGATGTTGAAGCGCACCAGGCAATACGAGCCTCTCTCCGACAAGATCCGCAGGTTCCGAGGCGTAATTCTGGTGATCTCGGTCCCTCTCCTCCTTGTCTCGCTTGTTCTCTGCCTCATGCCCTCTCGCTCTCCTTCCGATTCCATGGAGGTCCTTCCTCATCGCAAGTTCTCCCCCACCAAACTCCACGCCTCTTCGATTAAGGGCTATGCCGTTATCTTCGATGCCGGTAGTTCTGGTAGCCGGGTTCACGTCTTTTGCTTTGATCAACACTTGGATCTCCTTCCCATTGGCAAAGATCTTGAACTTTTCGAACAGGTAAATTGTCTTCTCAATTACTTATTATTGTGTTCTATTTGTATGTTTGGTTAGATGGAAAGTAATAGTGGGAATTGAAATTTAAAAAACTGATGGAAAGTTATAATGAAAAGTGAAAACAAAGAAATGACTATGGATGAAATATGACAGTGGAAAGTGAAATTAAAAGAAAAGTAAAGTGAATGAATAGAATAATTAATTTCCAACTTGATTTGATTAACACGATTTTTCTTGTAAAATCATAAAAAATTTAAAGAAATCAAAGTTTTCCTTTGTATGAATTTTTCATGAAAATTTTATGTGGTCATGAAAATTACTTACCCTTCATTTTCCTAGCATCCAAATTCATAAAATGTTTAGCAAATGTTCAATTATTTTCGTTTCTTGCTATTTCGATCTAATTAAAAGGAACCCATATATTTTTAGATAACTCAATTTGGTAGTTAATTTTGAATAAATTAAGCATGAATATAATTTAAAATAATGATTGCCACAAAAAAAGGGATAACATTTTAAGACGAAGGACCAATTCCAACTGTTTCAAAAAATTTAGGACTAAACCGAACCATTGGAACCTGCAGAACTGAACCAATGATTAGAAAAAAAGAAAATGAAGCTTTGAGAAAACGTTAAAAAGTGTGACTAAAAGGTTTTCAAAGAAAGAATCTTTAAATGCATAAAGAACAAAGATCTAAGTAAATGTCAAATCAGAATGAATATGACAAAATTATATATAATAAGAGAAACGGTTTCAAGAAGAGAATCTGGAAATGGTAAAGAACAAATATCTAAGTTTAATGTAAATTCAGAATGAATATAAAAAAAGCAAGAGAAGACGTGATGATTCTTGATAATAAAGTCCATTGGGTTTACACCTCTGATTCTTGATAATTAGTCCATCGGGTTTACACCGCTACAGATACCGACAGTCGGCAGTCTTGAGAGTTGAGATGTGAAAGAGTGGGAGAGAGTCTGAGAGATAAGGGGGCACTTGAACTGGAACCTGCACTAAATCATACGGTCCAGACTGGTCCGGTTTACTTTGTGCACCCCTACTAAAGACTGAAGACTCAATTAAATAGAAATATTAAAAAATTATAGTTTAATAACTTAGTACTTAACTTTTAGTTTTACTTTGCTACCTTTGATATAGCGGGCATGTAACCTTACACCAGTTTTATGACTATTTGTTGAACCAGTATTGATGTTGGTTTAGATTTGATTATTTTGATATAACCGTAACTGCTATCACTATCTATTTTATTTTTTATAATTGGTGTAAATGTTGTAGGTCCTGCTGTTTCGTGTTACTGTGTTAATTCTGTCTTATTTCACTATGGTATTATAGCTAACCCCAGGTTTGAGTGCATATGCCAAAGACCCCAAGGCTGCTGCAGATTCTTTGTCATCCCTTCTAGAGAAGTCCGAAAAAGTTATTCCAAAAGGGATGCATAGCAATACACCTGTCAGAGTTGGGGTTAGTAACTTGTGGCTACAGTAATATTATGTACCAGGATCTTGTTGCAAAGTGATCCCCCATGAATATTTATAGTACTAATTTCTTATGCTGATCCTTATGAAGGCAACAGCAGGTCTAAGGCAGTTGGAAGGTGATGCATCTGACAGAATTTTGCAAGCGGTACATCTTGCTTCATTCTAAATATTCTGCTCATAATAGCATTTCATTTATGCTTCTAATTTGCACTTACATAACCTTAAATTTTCCTTTCCAAAGGTCAGGGATTTTCTTAAAGATAAAAGCACCTTGAAATCTAAGGCCGATTGGGTCACTGTCTTGGATGGAACCCAGGAAGGTGCCTATCAATGGGTATGAAAGCTTAATTTACTATGTTATGTTTATGTGTCAATAGTTTCGCCTTCTGCTTGCATTCATTGGTTTCAATTGAGGAACTGCAAAGTACCATGCCTTGATGCTTTACAAACAAGTTCTTTATTGATTGGGAATTAAGTTTATTATATATGCTGAATACTTGAAGGTGATAAGTGTTGTTTATGTTCACAAATGGCGATTATATAAGACCTGGTGCTGGAAGTTTACTCCCATCAACATATGGAAGCATCCAATTAGACCATGTTGATAGTTTGCCTAGAAAGCCTTTCCGTTTAGATGTCACCTCTAAACATTGCATTGCCACCTTGGCCGCAATGCCATTCTTACTTGGTCTCAATTAGACATAGTGGCATCTTCTTAGGATGTGTGGTATGACCTGTCAAGACTGCCACGTTAGTGTGAGTGCTGCGTTGCCCACACCGACAATCTATTAACTGATTTATATGTTGAATACTTGAAGCATGACCCTTTGGCATACGTAATACTGTCTTGAAGAGTCTTGAGAACACTACATCAGATCTTGACTTCCGTAGGCTTCAACTAACCTTTGACAAGGCATTGATCTCAAGGAATCTCTTCATTATATCTTTTTCTTACAAGTCAGCCTTGACTTCCACCTAACTTAGTCTGCTTGGGACTGACATTATATTATGTGTGAATATTTCCAATTTTTAGTCGTTCAAAAGAACCGTAAGGAGAAATGAAAAGATTTGGAAGGAATTGAGGTAAGGGCATCTTCTTAAAAGAAGACATTAACTGACATAAAATATTTTGACTTAATTGAATTGCAGGGAATATTTGCAACTTGAAGGTTTTTCATGAAGTGTGGGAGAGTTTTTTGCTTTATCTCGCCTTCAGTGATATGGAGTAATGCTGTTGTAAAGATAGCCTGAATTTTGACGGGGGAGAACTGAAGAATGTAGAAAAAAACTCATGCCCTTTTCCAAGCTTCCAGAAGTGGAATTTATGCTAAACCCACCTCGTAATATATTTGCTTAGCTCTGCCTCTTAAGGGGTTGTGTTGTGCCATATGCCTCTTAAGGGGTTGTGTTGTGCCTCTTAAGGGTTTGTGTTGAGGTCATAGTCTCCTAATGGAAGAGGATGTGAATACACATAAAATACTTCATTATTATTCAAGTAGTCACAAGGTGGATGGTATTGGATTTGAGCATTCTATCTAATTTGACAGTGATTTCAAGTAAAAGGGGGTGCTTTCATTAGCTCAGGGGTGAACTTGAGAAACATTAGGAAGAGTTTGGGAAAATATTTAAAATACCACAATTCAAGGAATATATATAATAACACTAGAGTGCAAGCAAATGTTTAGGGGGGAAAGAAAAAAAGAAGCCATTTTTAGACCATACGGGGGACAACTCATAGTTAGGATGTTTCAACAATCCTAGTGAAGTTACAAAGTGTTGCTTTATGAAATCAGGTTGTATGGAGTTTAGACTGAGTTTTGAGAAAGATGAAGACAAGAAAGGCTTTAGTACTGCATGGTATATTAATGAACTCTTAGGAAGTTTTAGGAAGATTAAGGGAGATGATGGAGTTTTTTGGTTGACTAGGTTGTTTGACAATGTCAAAAAGGTTAAAAGAAATATTAGATGCGGGGAGGGAACTTGGTGCCTATATATTATAAATTATAGGTAATTTAGTTTGCAGCAATCATCATGGTGTATGGGTCTTATCAGGGAATTTAGTTGAATAATAAGGCATGAAGCATGTCAAGAAATAACACAGTTAATTTTTTACTATTTTAGATTACTTATGAGCTGACATAATTACAGAATTTATTCCAAATTTCTTCTTGTTTTGCAGGTGACCATAAACTATCTGTTGGGGAATTTGGGTAAGAAATACTCATATACAGTTGGAGTAGTTGACCTTGGAGGGGGATCTGTACAAATGGCATATGCTATCTCGCAGAAAGATGCTGCAAAGGCTCCAAGGATATCAGGTGGAGAGGATACATATGTGAAGGAAATGTATCTTAAGGGGGAGAAATATTATCTTTATGTTCACAGGTAGAACTCTTCATCTGTGATGAATTAATGACTTGATTTATAATGTTCTGGCCCTTCTGGGTGTATTTGCTCCTTGCACCAGTTTTTTGTTTTGTAGTCCTGTTGTTGTATATTTAGCCTATTATACATTGCTTCTGGTTCTTCTTTCTTGATAAACAATTGGCTACCTTGAGTTCTAGCCTTGACTTTGTGAATATATTTTTTACTTGTGGTGATCAATCATACTAGTGTTTTTAATTAGAATTGTCATAGCACTGTTTGTGTACTTAATATGGTTTATGAATGTTTTATACAGTTACTTGAAGTATGGTTTATTAGCAGCTCGAGCTGAGATTCTGAAAGTTGCTGAAGACTCTGGCAATCCATGCATCTTAGCTGGCTATCGTGGTATGCTCAAGTCTTCCAGTTTCATAAGGCCTGATTTGGTGTTGACACTAGTGTCACTCTCGGTCTTTCACATTACTCATTTTTTTATAATTGGAGTGCTTATAATATGGTGCTGCATACTGTTCTTTTTTATAGAACCTAAACATATCTATCAGAAAACATAGAATTTAAAATTGTTTGAGATAAATTTTTTTTTTTTTCAATTTTGCATGCACAGCGAATTTAAAATTTGCTAAAGAATGTAATGGTAATGGCATCTGAACTGGTGCCTTTTATGACCAATGTCATAAAGTAGTGTAACCAAATCATATTGGCTATAAAATGTTAAGGATTAAGTTAATTAAAAATTTTTGTTTTATTTTATAAAATGTGAAAAATTAATTCGTGCTTTCTTTATAAGGGACTTACAACTATGGAGGAAAGAAATATGAGGTGTCAGCTTCTTCATCTGGTTCAAGCGAGAGCAAATGCAGAAGAGTAGCAACTAAGGCTCTCAAAGCTAATGAATCAACATGTACGCACATGAAATGCACATTTGGTGGGATATGGAATGGGGGAGGTGGGGATGGACAGAAGAATTTATTTGTTGCTTCGTTTTTCTTCGACAGGGCTGCTGAGGTAATTAATATTTCTTAGATTTTAATAATTCTTGTTTCTTATGGCTCCAAAGTCATGCTGACTTTATCATTTCCACTATAGGCTGGTTTAGTTGATCCAAACGCGCATGTTGCCAAAGTTAGTCCTGCAGATTTTGAGGAGGCCGCTAAGCGTGCTTGCAAAACTAGTCTTGAGGATGCCAAATCTGCGTATCCAAGTGTGAAGGAGGATAACCTTCCGTACTTGTGCATGGATCTTGTGTATCAGTTCACATTGCTTGTAGATGGGTTTGGTAAGTTATATTTACAGTGATGTTGTCTAGTTTTGAAATTATATTGGAATTCAGATATTTGACATCTGCGTTATCGTGTTTCTTGGTCAGCCCTTGATCCTTGGCAAGAGATTACATTGGTGAAGAAAGTTAAGTACCAAAATTCCCTAGTTGAAGCAGCATGGCCTCTGGGTAGTGCCATTGAAGTTATGTCATCGTTGTCTTAACTGCAAATCACATTGTTACCGTAAATGCCCCATTGGAATTTTGGTGGCATGTGATTCTTAAGCATCAGAATTTTGCAAGCACAAGGATATATCCACAGTTAATAATTCTCTGAAGTTCTGACCGAAGAATTCTTTTGTTTCAGCTCCCCAGTCTGAAGCTGTATTGGAAATTGAATTTTGGGTTGATATGAGGAATAATGACGAGTTAAAAGTTACTTTTTTTTCTTCTTCATTATTTTTTTTACTCATTTGTAATTAGGTTTACAGAATGTGCTGATTTACGACTTTTGGAAGTATGATTCAACTCATTTTATTGATTTAGGTTCACCGCCTGAAGGATTAAATTAGTTAATTCTTTTTTCCTGTTCTTTTATACCTTTTGTTCCCCCATTTTATTTATTTATTATTCAGTATGTAAGTCTATCTTATTTAGGATAAATTACACTTACCTCCCCTCTCATCTTTCTTATTAATTTCTCTCTCCTCTTCACCATCGTTATCCCTCCAAAAAAAATATTGTAAATGAAAAAAAAAAATAGAGTGGAAGGGTAACTTGGTTATTTTAGGAATTTTTTTTTACAAGTTTTGATGGAGATGGGATTGTTGGGCATACACTAAACTTCAGGGAGGTCAAAACAATAAATCTGAAACATTCCACTTGTGTGACATTTGTCCATCTTTCAAGAAAGATCATTATAACTTACCCTAAAATTTAAAACAATGAGGCTTCATCTCTGCCCACGCTAGAAGTACAAAGCCTTTATCGATGAATTTCAATGATCTTGATCTCTTTTCAATTGGAACACGATCTAGGTTCATTTGGAAAAGAATCGTCTAAACTAGAAATATTTTTAATGCCTATATGTAAACAATTTGTAAAGTAGTGGGTTGTTGTTAATGTATCTCACATTGGCTAGGTTCATTTGGAAAAGACTCTTCAAAACTAGAAATATTTTTAGTGCCCATATGCGAACAATTTTTTAAGTAGTGGGTTGTTGTTAATGGTATCTCATTTTGGCTTTTGGGTTAAAGAGGAAGGGTTTAATTCGTTCAATTGGCTCAATCCTCTGCTATGGTTGGTATCAGACCTGATCTTTGATTCGGTGTCACGCGAGCACATGCCTGAACCTGAACCTGGGAGGTGATATAAAGAGCTTGCACAAATATTTGCACTTCTAGTAGCCGAAGAAGGGAAGACTTCTTCATATGTAAACGCATATGCATATGCGCGAGCTGGGACGGTTAAAAAGCTGGAAGGCAGAGGTACCTACCTGGTGATTGGACTCTTGTTGGTAACTCCAAAAAAACCCTGTGTGTTCGTTTAGTTATTCTCTCGAACAGGTTATGCTCGTCATATATAGTGTGTGTCATAGCCCTTTTTTTCATAACAATATTTATAAAATTCTGTCCTCTGGGTGATACGAGATATGAGAAGAAGGTTCACCCAATCCCTTTTCTCTCTCACCCAACTCAATTCAACACGTACACAGCCATCTCTATGTCAATCTGTTAATCCACTCACTCCCTCTGAGTTAAGCTCTTCCGGCACCTATATTCGTAGGAGCTCCTTAAGACCTTCTGATTTCCCATTCTTTTTCTCATCTTTTACCTTATCCGTAGACAAAAACCCAAGGCGTCTTCCAACGGTTGAATCGGATGGTAACAGTGACAATGACGATGACAACGATGGTGAAGGCGATGACAACGACCCAGATGGGCAATTGGATTCTAGAGACCCGATTATTGCCGGAGATGTAGGAACCATTCTGGGTATTTTACGGGAAAAGGGTAGCGGCGGTGCTCAGGTGAAAAGCAAGCTTGAGCAGTGTGGTGTCACTGCCTCGTCGGAGTTGGTGGACGAGGTTCTTTCGCGGGTACGCAACGATTGGGAAGCAGCATTCACCTTCTTTCTTTGGGCAGGTAAGCAGCCGGGTTATGCACATTCCCTGCGTGAGTACCATTCAATGATTGCCATTCTTGGGAAAATGAGGAAGTTTGACACTGCCTGGGCATTGATCGATGAAATGAGAGGTGGTAAGACTGGTCCATCTTTGGTGACTCCTCAGACACTCTTGATCATGATCAGGAGGTATTGTGCTGTACATGATGTTGGTAAAGCTGTGAATGCTTTTTATGCTCATAAAAAGTTTAAATTTGAAGTGGGTATGGAGGAATTCCAACAGTTTCTCTCTGCCCTTTGCCGGTACAAAAATGTTAAAGATGCCGAGCACCTTCTCTTCTGCAACAAAAATGTTTTCCCTTTTAATACCAAGAGCTTTAACATTATTCTCAATGGGTACTGCAACATTGTTGGTGATCAACGCGAGGCGAAGAGAATTTGGAGGGAGATGATCGAGAGAAGAATTCCACGTGATGTTATTTCATATTCTAGTATCATGTCCTGCTATTCAAAAGCCAGTAATCTCAATGCCGTGTTCAAGCTTTTCGACCAGATGAAGGCAATGGATATTACGCCGGATAGGAAAGTTTACAATGCAGTCATTCATGCTCTTGCTAAAGGCAGATTTGTGAAAGAGGCTCGAAATCTCATGAAAACAATGGAGGAGAAGGGTATTGCTCCAAATGCTGTTACCTATAACTCACTGATCAAGCCTCTCTGTAAGGCCCGTCGATTAGATGATGCCGGAGAGGTCTTCCATGAGATGTTGGAGCGGGACCTCTCCCCTACCATTCGGACTTATCATGCCTTCTTTCGTATTCTAAGGACAGGGGAACAAGTGTTTGAGCTCTTGGAAAAGATGTATAAGATGGGTTGCTGCCCAAATAATGATACTTACATCATGTTGATTAGAAAGTTCTGTCGTTGGCGCCAGCTTGACAATGTCATCAAGCTGTGGACTGAGATGAGCAAGAATGGACTTGACCCTGACCGGAGCTCTTACACTGTGCTGATACATGGGCTCTTTTTGAATGGAAAGTTGGAGGAAGCATACAAATATTATCAAGAGATGAAAGAAAAACAGTTTTTGCCAGAACCGAAGACAGATGAGATGCTTCAGGCTTGGGTGTCCAGCAAGGAAATTGCAGAGTGGCGCGTGGTAGATTCAGAAAAAAATCAAGTGGATTGTAGTCATTCAGGCAACAGAACTACGGTCAACTCTAAAAAGTTTAATGAAGAAAGAGATTTTCGCCGACAACCTGAAACTCGAAGAGTGGTAAGAGAGCGCGGCTTTTCATTTTGGGATCCGTAGATTCAAGTGTTGACAATCAATCGGACAGCTATCTCTTATAAACATGAATCTTGCTACTCAGCAATCGTCAGCATATTAGTGTCCCTGAGGACTCCATACAGGTGCATGACATTTTCCTTAATCTAATGTTCTCCAAAGCGTTCTAATTATCTTTCCCTACAATTTTGTTGTCACAAGTTATGGCATAAATTTTCATTTGTAAAATGTTTTATGAATTCCAAAAATAACAGATTATGTACCATTATGTGGTGATTGCTCTTATTTAATTTATTTCTCCTACTTTGTATGATGAATTTATATTGTCAGATACCATGTCAAACGTAGCCTGGCCATTCAATTTTATTGGATTTTCAATTGCACCTTGATTCAATAAGCTTGACCAAAATATAAGATAAAAAAGAAATTTTTGTTCCATCAAATGTGAGTGTTAGTGACACACAGTTACAAAGAATATATGCATATTGGGGTAAAACTTCCATCTATATCATTTTTTCATGTGTTTTAATGACATGATTTTTAGCTTTATTTTGATTGTTGTCAAAGTTGGATGTAAAAACAAGCAAGAGAAATGTCCCAAACAATACTGTTAGTTTAAAAAACTGCCTTCAGATTTTCACACTTTAGCATCGTTACCGTAAACTTGATCTGAATTCTCCGATGTGAGTGAATTCCCATTATATTTCTAGGTTAATATCTATATCACTTTATGGGTGAGTGTATGGAATGTGTATTTATATGGATTCATACTCAGGCATATGTATGTAAATGGTGATCTTAGATGTTCCTGGATCTTTTCATATAAGCCATTATGCGGCCATCTGCCTGCCCACGAAAGAATGTTGCTGAAGGTCGTGTAAACTATAAATTGTGAATATAACAAAATTTCTTTTTGGCTATATATTATTACCTTTCAAATGTATCAAAGAATTCTTTTTTTGTTACCAATTATTCTCTCTTTTTTGACATATTAGAGAAGAAAAGGACAATCCCTACACCTGTTTGGTATTGAACATCTATTGTTCAAGCTTGAACCGAATGGTAAGTTAGCGGGATGACTGGTGGATTGTGGATAACCCTTTGCTTTTGTTAAAATGTATGAATCCTGAAACTTTGGTTTGATTACATGTAGGATCTGATTCTTTGGCCATTACTCTGAATCTAAAGGAATAGCCCGTCTATGGGTGAGAGCTAGTCACTTAGCAGCTATAAAGTACTTCCTAACACTTTACGTAAGATCACTGCCAATACTCCAAAGAGTAAGGAATTAGATGAGTCCAGTTCTTTTAGTTCCTCCGAAACCAAAGCTTTACCACAAGGGCTTGTTAGTTTTGAAGAACCATCAAACCTGCTCTGAAAAATCAGTAAACTTTAATCACTGTACTCCTAGCATATTAAGGCTTAATTATTGTAAAACCTTTCCATGGTGAATGTTACAACAAACACCGCGAACCAAGAACAAATCAAGAATCACGACAGAAAAGTAACACGCCACACACAAAGAACACAAAGATTTACATGGTTCAGCAAAGCCTTCGTCCACAGTCAAGATTGGGAAACGATTTTACTATGCGAAAACCAGGAGTTTCAGCCCCCAACCCTAGCTCTCTCTCTCTCTCTCTCTCTCTCTCTCTTCTGCGATTTTCAGTGTTATCTCGTTACCCTCCCCAAACCCTAAACGCCTTTATATACTGAGCTACAAGAGAATTCTATATCCAGGTCCATGGCCCACAAGAAAAAAAGGGGTCCAAAAATCCCCATTTTTCAAGTCAAAACTAGGTCACAAGACTCACAACTCGACTGGGGCTGAAACAAAATTCAGGCCACAACAGCACAATGAACTTGTCCGATTAGGAGAACTATTAGGGAAGATGGAGGTATTCCTTAAGGATCAAGCAGACAGGACAGGATGGTAATTAGAGAGGAAAGAGAACAGTAACTCTTTTTACGGGAAGCTCTCTGGGAGGAAGACTTCGATAGGAAACAGAAAAGGAGTTATGATTGCACTTTGCCTCCTGACTAAATTTATCTGCGGTGACCATCTAGGGTTGCAGCCCAGTGGTACTTCTTCATCTTTCGAAGTAGGAAGGTCAAGGTTCTAGTTCCCATAGGCGCAATGCGGGTGTATGAGTTTCTTGCCAGGAAAAAATAAAAATAAAAATCTCCCGTGTGCTACAAATTAGGTTCCATGCATAAATAAGCTCTCAGCACTTTCTCTATTTCAATACATAATTATTGCTTTAATAATTGAGAAAAGTAATAGCCGCAACTGCACGACTATTGCTCCTCGACCAATGGCTTTGTGGGTCCTTTAGTGGGCCCCACACAATCCAGTGGCTGAGGACCCGCCGTCCCCACCTCTCTTAATAATTTGCGATCTCCCAGCATGTGAAAAGATCATTTCCTCAGCTCAAGCACATCCAACTATTCAACAGGAAGGTAGCCTTTAGGACATCCAAGTAATGTTATAGATCCTGTAATCAACATTTTTTCCCTTGTAGTCAACAAATTCACCTGATATATTTTTACTTTTTTCTAGATAAATGAATAGCAAGGAAATTTTATTTTATTATTTTTTTTTTTTATTTTATAAGAACAAGGAAATTGGAAACACTGATATAAGCATCCTAAAGCCTGGGGCCTGAAACTCGGCTGTTCCAGCCCGATAAGCTGATGAATTGAGCTTATAGTTGTGCAGTCGCAGCTGTTATTCAATTTATACACTTGAATAATTTAATTGCTGAATTGAGCTTGTAGTCTATTCCATTCCACACCAGTTCAGACCAGTACTTCCTTGGAGTACTGGTCTAAAAGGAAGTACCGGTGGCCTACACTGGTGTGGAATGGAGGTAGACCTGCTGCAAGTGGTGACTACCGGTTTGGTTATGCAAAATAAACTGCTAACTTTGTTTAACCTGCAACATAGAGGCATGTGTGTTACTCGTATTTGTCATCATAAATGTACGAGGAACTCCCATATGAGGGATCATTTGTTTTTCTTACTGTAAATTTGCTCAAGATATTTGAGGATGATTTACTGATCTGTTTAACAGAAATTGAAATTGTGTTCATAGCTTTGAAACATGCCTTACTCGTATTTGTCATAAATGTATGAGGAACTCTCATATGAGGGATCATTTATTTTTCCAACTGTAAATTTGCTCAAGGTATTTGGGGATGATTTACTGATCTGTTTAACAGGAATTGAAATTCTGTTGATAGCTTTGAACAGTGCGTGAAATGATTTTCTGCTGAGTCTTCCTTATACCACATTGCAGTAAGATGATGAATCTATTATTCACCTACATGGCATTTGTGGTGGATCAGAAACCAGAAATATCATGAGGATGCTACATTTATACCTTACCAAATTGCAAGGCAAATCATATGGAATGTGGTGGATTCTCTGGTATACATCTGTGCATTTGGCGGGAAAATTCTCATTTTAATTGGAGGAGCACTGTAAGTAGTGTTGGTTTGAAGGGGTTTATGTGGGAGAGGCTTATCTGGTGTTTGTATTCTGATATTTTTTTTGTTAAAAGTTTGTATTCTGAATTTCTGATATTCCTTTTGCTGATTTGTTTGTTTTGCTGTTTCTCTTGGCCAATTTTTGGAAATGGTTCTTTTAGTTGTGATGTTTTAGAGAGGTTTGACTCTCTCTCTTGTTAGTGTGTTTCTTTGTTAATAAAGTGATGCTTAGAGGAGAAAAAAAATGAGCTTATGGTTACCAAGTGATCTCAAAATAATACACCACTTGGCAGCAAGGTTTGTATTGTGTGCAAAAGTGGTAGGGCCTGCTTGGTTTAAGCTTTTTGAGAATAGTTTTCTGATTCTCAAAAACGAAAAATCAGAAAATTATACAAAACTTGTGTGGTTGCTAGTTTCTAAAAACTTGTTTATGAAAATTCAAGGTCTGTTTTCAGATACTTATTTCATAGTTCTCTATATGAAGTGTTTAAAAATTATTATTATTTTTTAAGTGACAATCAAATATGCTCAAAGTTTGGAATGCTTACAATGATGCACCGATTGAAATGATGAACATTTGATAATTCATACATTATTTTTAGAATGTCTTGAATTTTTCGGGATTTAAGTATTTGTTTTTTCTTCATCTAATTGACTCAATCAAGATATGTCATGTAATTTTAATAAAACTTATATCAATCTTCTATAATTAAGTCAACGAAGATGTGTAGATGTTGTTGCGACTATGTGAGAATGAGAGTGACACTTACGCTAGTTATCCAAAACGTAAATGAAGATGGTAGAGACCAATTTAGAATGATCAAATTATATTTTTCCTTTTTTTATATATAGAAAAAAGTGTTATTTTTATTAATGTTCATATCTTCATTGTTTATAATTTTTTTTTTTTTAATTTAGTAAAAATAATATTCACACACTTTTCTATACCTACATTTCACTTATTCTTTTTAAATTAAATGACATAATTACTCGACAATCAATTTTTTTCTTCTTCCAAAAACATTTACATATCACATATTCTTTTTAAATCAATTTATTTTGTCATTTAAATAAAATTAAATTAATAAAGACTTCATTGATATTATTTAAACTTTAATGAAGTACTGACTAAAAGTCCTCATTCGTCAGTCGTCACTGGATACTGAGCCATTACTCAATTATGAATACATGCATATATTCATATTATATATATATCACATAATCTTTTTAAATCAATTTATTTTGTCATTTAAATAAAATTAAATTAATAAAGACTTCATTGATATTATTTAAACTTTAATGAAATACTGACTAAAAGTCCTTATTCGTCAGTTGTCACTGGATACTGAGCCATTACTCAATTATGAATACCTGCATATATTCATATTATATATATATATATTATATATATATATATATTTCAAAAACTCGAGCAATAATAATAGGAATCATCACCAACGAACTATGAAAGGGATTAAAAAGGTTCCCATTGGTGTGTGTGGCAAAATCAATAAGAGTTACTTGCACCGATTTATTATCGGGAACCACCTAATCGAAAATTATGATTAATTATTTATGCTAATACAAGAAATAGCGAATTTTACTTCCTTATTTTTGTATAAATGAACTTACTAAAATAAGTAAGTTCGGTTTTCAAGTATCATTTTCCAAGAAATAATTGATTCAATTGAATGTGAGATCAGATCAACTGGTGCGAGTGGTGCCCAACTGTACACATTTATTGTGTGTAATCTCAAACATCCCTCGTAGCAATATATGATAGAATTAATGGGTGAGCAGATAATCCGTAAATTCGATCCGATCTATAGGGATTAGATCAGATTGCTACATCCACAAATCGGTGATGAATTTAAAAATATCAAATTCTTAAGTTACGAATCGGATCACGAATTGGGCGGTTAAAAATCCGATCCGATCCAATCCGTGTGGATCGGACCGGATTGCTACATCCCCGAATCGGTGGCGGATTCAAAAAAATCAAATCCGTAACTCATGGATTGGGCGGTTAAAAATTCGATCCGATCCATGAATTCAATCCCATCCAATCCATAAAATTTATATATGTTTTTTCAAAGAATATATTAGTTAATGATAATTTAATATACTCTAAAGATGTATTAGTTAATAATTATTTAAATATATGAATTAATATTAATAAATTAAAATCCGTAATCCAATCCGTGAAATTTATATATATATTTTCAAAGAATATATTAGTTAATAATATTTAAATATATGAATTAACATTAATAAATTAAAATCTGTGATTCAATCCGTGAGTCCGATTCGTGAAATATATATATATTTTTTCAAAGACTATATTAGTTAATGATAATTTAATGTACTCTAAAGATGTATTAGTTAATAATTATTTTAAAGTATGAATTAATATTAATAAATTAAAATTTTATGTATTGGGTTGGAGTTAAAAGAAAAATAAATATTAAATAATATTACTTAAAAAATAAAAATAATAATAATAATAATGAATAATTTAGATAAAATTCAATCTACGTATTCAATCCAATCTGATCCGTTATTATACGGATCAGATCCGTGGAATAACGGATCTGTCATAAATTAAAAAATTTCTAATCCATTAAGAGCGAATCAAATTATGATTGATGCCTAATCCGATCCCATTTAATTCGTGACCGCATATTAGAACCAACCCTCACACATTGTTTGTTGTTGTTGGTGGGAAACAATTTATTAGAACACATGGATTACCCATTTGGCAATCACTCTCACACCCACCACCATCAAGACTACCCACCGCCGCCACCACCACTACCACCACTATTGCCTAACTTCGGTCACCCAACGCCACAACCTCCACCTTCCTATTACGTCCAAAACGAACCCAAAAATGAGCTTATGGTTACCAATTGATCTCAAAATTGACCCACTCCACCAATCAGGCAAGCAAGGACCCTTTGCGTCGGACCACTTGGCATAATCGACAGTTTCTGGGATGAACAACTGATCGAATTAATAATTAATACAATATTATCAGAAAAGGGCAATCCTAATAAAATATAGGATGGAAAAAACAAGGAACGTTGTATGTATGAGAGAGACTGAAGGTAACACCTTTTTTCTGAAAACTTTGGCATAAAAACTAAAAAAGTACACTAGAAACACGAATACAAAATGTTTGCGGGGACGAATTGCGAACATTAGGAAAAAATTGGAATATAAAATATGATATCGTTTATTATATGTTATTTCGTAGTATTACTTTATGTCAGCTACGACAATAATATATATGAAGATAATATTGTTTTCTCCATCTGATTGAGTCAATCGAGATATATCATGTGTATAGCAATCTTCCATGATTGAGTCAAGGAAGATATGCAGATGTTACCTTCTGAAGAAAAAAAAAAAAGATATGTACATGTTGCTGTACCTATGTGAGAGTGGCACGTACCCTAATTATGTTAGCTAAAAAAAATATAACTTATATACATACACGTTGTATTAGTTTCACAATACACATTATTTATGTTAAGAATATCATTAATTCTGACAAAGTTATTATATCTTGAAGGGTCAAAATTAAATCTATTTAAAATGATCAATTATTATATATATATATATATATATATATATCAAATTAATATATATATTTTTTATCTTAATCTTGCATCAAACAAAAATTAATGAATCAATCTATCCCCTTTAATTACCGAATGATTTGTTATTGGTTTACATCAATAATCAAGGCATGTCTATAATAGAAATTATTTATTTTTAATTTTCGAAAAGTCGAGCAATTTATGATAGGAATCATCACCAACCAACTCTGAAAGGGATCAAAAACAAAAAAGTTCCCATTGGTGTGTGGGAACGTGGCAAAATCTTGGTGGGTGATAGAGACGATTGTAAAAAAGCAATTGAATGTGGGGCATCAGATGAGGAGTGGCGAGTGAGTGGTGGGCCAGTCGCCCCCTATGTGTATTCTGTGTTATCTAAAACAAATCTCATTATCACAGAAGCGACGGAAATCATAGAACCAACCCAACACACATTGTTTGTTGCTGTGAAACAATTTCTCAGTCCACATGGATTACCCATTTGGCCATCACTCTCACACCCACCACCACCGTGCCGATGAAAGAGACGAAGACTACCCACCACCACCACCGCCTAACTTCGGTCACCCACCACCACCTCCACCTTCCTATTACGCCCAAAACGAGCCACCACCACCTCCGCCTTCCTATTACGCCCAAAACGAACCCACCCACGTCTACCACAGCTCCCATGTAGGAGGCGAATCCGATTACTATGCTCAGCCGCCGCCACCGCGTCGGCGACCGGAGTCAGAGGAGTACAACTACTCCGATTCTCACAATTACCCACCACCGCAAACCCAATTTGATGGTGGTTATTCTTCTGTCCAACATGTCTCTCACCAGACACCCACTGAAAGCGAAAACAACCCACACCACTATCAGCCCCATGTGCCCTCATTCCTTCACCACCACACCCACCACGAGGGGGGTTCCGATTTGGCCGATAAACCCGCTGTTAGGGTTTTCTCCAAGGCTGAGGAGAATTACTCCCTCACCATCCGTGACGGGAAGGTTGTTCTTGCCCGTTCAGATCCATCTGATCAGTTCCAGGTATGGTTTCTTCTCATTCACTTTTTTGTTTTCTGTGCGTTAATTGATTGAATGAGATTGTTTTGTGATCTTTGATTTTGGGTATTGCAGCACTGGATCAAAGATGAGAAGTTCAGCATCAGAGTGAAGGACGAAGAGAAGTTTCCCAGTTTTGCTCTGGTCAATAAAGCCACTGGTCAGGCCATCAAGCACTCCATTGGTGCCACTCATCCGGTATGTTCTTATATTTGTGTTTTTTCATATACACATATCCATACTACTTCTTTGTTTTGAATTCTTATTGAGAAAGTATAACTTGTGGAAATTGATTTAGATCTAAGATTTTGCTCTTATTTAATTTTCATATGATTTTTTTTATTTATTCTTTAGGTGCTACAAGTAACAAAAATTCTTTCTTTTACACATTTTTTTTTTTTTGTTTTTCTATACTCTTCTTATTATAGTTTAGTCAATTAATAAGGATAATATTTGTCAAGTTACATAGCAAAATACACACCCACCATCCCCAAATGAAGTCTTTGCATAAAATAGGAAAGGGGGGTGCGTTTATTCAATTGTTCTTGTAAAATATTTCACACTTATATAACTTTCTTTTGGATTGATGTGACAGTTCTGAATCTCTGTTTTTTTTTTTTTTTTCGTCCGAGCATTTTCTTTCTACTTTAATTGGTCTAGGTGGTTTGAATATATAATTTTCCGGTATAAACTTGATATATTTTCTTATAAGAATTGGTTAACGAAAGTGCACCTAATTGTGGTTTAAGGACTGGAATCCCTTCTAAAAAAACAAAAACTACTTCAGTTATAGATATTTGTGGCTAGTAAGGAGTTGATTCAATATATACTAGCACTAGCAGAGTAGCAGGGTGACAAAGGCTCTGGTAAGCCAACCAGACAGACAGCATACAGTGTCATAATAGAATGACAAATCTACTTATTATGAAATAATAATTTTTATGTGTGGTATATTTTACATAAAAATAGGCAACGAGCATCGCGACCCCTATTCTGATCCCTCCTCTTCTTGTTCACTATTCCTTTCTCTCCTTTTCTTTTTTTGTTCATTATTATTGTTATTATTATTTTAAAAAATAATTAAAAAATTTCCATGGAAAATGTCTTGCATCCATGTATCCCTCGAGTCTTGGCCTGGACCTTTTAGACAATAATAAAGTTTAAAACATAATTTTTCTAGTGAGTGGTAGCTTTCTAAGTTTATAAATAGAAATAGCTGAGAGTGAGGGACCTGTCCAAAATAGGGGGAAGAGTGTCTGGTTGTGAAATGTTCCAAAAGAATATCTAAAATAGACAGAAATAACAGACAGAGCAGTAAGGCAAACAGTCAATGAATTTAACAAACCCAAGTACTAGCTTTCTTCATGAGTGATATCCTTTCAAGCTTTCCTTGCTTCTCTTTCTGTTGACTTACTCAAATAGGTGATAGGTTCGGTTTGAACATAAATTCAAACATGATTAGAAGGGTCCTAGCAATGCCATATTTTCAATACAAACCGGTCCATGCTAGCAACCCAAGGTGGTGGGTTAGAGAACCTACGAAGCTACATCAGGCTTTTTTAGTTACTGAATGAGCTTCTGAACATGCCAAGGATGAACTGCTCGTAAATGACTCTGTTTAGTTAGCATTGCCAATATTGTAAAGTTTGTAGCTGTTTCGTTATTTTATATTTTAGCTGAACTTGTAGGTGAAGTTCAAACCAAGCATCGGTATGATATATATGGTAATATGCCCTTATCAACTCATGCTTGACACTGCAAGTTTGTGAATATTGAATCTTCTCCTGCAGGTGCAGCTGATTCCTTACAATCCAGATACTCTTGATGAATCAATCCTGTGGACTCTAAGCAGAGACTTGGGAGATGGTTTTAGAACAATAAGGATGGTCAATAACATTAAGCTGAATGTTGATGCATTCAATGGTGATAAAAATCATGGGGGTGTCCATGATGGCACTACCATTGTTCTTTGGGAATGGAAGAAAGGAGATAACCAACGTTGGAAGATCGTTCCCTATTGTAAGTCTCTCTAGACATTAAACATGAAGAAAATATTTTCCTAGAAAAGTTTCATCCTCCTCTCTGCCTTTTGCATTTTCGATTGCCTTCGTGTCATTTTGTTCCTACTTTAAATCTATCCCAACTTAGAACCAAATTTCAGAAATGAAATTCCACATTCAGAATTTTAGAGATGTCTGGAGTTTGAGAAAGCTTGGACCCCTTTTCTCATGCATTTGATATGCATTTGTTGGAAGTCTTTCTAACCTCTTTTTTTTTTTTTTTTTTTTTTTTTTGTGATTGTTTCTTGCAGGATATTCGATAGTATGTGGCGTTGCCATGTCTGGAGGCCTCTTTTGCTTGTGAGCATATGACTAGAGAAGAAACGCTGTGCGTTCTATGTGTGTGTGTGTGTCTGTGGATTGTAGTTTTCTGTATGCTTGTGTGCCCGCCGGTACGCTGTGTGCGACTTACCCAAAAACAAAAATAATTTATGTGGTTTGTGAAAATCGTGGTGTGTTACTTAGACCCTCATACTGCACCTACTCTACATGATATATATTATTTTGAACTTATATTTCTATAATCGTTCACTTGTCGCATTATCAGCATAAGGGCATTGTGTTTGCATTGCATTATAATTTTCAACCCAAAAGGCCTTGAGCAAGAAGGTGTATGTGTTTTGCTCCTCTCCCTTCATAAAAAGGCATATATTAATTGATTAAGACTATTATTAATTTCTCTACAGTTTGTATAATTTTGGTTTTTAAACGTTCTTGGAGATATTAGTATGAAAATCTAAGAGTTCTTTGATATTATAGAAATCTTTAATGTTTAAGAATTATTATTTCTTAAATAAAAAGGCATCTTATTTTGAGGAACAGTAAATTATGCATAAAGTAAATTAATTAAAAGCAGTCATTTTTTTCAAATTGTCTGTTGGGTAATTTATATAGTGACATCCTTTGTATGTTAGGGTGTGTTTGGAACAAAATAACTTTGTATCAACCGTGAGTGTCTTTTTTGTGCGTAAAAATTTCCTTTTTAAAGTGGTAGGAGTGAATTCTACATAAGTAAATTTCTGTTTTAAGCTAAAGCATGAAAATGATAATAATACTGATCCAAACAACATTTATAATTACAATGATAATAATAATTTGATAGTTTTCATTAATATTATTTTGTGGCACCCCTCTTAAACTATGTTTTTACCACCTTAACTTTATAAAAAAAGGTAAAATTAAACTATTACTTATTTTTAAAAGATACTATGTATGTGCTACTCCTATTGAACAGAAATTTAGAAAATATATTAATAAGGTCAAATAAATTCATTTTATCCCAATAGCAAACAGGTAAATGCTTTCAACAACCGACTTGGCATTTGGCAACTATCTAGATTACTTTGTGAATCAGTCAAGACACCAAATTTGGCCTAGTATTTTAATTCTTTACAATTATCTGAAATTATAAATTAATTTTAACATCATATTAATCTCTCCATGGCGTATTGATCTCTCATTTCTACGCTAAATACTTCATGTATCAAAATAAAAATAAAAATAAAAATCTTTCAAATCACCAAAATTGACTAATACTTTGATTTTTTACAATTCTCTGTGGTGTCACCACAAGAAAAATAAGCTGCTTAGTTTGTTATGTAACAATTAATATATCAGGAATAGAAACTCAACTCAAAACACCCAATGGATCTGGTTTTAATGTTATTATTAATATAAATTATATATTTTAATGTTCTTTTTCTAAAATTCCTGCCCCAAATGCAAGTACACAAATACTGACATTGGCAATTCCTCCCTGGAAGAGAAATATTGAAAGCGCTTGAATAAGAAGATTTAATATCTAAAAAGAACATGTAATTGAAATGCGATCAATGTGAATCCGAACAAGCTTGTTTATAGAGGATGCATAAGTAACTGTCATAATTCACTGCAAAAACCGTCATAACAGCTGTGACTGCATAATAAAATAAAATAAAATAATTAAAAAAAAAATGAAAAAGAAAAAGAAAAAGAAAAAGCCTGAGTAGTTTATAGAAGTTGCTAGTAAATGGCATGCAACAGTTACACCTATTTTAATAAATAAATTAAAAAGAAAAATAGAAAAACAAAAAAGCATAAATTCAACATATTATATAATACCCTACAATCAAGCAGAATTCTCATGTAAATATTTTACACACCTCTTCTAATGGAGTCAGAATCTCGGATGAAGTAAATATTTTAGACACCTCTTCTAATGGAGTCTGAATTACACCACCTATAATGGAGTCTGAATTGATGTTTTTATGAGTAAAGCTTAACATAAAGCATTGAAAGTTACCCGCCATGAGTAAGTAAACATTATGGAGAAAGGTCTGTTCGTGACCACAATATAGGAATTTATTACAAAGCGATTTTCTGATTATAAACATGAATGACTCTAACTAAAAATAAGGTGCTTAATTAATTTGTTATGTAAAAATTCATACATACACCCTACAGATCTGGCTAGGGATTTTAATGTTCCTTTTTTATAATTTCTGCCCCAAATGCAAGTACACAAAGACTGGCACTAGCAATTCCTCCATGGAAGAGCAATACTGAAAGCAGTTGAAGATTTAGAAGCTTAAGAAGCTAGGTGCTCATCCGGAAAGCCATGAGTGAAATTATTTGAATATATAATTTATCTGAAACAAAGAAATTAGAGGGATTCAATCCAACGACTGCTGAAATAAAATAAAATAAAATAAGTCATTTACTATCTTGGTTTTTGGATAGAGTGGATTTGAATACACCAATTTCACGATTGTTACTGCATCTTCTCGCTGGAGTACAATTAAGAAGGGATGAGATTAGACAGACTTGCATCTTCTCACTGGAGTACACCAATTTCAAATAATTAAGACGGGCTGGGATCAAACAGACTTGCATCTTCTCACTGGAGTATACCAGTTTCAAAGTGCATGCAATTATTTAGGCTGACGGTTGGCACCAACACTAGAGTATATTTTCACGATTGTCACTGCACGAGCCATTTATCGACGATGAGCTTAACACGTATGTGGGTTATGTTGAGATAAAAATTTATAATAAAAGATGCATTCTTCTCCTGAGAGTCTCAACAGCATATTGATCTCAACCACCAAAATTGACTAATATACTTTGTAGGGGTACAACTTGAGCGGCCAATTCAGTCCAACCTAAACTCAACCCAAAATTTTTGAAATTTGGATTTTGAAATTCACAAATTGAACTCACCCGAGCCTAACCCAAACGCCTCTTTTTTTTTTAATGCTTCCAAATCTGTTTTTTTTTTTTTTTTTTTTTTTTTTTTAAATTTTTAAATCCAAATTAAATTTATTAGCGAACCAAAGAGGTTATGAGAGTGTATGACAATGATATATATATTAATTTGAATTATAGTTATACATATAGTTGTAACTCATAGTCCGAAACTAAGTTTGGCCAAATTTGTTCAACTCATGACTCTCCAAAACAATATCAGACACTTGAATCAGCACAAAACGAAATTTAGAACATAAACCATACTTTTTGCAGTCAAAGCAATAATGGTTCAAAATTTACCTACCAAGTATATTCCAAGTGGAGATGGTTCTTATAACTCAAAGTTTTGTCCTTTCTAATTCTAAGTTGTGACTCATGACCTACCATTTAGTCCATTATATGGGATAATGTTAATGTATATGAATCATATGATATTGACTTAAATATAATTTAAGGTACAGAAAAATCTCCTCATATTATTAGTACACACTTTTAACGACTACAATTGAATTGAGATAGATTTACCTAAATATCATGATTGAAAAAATTATAGGAAAAAAATAAACTAAATAAATAAAGAAAAAAGAAAAAAGAAACGAAAAGAGTAGGAAAGGCGAATGAACAGAAAATGATTAGTACTGAATGATTCTTTGAATATCAAATTAAACTAATTTTTCTGAAAAAAAATTGATTTTCAATCTGAGGAAACTAAAAATGTAATTTTCGCATATTTATTTGAAAAAATAAAATTAAAATAAGATAAGTTTTATTTTTGTTGTAGTAATGAAATAAAATTAGAATTGGAAGCATACAAAAATTAATAATTGAATACTTAAAGTGAAAAAAAAAAAAAAAAAAAAAAAAAAAAACTGGGTTGAATGGGTCAACCTGTCCAGCCCAAAAAATTTAAGTTTGACTTACTTGAAGTGACATCGGACCGCCAAACCCAACCCACCTTCGGGTTGAGTTTGGGTTGAGACCGGATTGGGTTAGGCCGGCCCAACTTACACCCCTAAGATGAATTAATACTTTGATTTTCTAGCATTCTTTAGAATTATATATTAATCATTGATCTCTGAGTAAAATATTGGTCTCTATTTTTTCCCCTAAAATAAATAATCAATGCTTAGTATTGAATCTGTCGAGCAATGCATTTATATTTACATCTTACAATAACATGAGAACTACTAATATCTCCTGTTCTCATCACATGACTCTTGCTCCTGAACGGTGTAGAGAAAGGGAAGATATTCATGGCCCTCCGTCAATACCACATGGGGTCCTTTCATTCCTTAAGAGTCTGAATCAATTAGATAAGAAATAATATGAACATTTGAAAAAATTGAGTGAAGCTGCAGGTATCCCAGTACTCCATTTTCAGTCATAATTCTGTACAAGCTATGAGAACACATAGTATTCAAGAAATTATACAGCCAAAGCAGAAGCAAGACACGCTCATCAACTATTTTAATAGACAAGGATAAACTCTACATATTATATACCCTACAATAAAGCATAATTACATATTAATTATTGAGAAGCTTACCCCTCTTTTAATGGCGTCTCAATTTTTGATGCTAAAAAATCATCTCATGATGTCTGCCCATGACAGTTGGTCTTATTGATAGCTTGGGCATTTTCTCAAACTTTTCTTTGGGAACAGAGTAATTACAATTAAGACGGCATGGAATCGCGCAGACTTGTGTCTTCTCAAAGTATGCACGTATATAGGTTGACGGTTGACAATAGACGGAGCAGAAAGTTTGACGGTTGTCACTATCTGCAGCACCGGCGAGCTTAACACGTACATGGATATCTTAAAATCATCTCATGATATCACAGTTGGTTCGTATCGTTGATAGATTGCACATTTCTTCAAATCTGTCTTTGGGAAGAGAGTAGTTACCATTAAGACGACTGGATGGAACAGACTTGCATCCTCTTAACACCAGTTTCAAAGCGCACTTGCACTCAAGCATATATTTTGACGGCTGTCACTCTCTACGCAATATGTCGACAGTGTGCACTGATGAGCTTAACACTGCTGTGGGATATGTTGGGATAAAAATGTATAATAAAGATGAATTCCTCTTCTAACAGTTGAATATAGAGACTTCTCACCTAGTTATAATTACATCTCTGCATCCATAGCCTTCTTCACTTAACAACTAAAATTACATCCGGCTAGTTCACTTTATCAATCTTTCAAGCCACCAGTTATATAATACTTTGATTTTCTAAACTTCTCTAAAATCATAAATTAATCTTAACAGCATATTGATCTCTACCACTAAAATTT